ATTTGTGAAAATGCATGAATTATCTACCTTGTTTGTGTCTACCTTTGTGTCTACCTTTATGTGTATATTTATGTCTACCTTTGTGTTTACCTTTGTGTCTACCTTTCTGTCTACCTTTGTGTCTACCTTTATGTCTACCTTTGTGTCTACCTTTGTGTCTACTTTTATGTCTATGTATGTCTACTTTTATGTCTATCTTAGTCTATGTATGTCTATGTATGTCTATGTATGTCTACTTTTATGTCTATCTTATGTCTATCTATGTTTAGCGTTGTGTCTACTTTTATGTCTATCTTTGTGAAAATGATTGAATTATAGTCTTTTGTGAAAAAGTGTGAAAATTTGTGAAAATGCATGAATTATCTACCTTGTTTGTGTCTACCTTTGTGTCTACCTTTGTGTCAACCTTTATGTCTACCTTTATGTCTACCTTTGTGTCTACCTTTGTGTCTATCTTTGTAAAAATGATTGAATTATAGTCTATTGTGAAAAAGTGTGAAAACTTGTGAAAATGCGTCAAGTATAGCCTTTTAATAAAATTCCGGTGAATTATAATCTTTGTGTAAAAAATGTGAAAATTTGTGAAAATGCACGAATAAAAAGAGAAAAAGATGTAATCGATTACATAAAAGAGAAAAAGCTGTCATTGCATAAAAGACGATATCATAAAAAGACGTTATTTCATAGGTTTCTTTGTCCTTGCTATTTAACTCTTGTCTGCGTGCAACCAAAACCAACGGTGAAAAGAATATTCTTGGTGCGTATGACGATAAAAATAGTTCAGTTAGTTCAAACATAAAGTCAAATGATCTCGACGCCATTGCATCGGAAAAAATGACCAAAGACATGCTCGTCACTGCCCTGATTTACCACATGGCATCGCGTGAATTGACTAGCTTCGATTACTTCCAATACTTTCGACTATGAAATGACTAATTTTTCAATTGTTGTGTTCAACAAAATGAGAACTTTGTCCTATGAAAAGGTAGACACAAAGGTAGACACAAATGTAGACAAAAACCACATTGGTTATATTGATTACATTGACTATATTTTAAATGATGACACTCAGGACATGGCAAGATTGTAAAATGACAAAAAGACTTGAATAGACTATGAATTAGTAAGTGGATACTGTTCTGTAGGTACCATATGCTTTTGTAGAAACCATTAAAATATTATCATGCATGATGGTTAAAAATATGTTATTTATCTTTGAACAGACAAGTTAGAAACTCCCAGCGCCATTAAATTGACTACGAACATGCGCGTTGTTGTTTTGATTTACCACATGGCAATGTCTGACATTGTGCATACTTTATTAGTCTTCCTCCTTTCTGTGTTAACATTTATTCTCCAGTAATGTTAGAGTTAGACAGCTAAAATTCGTAGTAAGTCCCTTTCTTCACCTTTGCAATGATGGCGACGAAGAACAAGTTAAACACAGTATAAAATACGAGCCTCAAAAAAGAAGGCAATGTTGTTTTGTCAGAAGCACTTGACATGTTTTAACCGCTTTTCCAATTCACCCGTCTGGCCGAGTGGTAGAGATGCCGGTGCAGTGATCTCACCTTCTCGGGTTCAAGACCATCTAAGGCTCAAGACCTTCTACTTTTCTTTCGCTTCACATTGAAAAAATTTAACAAATACTCCAAAAAACATAGAGCTTTCGATGATGAGCGGTTAGCTCAACTGGCCGATGTTGAGCGTTTAGTTCGACATCAATGACCTCCGGTGCACCAGATCCTTGGTTCGCCCCTCTGCCAACACACTTGGCAGGTGTACGCGGCGGATGTGGAAGACAGAAAGTCGAACTGAGGAACGAGTGCCTGGAAGTAAGAAAGGGATGATTAGGGCGTTCTGTTTGCTCTTGGGTTTCCTGACTTTTCAAAATTTAAAAAAATAACTCCCTGATCACAGGGAGTCATAAAAATTTGAGCAAAAGACTTAGTTTTTAAGAGTGGTTTTTGCATGGGATCCTATCTTTTTTCTTCGCTCTCCTTCTCATCGGAGAGCGTTTTTTCTGAATTTATACTAAGTGTCGCATTCCATTCTCGAAAAGTTTAGTAATAGAAATCCCATTTTGTTCTATTAACCAGCACTATTTCCTTATTTTCCTATTTCTTATTCATCCTTAGCATAGTTACATCTTATTCCAGACAGGGTTCGAACCTCCACTCTCAACCTCGAAAGGTTGTGTCTATCCACTAGACCAGAGAGTTCGTTGAAGACACCTGGTCATTTTAAAGTGCCATTCCTACCTTGAAGTATTTAATGCAAAAAAATAGACCATTGAAGGTCTCGAATCAAAATTATAACAGATCACTTCCAGCTAAAGATAAAGCAACAAACCAAAAATCATATTCGTAAAAATTAGACGAAGAAGGAGTGTTGATAAAAAGATTGAAAGAGTAGTACAAATATATACATTTATATTAATGTTAGTTTGGTAATACATTAGCAATACATTTATAGTTACTTATGTCTTCTCTTGAAAATGATAAAGACAAGTAAGTCTTTCAAAAGCAGCACGTTTTCTTACGGCTAGCAATGCAGATTTCTTTTTGCGGCTGCTGTCGATCAGTGAGTGCGTTGGAAACAGATGGAAAATTTAGTCCATTTACGGTAATAGATGCTTGAAGTATGATTTAAAAAAATATTTTTTTCGTGAAGTGACAATCAAGAAAACAAACCACGCATTTGTAGCATCGAATTTCTAACCATTGACATTTTCACAACAACTCTAGAGATAAATCGAAAAGCATTTCGCTGTAGGACATCATCATTTAGTGTTTGTCTGGTCACACGACAGCAATACATTAATAGTTTCTAACCATGGGTTATCCTCTTGTGAGACGTCGAAGAAAGTATGTCTGCATAATTTTGGTATCTGTACAATATTTCACTAAGGTTAGCCGGTACAGATTTGTTTCAGCAGCTGTACAATACTTGTTGAGAATACAACATATCACTTAAAACAGGACGTGGATAGAAACTGTAAATTTTCGACTTTCTTACAAAGCCATTCGTAGAATAGACATTGACCATTTTCGCACTGCAATGCCGTGAATATTTGGGTAGATAGGGTCAAGCACACAAACGATTACATTTCTTCTTTTTTGACAGCATATTTTACGGTAGTATTTATCCCCAGTACTCGGCCATGGCTTCTCGATGTTCAAATATTATATTCATATTCTTCTCTAAATCCTGTCCATGTGGAGCAAATTTTAACTGTTCTTTGAGAACACTTTATACAGTCATGACGTTGTTTTACAAGAAATGGTCGATTCAACATAAACAGCATGCCTTTTATATGCTTAAATATGGTGAAGTTTACCCACTGACAAATAGCTTTCTTGGTGGACGTTGTTGTAACTCTGCATTGATAGCTTGCAGTGTAAAGTGGAGTTTCGTTGAGAATCACTTCCAAACTTGACATAATAGTCGTCCTACATGCGGTCTCATAAATATCGGTAAATATTTCAGCTTGCTCTCGACCGGTTCATCGCCCAAGTTATCATCAGTTTTCGAGTAATTTGAAAGCGCCAATCATTGCTATCTCTTCTTCCTGTGTACTTCCATTTCTCACACTCTCAGCCATTGCATTTACTTCTGTTCCGTTAATTCCCAACTCTGAATTCAGCGGTACTTTTATAGGCTTTGGTGTTAAATATTTAGACCTTACCTTGTGCTTGGTTCACACGTGTCTGATCATAAGCTTGAACGATTAGACTTTTATATCTTTTGCCTTAGAGGTTTACAAAAACAAAGAAATTGTGATTTTTATTTAAATAGTTTTTTGTTCTTTTTTTAATTGCACTTGTATAATTGACTATTTCACATGCTTCGTTGATTGCCTTTGTTTCATTTTTTGTTATAGTTTTTGTATTTCACTTTGTGTGAAACAGGCTCAACACGTAGAACACGTACCTTTATGTCTACCTTTATGTCTACATTTGTGTCTACCTTTATGTGTACTTTTATGTCAACCTTTATGTCTACTTTTATGTCTACCTTTACGTCCACCTTTATGTCCACCTTTATGTCTTCCTTTATGTCCACCTTTATGTCTACCTTTATGTCCTTTATGTCCACCTTTATGTCCACCTTTATGTCTACCTTTATGTCTTATGTCAACCTTTATGTCCACCTTTATGTCAACCTTTATGTCCACCTTTATGTCTACCTTTATGTCCACCTTTATGTCTACCTTTATGTCTACATTTGTGTCTACCTTTATGTCTACTTTTATGTCTACCTTTATGTCCACCTTTATGTCTACCTTTATGTCTGCCTTTGTTTCTATCTTTATGTCTACCTTTGTGTTTACCTTTATGTCTACTCTTATGTCTACCTTTGTGTCTATCTTTATGTGCACCTTTGTGTCTACCTTTGTGTCTATCTTTATGTCTACCTTTATGTCTACCTTTATGTCTACCTTTGTGTACCTTTTTTAATATAGGAGACAATGGCGTTTAAAAAAGTCGTCATGTCATGAATCGTCATTTCAAAAAATCCTGGATTTTGAAACTTTTTAAATAGAAGGTTGTTGCAAAATCATACGAAAATTTAAAAAATTCTGATCCCCTTGACGGCTGGAAAAGACCACTCTTAACTCTATTACATTTTTGGCAGACTTCTATCTGGTTTTTTAAATTTTATATGATAGCATATTTCCTAAAAATAGTATTTGGTCATGCCTACAAATAAAATATAAATTTGAAAGATGAAAAATAAATTTTGCACACATTTTAACCATGACTCCACGACCCTATAAATTTCGAAGGCCCCCCTAGTTTTAGCGATCCCGGGGGGTACTTCATGTCCCCAAGTTCCTATGCCCTTTTTTCAACTTCATCCTAACAAAGTGATTTGAGCAAACAAATCAAAGTCCAGAAAATCACATCCTATTTCAAAGAAATACAAGGGAATTTTTTAGGGGCATTGTCAAAGAAGTTTGAAATGTTCGTTGTGGAAACACTAAATTTGAAAGACTTCGAAATTTTTATCACAGACAGGAAAGTTAGTCCATCGAAAAGTACGTATTTATAAAACGCTATTTTTTGTTTAATTTCTCCGACGCAATAGCCAGGTTTTAATACCTACCTCAACACCGAGTAAGAAAAGAAGTACAATGCGCCAAGCGGAAATACAACGAATATAAGCGCAAGAATTGTTAATTAGGCGCATAAATCACAGCGCATATACAAACGGCTTTCAATATTTGTGGAAAAACATGGATCTTCCTCCGCCTTGCGTGCCAACTCCACCAGGATTATCGACGATCTATTCAGCTTTACGCAAAGCGTACCCAGAACAAACAAATCCACTTCAAGTGACAGCACTTGTAAAATATTGGTATGTCAATCTTTAGACTCAATAATTTCATATCACAATTCATTAACAGAGACAAAGAAACTAATAGTTTTGGTTAAAGACTTTAGATGTTACCTCATACAATATCTTCTGAATACCAAACAGGTTAGGTGGTCCAGATCCACTAGACTTTATAAGCATGTTTTCAAATCCTGGGGATCCCCTTCATGGTATACCACCACACTGGCATTACATCAGTTCTGGTCTTTCTGATCTCCATGGTGATGGTCGAGTACATGAGTAAGGACATTGCATTATTAGTTAACCTTCTATTCGGGAATGATCATTCTCATTAAATGTGTGTCACTAGTTTCCATGGCCCACATGGTTTGAGCGGTTATGGCTTTGAATTGACATTTCGACTGAAAAAAGTACCTGGACAAATGATGCCTCCATCATGGCCGGCAGAGCTTATGCAAGAACTGGCGAAATATGTTTTCCGAACAGGTTCATCATTCCTCTTTATTATATTTCAAGTTTTCAATATGAGTAGATTATCATAATGGGGGTTGGGTGGGGATGCTGGGGGATTTCTTACTCAGCCAAGCACTTCACACCAGTTTACAAACATCTCACTATTGCAATCCCAAGATGTCATAAATGTATTTGTAATGTTGCTTGTTACTAAATTACCTATACATTATCTTTAGACTCATTCATGCAAAATTTCAACGACAATGGGATCCAAAAGGACACACTAGGGACGTAGGGGAGGGCAGTCACCCTCAAATATTTCGTAGAGTGTCAACCACTGATGGTCAGTTACTCACCTTTTTTCTAGATAACAATTTACAAGTAGGCGATCATGTTTCGTGGAACATTCCGTTGGATCGCACGCACTCGCGATCTCAAACGACCAACAACTCCCACATACGACATATACTCTTGGCCGAAGATCCTCAGCTTACAAAAACGCAATCAAGTTTGGGAACGCTACAATTCGTACAGGTTAGGAAAACAATTTATGTCAACGATGTTCTTCGACGCTGATTGCTAAACTTGATCATTGCAGATGGTTGGGGTATGTGACGATGAACTGTGCGCTGCCCAACAGTGGAATGGATTTTCTACTCTAGATTTGTTACGACGCATACCATAGTAAGATAGACAGTAGTGTAGCCGGCCCGTTTATATAGTCACGTTACTCAAATTTTTCTAGGCTCGCGTAGTGTGAAACAAAAGATTTCTAATAAATGAATGTTATCTTAACTTAACCTTACATTGCAGGGGACGGTTGCGCGAAGCCTGGATAGCGTTATCCGTTGGATAGCGAAATTTTCAAACTTGTAAAAAAGATGTTTGTATTTTTCTTCAAAGAAATTTTGTAATCTTCGAAACAATGTATTAATTCAGTGATTGCACAGTTCAAATCGTACATTTTTCTCTTACAAGAGATTTTACGAACGTTCACAAAAATTTGCTATCCACTGAATAACGCTATCCAGGTTTCGTGCAACCGGCCCCAGGACTAGAACATGTTGAATGGCTACGTCACTGAAAAAAGACGTCTTGAGTTTTTGCTTTGCCTTATCACGCCCCGCATACATTTTCATTCGGTTCGTGTTTGCATCAAGAGCAATTTGCGCTTGCACAAAAAAATGAAAGCTACGGCTAAGGTTTGGCAAATTGCAATTTAATAAATAGAATATTGTTAAACCGTTTTAACCGTTATAGACCACAGTATATGGAACCAATAGTACGACCTCTTCTCAATGATTCTTCAACGTTCCTATTGGTCAGAAAATGTAAATTGGCTTTGCTGCCATTAAGGCAATCACGGAAGTAACATAATAATTTTCAATGGAGCGACAATGCTATTCGTTCCATGTACTGTGAATGTAAACAGTAAAGTCTGTTCAGACCTTGGTCCAAATGTTAGAGAGACTATACCACAAGCGTTTTTTTACACAAAGATAAGTTTGGAGGGGTTGTTTTAAGATTTGGTCATAGTTATACGTCGTAAAAAAAAGCCTGTGAAACAGTCCACCTAAAACCATGCGGATGTTTACTGTAAATCTGTGTTTCGTATTCTTTCTTAATCCCAGCGCAGGTGGTCCATGGTTAATAACAGACATGGAAAGGATTGAGAGCGTGTTTGAACTCGAACCATCTCTACAAGTAAGTTTTCATGAAGATTTTCATACAGCATATGCTTATAACGATATGGAATATAAAGCAAATAGTTAAAGGAACATGCTTTATCGGATAAACATCTTTGAAAAAACCTATTACATTCAAATTCAACATCTCCTGAATTATTTCATTGAAAGTCAAATATCGTATTTACTTGCAGATATTACATTTGCTTGAATAACATTCAGGTACATGTAGGAACATTTGGGTACGTTTAGCTACATTTAGGAACATTTAGGTACATTTTGGAACCCTTGGTACGTTTAGATGCATGTAGGTGCATCTAGGTACATTTGGGTAGGTTAAGGTAAATTCATATACGCTTGAGTACATTTAGGTTCATATAGGTACGTTTCACTCTGGCAATCAACTTTTACCTGTTTTTCTTTATATTAATTGCCCACGATTCTTAATGAATAAACTGAGAGACTTCATATTATAATGTCCAGTAAAGAATAATATTGATAATGTGATACATATATGTGCGCATGTAGGAAGAGGTAACGCGAGGACTTGAACGTGAAGGATCAACGTTGAGTGGCGTGAACGCGAAATGCTATTGGGAAGAGCTTAAAGATAATAGAAACAATTCAAACGACTCAGGTTACAACGTTTCATCAAGCATCATTCAAGCACCGCGCATGACGGATGCAACGCGAAATCATCACTTCAATAAATTCGCCATCCTCCCGCCCATTGACGCCACAAGTACATTTCCCAAACAGCATTATAAATCCGAAGCGCCTTTAGAGCGCAGCTCTGCTTGTAGTTCAGCGACAAGCGAGATCAGTAGAACGCGATCATGTCGTGGTGTGTGTGTAAGGTTGAACATTGAAGCCGCTACCCTATTACCGCTGGCCTTCAGGTGCGTGTCTTCAAACAATGGGAAAACTCAGGCACAAGACTTTGGTCTTATGTGAATTTACGAACGCGCATTTTAACGTCATTTTGCTGGTGGAAAAAAAATAATCAAAGAAGGCACTTTTTAAGCGGTAGTAGATCGGTGCGGGTAGAGTTTTTGACAGTGCTGTTCAGAAAACTATGGAAAATATGACTAAAGTAGGAACCTTAAAGAATGGTGTTCATATTCCTAAGGGGAACTTCAGTGGCGTATAATATTCTAAAAATAGCATGCAATTTTAATTACTAAAGATTTATCTCGTCTAACGTTGTTATTGTTTAGGGGACGCTTGCGACATGGTAGACATTTTACATTTCAAAGTTCAAGTACAGATATCGCAATTACTCTTGTTTCGGGATCCGTAACCGGATCAATTGCAAACAAGGATCATCCCTACTCAGCATGTGGAAACTGGTTACAGGTACGTTAGTTCCTGTACCGGACATTGTCATCATGCAACAGTGTAGAGATATTTTCGTGTGGGGGATTCTCTGAAATATGGTTTTTACGGAAACACTTCAAACCTTACATGCATGATGTGTTATAGCATATTAATATGCATGATATTTCATTTTAAATTAAGAATATTGGATGATTTATTTTCTGTATTTTTCATTACTTTGCCATATCGAAGTTCAAAGAGTGCATGGCACTTATTAAAAAGACTTTGCAGACGTTCATTTTTGTGGGTGAGACATTTGCCTTTCTATCTTTAAGGATAGTGAAAAACTATAACAGCATATATGAATATCCCATAGTTAGTGAAAAACTATAACAGCATATATGAATATCCCATAGTTAGTGAAAAACTATAACAGCATATATGAATATCCCATAGTTAGTGAAAAACTATAACAGCATATATGAATATCCCATAGTTAGTTAAAAACTACAACAGCATATATGAATATCCCATAGTTAGTGAAAAACTACAACAGCATATATGAATATCCCATAGTTAGTGAAAAACTATAACAGCATATATGAATATCCCATAGTTAGTGAAAAACTATAACAGCATATATGAATATCCCATAGTTAGTGAAAAACTATAACAGCATATATGAATATCCCATAGTTAGTGCGGTTTTAATTATCGTCGACGCTTAAAGGCGACTAACAGAATTACAGTGGGATTGTCACGTTAGAATAGCCCCAACGCGACGTTTTTCTCAAACATAAGTATAAGTGATACGGAAAAGTGGTATTTTGTTAGAAAGGTTATTGTGACAACATTGTACTGATACATTTCGCATGATAAGCTCATGGTTCATACGGAAACATTACATAACTTACGAGAGAATTACATCCTAAGTTCTTCGTGTTTGTAGCTTTTTGTTGGGGATGAACTTATCGGAAAGCTTGAAAAAGATCTAGACGAGCTCGCCAATCCAGTAGAGGTATAAAATCCGACTCATTCAAATTTTCAAACAGCAATATAGTACTTAGAGTACTTTTTGCCCTACAGAGAGAGCATCCTATATTTTCTATTTCAGGTAACTCTCCCGAAGGAGTACGGTTGGCCTGAAGCAAATCTTAAAATTGTGGTCTTGCCGGATGAATAAACGTTTTACTAGATTTTAGAGATTAGACAGAGCAATATACGTAGCTCTGGAGAGTATGGATGAAAACCGATGTTGCCTCTCGAAACAATGAAAACAAAACGGACTCAGAGTTGCGTGAACATCAGCCAACGAACCGAAATCATCTGTACATCGCAGAACTAGTCTGGAAATTGAAAATTCTCAATACTAACTTAAAAATACAGTAAGGTAAATATCGTTGTACAAAGGCGATTGTTAAAGAATGAAATGCCAAGATATCGGGGGCAAAGAAAGATACGTTCTACCTTTCAATCAAGCGCATCAAAACAAGCGCATATAGCGCGGCATTTATGATTGCGCAACGAAGTGTATCAATGTCATGTGCAGTGTAACAAATTAAACGAAAGAAGACACCAGAACTGGGCCATGCTGTTTTCATCGTTAGGCAATTTCGATAGCGATTTCACAAACTCGTGCATTTCAACGATTTATTTCATTGAGATCATATTTCAGATCATACTATATTTGTCCAATAAAATTCTATAGTTTTTCCTGAGAATTCTATATTAATAATCAAAAATTAACAAAAGCATCCCACCCGCCATGCTATATTACATATCATATCTTCACTGGGAAATATTCTTGACCTCCATGCATGAACAATCGTCTTTATTTGTGAACCAAAACTTGAGCAATTCATATGAAGACCAACATATAGCACATGATGGGGCCTGGTAGAGAATTCTTGCTTGGAGCCCCTGCAAGTATCCACGTCCCCCCTGAAGCTTGTAGATAGTCCTCAAAGCATCTATCATTCCAGTTACATAAGGTTGTCTGTATCCTTGGCTCACAATGACACCAACAGCATTTTCTTCTTGTGTGTTAAGTAATGTCTTTGCAACATCAAACGGGGTTGTAACAGCTGCAGCTACAGCCCCAGCAGTTGCCCCGGCAACAAGGTGTGTCTTTGGGTCATAGTCGTGTTGAGGGTTCAAAAGTTCCCTCATATGTTCATACACAACAAAATGTAAACTTTGAAAGGGAATGTTCATAATCAATTGTGTTGTATAACTACGATAGAATGCAGCAAGGCCTTCCTTTTGCCAAATACTTCTTGCACAATCGAAGACTCCTCGAAAAGGGCTTCCGTACATTTGAAGTCTTTGCTTGATGACTAAGAAAATAACAATTAAATGGCCATTACTAATTTTATATTTATCAAGAGAAATTGTGCACAATTGTTTCAAAATACATACCATCAACAGGATTCATGACTGCATCATGACAAAAAGTTGCTATTGCTCCTGCCACAGCTTAAACAATAAATGATATTGACTTATCAAAAAAGCCATCAGTTTTTAGAAAATTGCATCTAGAGGACTATCACTAAGAAAAGGCTGAAGACTTGAAAAAGATTTCGTTCCATATGAAATTTCTAAAGTGCTCGACTAGAAATCACCCAAAATAATTGGTTCTCAATCCTACATCACTGTGTTTTAAAATAACTTCTAAACATGAAAACTTCATGCTCGACTAACTGAGAATTGAAAAAAATTGCATACAAACAACACACACAAAGCTTGTCAGAAAAAAAAGCACTTCATGTTATTTTGGTACAAAGGTAGAACTTAATTTGACTTACCATTAGCGAATGGATTGTTCTTGCCAGAATCTGATCGCACATTACCAAGTGCCTTTCTTGCCACTTCATACGAGGAAAAGTAAACTCCGTGTGCTGGACCAGCACCTGCAATTACAACATTCACACCACGAATAACGGTCCTTCCACCTTCCATAACAGATATTGTCTTGAAAGCGTGCCTTACACTTTGGTAAACTGCATTTTTGTCTGGTCTTAAACTTTGCATTCGAGTCTGTATTTTGATAAAAATTGCATTTAGTTTACATCTGTCGATTTGAGTTGCCCTGGTCAAGTTTAATGAGAGAAATAAAATAAAAAATGTCAATGTGTTCATTTAGCGAAATTTACAACAAGGAATATTATTTTGTTTGTTTCAACAAACTGCCATTCTGCCTGTGTGATGTAACACACACTTTTCTATTGTTTACAGATTTGCACTGAAATCTAATTACCTCGAAACAAACAACTCATATAATAGCATTGCCTGCTGTTCAAGGCATTAACTTGAGTCTTTAATGGAGATGGATCAAATCCATCAGCAATGGTAATCCTTTTGAAAAATGATGAAGTTGAGCTAATAATATATCTTACATATGCTAGTACGAAATGCCAGTAGCTAGCTTCATATGTATGTACATGTGACATATGACAAAACTGCATATGTAGAATAAATGACAGCGAAACAGTTAAGTTTGACAACTGTGCACTCATGTTTAAGATTTTATGGAAATTTCGCACACCTGAAATGCGATGGTTGCAAATCAGTAGCATACCAGTACCACATTTGGCAAAAATATCATAATTTTTCAAAATTTGCAAGCCCACGCATGGATTTAAAAACTGAGCACCTAAAATCTTGGGTGCATAATACAAATTTTCCACACTTGTATGACACAACACTGGACACATAACCAGCAACATATGTTTCATCTATCAACAGTTCAATGAACCATTGATGTATTATACATGTGCTAGCTGGATAATTCAAGGTCAAACAAATCATTGTAGTACAGAATTGCAAGTGTTGCAGATTGTAAATTACATAACACAATTATAAATTACATAACACATTCCTAACATAGTACTTTCGTTCGATTTTGGCATTTTTACAATCTACCATTGACTGTATAGTGTTTATACATGTGATACGTCATGAGCATTACAAAATATCAGACAACCGTATGAAATATCTTTTTCGATTCGAGACCAGAAATACTTTAAAAAGTTAGGGCAATAAGTATGCCACGAAACTCAGAAACAAAAAACGATCAATTTTTGAGCCAAAACGAGATCAACAACGACCTTAGTTTTTGACGAGAAAATACTTGACATATTAGGGGAACTAGAAAAGCAAATCTCCTTAAGTTGATTTACTGAGTCGTTGTTAAATACACTAAGAATCGCATAAATAGCAGAAACAACTCATTTCATTCCTTACCTTTACAAAATCCACAGGATACATAACGCAATGTTCCATAATTCCTGCAAAGCTACCGGCCATCACAAGTACACCAAGGTTATCTGTCGGCAAGGACTCATATTCACTTTCTTCCATAATTTGCTCGCTTAAACCTGCAAATTCCGATATTTTCCATTTTCCATAGTTGATTTCCAATCCATGTTGGCCTAGAGGTTGACTAAACCGATCCTCTTCCATGCGGGAATAATATCGTAGTGGAACGAGAAGGTACGACTTTTATCGGTAACGTGATACTTTGTGAACGTTCCCTCAAGAAGGAAATTTCGTGTTTACTTTGGACTTTTGCGCGTGGAAAATATATTTACTCGCGTGAAGGTCAGTGTTTCGAGATTTGTCCGTCAACTTTCAAGCATTCGCAATACACATCAAATTTTCGAGCGCATTTGACCAATGTACTAATATTTTCTTGCGTCAAACACCGCAATTTCAAGTCGGGTTTGTTACATAATTTTTTGAATCGTCAATGACCAACCATAACAACCATCAAAACATAGGAAATCGTCATTAGATACGCACGCGGGGGTTATCAGAGAAAGCATTTCTTTGTACCACGTTAAGCGCACGTGAGAATAACCCAGTTTTCCCCATGGTTTTCCGTCATTCACGTGTGCCTACAGCACGTGACTGAGAAATGAAACACAACATGTTTGTAAATGTTGTTTTTTTTTGACTCTGAAGATGACTACCGCTAAGGTTGTCGAAACGTCAGTCAACAACAACAAAAACAGTCCTTCTCAGGATTATACCAACCTGGACGATCGACATTTACAAACAAGTAACGATACTCCCGGGTTCAAACCATTTACTTTAAATGAAACACTGCCAATAATGCTTGTCTGTGTTAGTAAATTTAAACGTATCGCATAAAGACGTAATAATATATCTACATACATGGTAATATGTACCAAGCTTCCGCGAGATTAAGGCATGTACTTCCTTGACTGACGCACATGGGTCTCATTCAGTGGTCTCATTGCTATAGCAAACACATTCCGCCTTGCTCAATGCTGAAAGTACGATTAAAAACTTGGCAAATAGTAGCGAGAGACTTGCTGAGCGGAAATCGAATTCGTGTAATAAAAATGAATGCCCAACATAAAGTTTTGATTAGAGCCATAGAAATAGACCAAAAAATTGTAAAATTGAATTTATTGTAACGTTTCGTCTTTATTGTCTGAAGATGTCTTGAGTAAAGACGAAACGTTACAATAAATTCAATTTGACAATTTTTTGGTCTATTTCTATGGCTCTAAGTAAAACTTTATGTTGGGCATTAATTTTTATTACACGAACTTGCCAAATATTGTTAGACAAGAAAATGCCAGACAAGCTTTTGCTGTGACGTACAAATGTATTTTACTCGGCAAAAACGAATACGCATATTTTAGATTTCTTCACCTGTCTTTAATTAAATGACGAAGTGTCGATCCAATTTACCATTTCAAATAAAATCATTAATAGCATCAACTATGAAATGGCTCGTTCGACACAAATGAATGCCAGATCAAAAAGTCACGTGAGCTGCGCGTATTACACCAATGAATAACTCCTCAAGATCCATTAAAAATTGTTCAAACTTCAAAACAAATTTAGGACTGCTTCTAATAGCTATAAGAATGTTTCTAATAACATTCTAATTACACGAGATCATTCTAACGACATTTCCAATAGAATATTTTCAATAATAAGGATAATCGAATTGGTTCTGAAATCTATTAGTCCTAATAACTACATCCCTAAACATGTTTTTGACAAATGTTCTTAAAGACGCATTTACCTTGGCAACAATGGCCGACACTACTCAATTTGTATACACCACATCGACGCCAATCAATGCCAATAAGAATGCCCATCATACATTCCTTCGTATAAGGTTGCATGGGGGCGAATCAAAACGAGTATTGAATTACTCGGCTACAACAAGTTGATGTTGTATCCACCAGGTGATGCTCAGGATATGTCGTCGAGAAGACGACTCCCTTCTTCACCACCTTTGGAACAATAATACTTCGCAGCATTTATCAATCCGATTGTGTATAAATAACGAGCGTACTCAGTGAAGACTGATTCCAGCAACAGCGCTGAATCGTGAATAAAGGAAAATTTGCGTCAAAACAATTCTAACAAAATGTAATGATAAAAAAAACATGCAGCTAACCCAGAAAACTATCATACACGCAGAAGGTCATATGAGTGATTTTTCTACAAGTTCCATAAGTTATTGATTCGGCACTCGGGCAGTTGAGGAGACAAAAGCAGTTGTACCCCGGATACTGCGATCTTATATCCTCTATACAAGGGGAAAGAAATTGCATAAAGCTCAGTTACACAAAAATCTTATGTTATGTCCAAACCAACATTGATCTTCATTATACACATTGTACCAAAACGTATATATGACCTTTGTAAGAAGTCTAGAAATCGTTTGATATTTTCACAAAGGATACACACAGAACTGTCCTCTGTTGATAACAAACCAAATTCCAAACACGCTTCTGCAAACAGCGCAGCACGATCGAAAAAACGCATCCTGGATGATAACACGAGAAAATGCTTTCTAACATGTTCGAATTTGCCACTGTTTTCAAGCAATGAATGCTTCAGTAGGTAAAATCAGAGATCTCATGCTGTGCGTAGTTCAATGAATAAAACACACTACATTGTACCTATGTCTGATGGGCATCATTGTACGACAGACAAAAAGCCCAAATTCATAAAAAAGATATCGCTTACCCAAATACCATAAGTAAGGCTTTCTTGAATTGACCAAGTGAGATGTAAACTAGCAATCCACGACTCTGTATTACAAGTTATTTCATGACCATTTTATAAAATAACACATAACAAGAAAAAAACGAAGCAGACATGACGTCACTACCGTTTGAGCATGAACACAAAAAGACGCTAATTTTCAGAATGAAAGTAATCAAGCTTATACCTGTTGGCTGATTTGAGTTCCCGAAAGATGCTCGACCCATCTGCGCATGACTTCGACGCAATCATCATAATCAAGCGTCGCCTGGAGCAAGAATGAATACCAATGTACAATTAACTTCGAAAAAGATCTAATACATTAAAAACTGAAAAATTTTCAAAATCAGTTTGAACATGGAAAACAAGCATTATACATAAATGACAACAACACCAATACAGAGGTATATTTATGGTAAGAATATTCATGTTCCCATGCTAACCAATCACTGGTGTATCTAGCCTTTCATGTTCCCATGCTAACCAATCACCGGTGTATCTAGCCTTTCATGTTCCCATGCCAACCAATCACCGGTGTATCTAGCCTTTTATGTTCCCATGCTAACCAATCACCGATGTATCTAGCCTTTCATGTTCCCATGCTAACCAATCACCGGTGTATCTAGCCTTTCATGTTTCCATGCTAACCAATCACCGGTGTATCTAGCCTTTCCTGTTCCCATGCTAACCAATCACCGGTGTATATAGCCTTTCATGTTCCCATGCTAACCAATCACTGGTGTATCTAGCCTTTCATGTTCCCATGCTAACCAATCACCGATGTATCTAGCCTTTCATGTTCCCATGCTAACCAATCACCGGTGTATCCAGCCTGTAAGTTAGATTGTGCTAGTTAAATAAATCTTAGAACATTGACATCATTTCGAATCAGTAAGTGAACACCAAAACATTTACACAGCAGAAGTAGATATACGGCAACACACACACATCACACACACCTTGGCAAGCCAAGCAGCCTTGTCCCATTTACCATAGGTTTGTAAATATCGACAAGCGTCCAGGCCTTTATCGATCATACATAGCAGTTGGACGCCTTCTGCTCGATGGATAAATAACAAAAATAGATTGAATCATAAAAAAATACCGCCAAAGACTGTGAACAGCAATGGGTGATATTTGGATTGCTCCATATTCCTCTTTTATTGATCAAACAAAACAGAAACATCACTGCAATTTGTGATGTCATTTGCTGGTCGTCATTTGATTATTATAAAATGTTATTGTATTAGAATAAAATGTTTGATGAATGCATGATGACGTTGCATCACAACAATAACGGTAATGATGGAGGTATTTTCAACTACCAACAATACAGTTCTTCGCTTTTAAACTAAAAGTGGTATTTGATTTGATAACGCACGAAAATTTCAAAATGTTTGATACTTGATCAAAAACCCCTTGGCTAGTCTGATGAACTTCAGATGTTAGCCATATACAACAGTGCATCCACGTTGCCGTTCTAACAACTTCTGACACTAAACCTTTCCCCCCAACCAAAACATTTCCCACTTTCCCATAACTTGAAACTCACCGCTAAGTTTGCCGTTAGCTATAAGATTCGTTGCCACCAATTTTATCGTACTTTGTGATGCACCTGATGAACGTATGGCGGCCACTAAACACGCCCTGTGGAAACACATCGTGAAAATTAGACGTTTTTCAATTAACAAGGCACCTCACAAGACTGAACCGAACTCCATTTCTCTCCCTCAAATAAAATATTTTTCCCACGAGTCAATTTGCTACACTCTTGTCAAACTAGTACAAAAATCAATATAAAAGCGTTTACTCTCTCTTCGCTTGATCCAACCTTTGTATTATTGAAAATTACATGCTAGCACTCGTATGTACATGTTAACTTCTGCACCAATCAATCCGCACTCACCTTAAAGAATCTGTATAGTAGCCTGGATTACTCGCCTCAGTCTCCAAAAATAATTGAACGGCGCGGTCGGACTACAACGAAAATGAGCATGTATATTTTAAGATCAAATAACTCGATCCTGCTCCATATTCTTCTCAACTAAAATTAATTTTTCTTGGATGGCTATTTTACTACATCTAGTTCGAGAGGAAAAACGTTAATGAAATTTTTTTTTTTTTCTAATTTGAACTTAATAAATATTGCGTATTGATTTGATGAGATGGACCCGAGTTGGAACAGCCTCAAATTAAGAGCAAAAAACGCATTAAATAATGAACAAAACATAAAAAGAATAATCTGCTATTCTCTAGCAGTTAGCGTTGAAGCTTTTACTCTGATAGCAAGACATAGAAATTTTTGTGTTTTTTTACACACTTTGTGACCATAACAGAAATGCGTCTTCATGTAAATGAAAATTCGTGTCCTTTCGAAAGACGAAATATGATAGTAATGATTTTGTGATTCGATTCTGGCAAATAATTCCTCTCCGATTTGCACTGAAAAACGGTGCAAATTCCTGGGACGAAAAATATTAAAAATCATCTTGGTAATCTATCGTTCACACAAAGAATGTTGGAAAGCAGAAAAAAGGATGAAGAACAACTACGAATGTGCGTAAGTTAGTGGTGTGACTTTTCATAAATGTAATAATAGGACGCCAACTGATAGTTATATTGAGAAAAATCAGGTACATAAAATGTGTCCCTGTAGAAATTTCTCATTTTATTGCAGATCCAATGCAGATCAAAATGTCAAAGATGCTGTACACGACGAAATATGCGTCCATTTGGACAACTCAAATTATTTGAATTCATAAATTAACGAACTCCCTAAGTGGCGTATGAATGGGAGCACTTTGACGAGTATCTCACATTGCATAAAAAGTCAAGACATTAGCATAGAAACTAATCGACAGCCTTAAACGAGAACATCTGCTTTTGAGACGAAACGCACAAAGAGAAAAAACTCTAATAAATTATAATTGCATTTAAATTTTTTTATCATCCTATAAAGCAATTAGTCAATACGGTCAAACGCAACGACCATGACGAACACGACTCGTCAGAGCTGTCCAAATTTTCCTTACACTTTTCAAGGAGAACCGTTGAGTTACGGTTTCGCGATTTCATTTCTCTTCGCGACACTCGGTTTATCGGTATTTTCTATTCTCGCCAACCTCGGAATAGCGTACGTGTTTCAATCTCAGCCATTAAAGCAAAAGAAGAACATCTTCACGGCAAACTTGTCGCTGTCAAATTTTCTAACAGGCTTGACCGCAATGCCGACGTATTTCGTTTTTGTGATAAGTTTTATGAGCGGTGGAGCGTGGTGCATGATGGGAGACGTTGCTTTCGTTTTGCACCGTTATTTTCTCAGTATGACCGTGGTCAACGTAAGCTTTATTTGTTACCAAAGATATATATCTGTCTTTTATCCATATCGCTATCAATTGTTGTTTACACTGAACTGGCATATCTTCCTGGCAGTGTGTTCATGGTTGTATGGAATAATACTAACCATACCTTTGATTTCAGACATTCTTCAATGGCAGTTCTTAGAGCATTTATGTTTCGTCACCAGGCTTCTCCTACTCCTGCATTTGGCAACGACAATCCTGTGTTACCTGCGCATGGGCTACATCTCGCGGAAACACCGAAAGGCGATCGTGTACCCTTTTCGAGATATCGTAAAAATCACAAAACGTTCAAGATCAAAAAAGACATCCAGTCTCGTAGTCGGCACACTGTTGGTCACAATTACGCCATGGCTTGTATTCAAATGGTCAAGTCGTTGGAATTATTCCGTGCAAGTGGAGTATTTCATACACGTTTTGCTCTTTCTCGGTACATTCATGAACTTTTTCATATACGTATGGCGAAACGAGGATATCGAAGCGATCGTTGCGAGAAAATTACGACGCCAAACGGCGCCCGGATTGCTGCAAATCTCCCGACTTCGAATGAACGAAATGAACGGTTTTCCCCGAACATTAAATTTGACAACAACGGCAAATAGACGCTTCCAAAATGCATCGTTAACTTAGTTCAATTTTTTCGTTGCATAAGCATCGTGATGCTGTTAATATGTAAGTACTGTTTATATAAATACTTGTTTGTGGTCAAAAACTTGTATATTGCTTTGAATAGCTGATTTGTCGTGGTAAATGACGACTTGGTTGCTGTAAAAAGAACTGTTAAAACCAAAATTTAAGATACATTAAATGACGCGATGATTTTAGGCAGAAAAATGCTTTAAACGAAAACTAAAAATCGACTTATATTTATAATAAAAAGACAAGAAATGGTGAAATCTCCTCCAAATAGAAAGAATGGGATCATCCCCAAAAGAAAAGAATGACATCATCCCCAATGGAAAGAATGATATCACCCCAAATGGAAAGAATGACATCACCCTCAAATGGAAAGAATGACACCACCCCCAAATGGAAAGAATGACCTCACCCCCAATGGAAAGAATGACCTCACCCCAAATGGAAAGAATGACCTCACCCCCAAATGCAAAGAATGAACTCACCCACAAATGCAAAGAATGACCTCACCCCAAATGACATGGAGGTCTGCCGAAATCAATCGTTTCATTTTGATTTTAGTTTTTTGGTTTTCAACAATTCTTTTTACAACTACTAACTCGTCATTTACCACGGAAAATACGCTATACAAACCAGTATTATTAACAACAACAATATAGATTCACCGAAGACTCGAGAAAAGATCAAAAGGCATGCATATACATGGTACGATATTAATGGTTCTTGAACTAAACACCGCAGAAAAAGAAAGTACTCCTCAGGATAAATTATTCCAAGTGCCAAATAAATAATTCTAAGCCAGTCTCTAAGCTTCAATGGCATTGCCCTGTTCATATAAATACGATAATCTGGGTATTCTTCAAAATACTTAACACGATAACGGTTACCGAAGGACAATGTTGCTGAATAGCGAGTGAAACTGATCACACAGCTTTTTAAACCCAAATTTGAAATTGGGTGTTTTTGAATTCAAGAGACGGTACGTCCTTCTTTTGTAAAGCACGAGTAACCTCATTCTTCACACGGTAGTTAGCAAGTTACTATAAGTCTAAGTAGTGCTGTGTAGAATTATTTCGGATTCATTCATTTAAAATTTAAAACAAAATATCTCGTGGTGGTGGTGGTGGAGGGAGGGGATTTCTTTTTGAGTAATGTTTATAAACAATGAAATGGGTGAAAAGCCTGGTACCAAATCCGGATTTCCTATAGTTGTTATTCGAAACTCAAATAGCACTTCTTTGCATTAGAGCAATGGTAAAAAAATGAAAAACTTATAAGTGGACATGAATTAAACAGTCAGGACATTAAATATCACTTTGTGTCACGACTATTTTTCCCGACCACTGTAAATAAAACTAGTAGAAATCTTGTCTTATTAAACAGAACCGACAACGCGTATTCACAATGACTGACTGAGAATGTGAGATATTCGTACCTGTTTTAAAAGTACAAGCGTCTCGGCGCATTTCTTCGTGTGTTCATAGCTTGATCTTTTGCTGTCGTGAAGCGCAGCGCGATATAACTGATGCGCCTAAAAAACATTTTTAACGACGTTATTTATAGCTATTTATAGTTGGTTATTTCTTGTTGCCCAGCCAAACACTATGAAATATCAACCCGCAACATTACTTGAAAAGTCTCGGGATCACACAGGATATCGTAGGATGTGTGTAACGACGTTATTTATAGCTATTTATAGTTGGCTATTTCCTGTTGCCCAGCCAAACACTGTGAAATATCAACCCGCAACATTACCTGAAAAGTCTCGGGATCACACAGGATATCGTAGGATGTGTGTAACACAAAAGGATAACGATAATACGTATCATTTTTCCCGACATCGCTATCCAGATCCATATTGAGATCTAAGTCGTCGTCAATCGATAATAAATCGAGACCCTTTCCTAGATTACGCCTCATCTCGGTAGCGTCCTCGACTCTTGACGAAGACCGCGAAGCTCTATATTGCCCATCCTGAATACAAAAATACGTCGAATTGTTCTTCAAGTTGAAAAAAAGAGTTGAAGCTTCAGGTTGAATTTTAAATTGAAACAAAGCATATTGCGAAAGGAGATTTGTAACGATAAAAAAATACGCGTGTTTTGAGTTAATTGAACAAATAATATTACAGTTGAAAGTGCATGTGATGCGAAATTTTCATCGTCTCAAATAAAAGATTTCCCAAAAGCAAAGTGGACTTTCTTTCTAAGAACAATGGTTCGCATATTCATTTCCGGAACTAAAGCAATTTTTGTAATAGGTATAAATTCGAGACTTTATCCTAAGTTGAATAGGATTATAGTCAGATACAGGATTTTTGGAAGCGATATTTTTGGAGATAAAATCGAAAAAAAAATCAAACCTTGTGTTTTCGATACTTCTCACGTCGAAGATAATGCAGCGTTACAGACCAAAACTTTATTTCTCCTTCATCGCCATAAAGCCTAATAAAGAAGACACAATGATTACGCGTTAAAAGCAAGTTATATAGCAACAAAAAACCACAAGAAATCAAAACCGATGCAAGGTCTAAATTAAAGAACAGATCAGAGACGAATTACTATAAAATCCAAAAGCGTATTTGAATAACAAAAAAAAGCATTTGCGAATCTAAGAATTTTTTCCAGCAAAACCAAGAGTCGATGTTGCAAATTCCAGAATCTTATTGGCAAATCCAAAAACCATGCTCAGAAATCCAAGAATAGCAAGTGAAAATGCCATAAGGATAAACCAGAGTTTTCCCAATTCCCTCAAAGACAATCTCAAAAAACAGAAGGATCTGATATATCTATATCACTTCCATTCAGTTTTCAAACACTAACGAAGTCGGTAGGTAGGTAGCCGTTACGTTAACACTGTCAGTCAATAATCCATTTTTGACACATCAAATGCAATGATACACGACATTTTGATGTTGTTACACTTACTGAGCAGCAATCAGACATCGTTGAGCAACGCCAAGTGGAGCAAACGGCAAAAAATCTTTAATTTCTCTACAGTGCAAAAATTACAACAAAAAAATTAAGATTTGAAGGTGTTTCCTAGCGTCCTAAAGTTAAGATTTCAAAATGACAATGGTTTCGTTCAGAACACGGACTTTGATCACCGAACACAACAAAAGCAGGTTATCAAGATCCTACGTCAAGCTGAACGTGGAATATAAATCTCATGAAATCCTTAAGGAATTTTATGGAATTTTCTTAAGGAATTTTCCACCGCATGGTTTGCTACATCTACACAACATAAAATACAAGTAATACATACTCGGACAAATTTCCCAGAGCCTCGTTGACTTGGTCTTTCTTCTCTTGAGATGATAAGTTTCTGAAGAAAAATGGATACTTCATGTTAGCAGACCAAGGCTACAACTTCTGAAAAAACAGACTCAACTATAAAACATCAAGCAAACGGACATTTCATCCACGTCGAGTGTGTATTTTTCATTCCATAATTGACTTTGAAGAATCGACTTGAACATGAGCGCTTTCTTAGGTGGTAGAAGATGTGGACACCACAAAGGATCTGGAACATCAACAAAAACAACGCATTTTATTGCAAGGCAGATCTCACCAACTCTGAACTCTTTGCATGCGATCGAGGCACAACATAACGGCCAAAATGTGTTTGGACAAGATGACACGTCGACTTCGTTTTAGGTCGGTTCATGTCGGTTTTAGCTCGGTCTCGGAAAATATTTTTTTGAGACGAGAGACTCTCGTATTTAAAGTTTCTAACGCCCCGTACATTACCATGCATTTCCTACAATAAGGATTCTGGGGAAGACGTGAAAATGTGGCCGGTCAAAATGACAGGTTAGGCAAAAAGTATGAAAAAAACAAATATTTTCGACGGGTCATTATCCGCTGATCGGTCGTTATTTTGAGCCCCGTATACGGCAATACACTCCAGACTGTTTTCTATAAAGATATTGCTAATCAAACCATCGATAATATCAATGAATCGGTCTACAACATACGTAACCAAGCTATTTCAACTATAAAGTAAATGATTTGAACCTGGGAGTATCGTTACATCTTTGTAGATGTAGATCGTCCAGGAAAGTAAAGTCCTGAGAAGGACTGTTGATGTTGATGTTGATGTTGACTGACGTTTCGACAATCTTAGCTGTAGTCATGTTCAGAGTCAAATGAGGAGTAAACGTCAGGTTTGCCTCTGAAGATGACTACCGCTAAGGTTGTCGAAACGTCAGTCAACATCAACAGTCCCTCTCGGTCTACATCAACAGTCCCTCTCGGTCTACATCAACAGTCCCTCTCGGTCTACATCAACAGTCCCTCTCGGTCAACATCAACAGTCCCTCACGGTCTACATCAACAGTCCCTCTCGGTCTACATCAAATGTCCCTCTCGGTCTACATCAACAGTCCCTCACGGTCTACATCAAAAGTCCCTCTTGGTCTACATCAACAGTCCCTCTCGGTCTACATTTATTTCAACCATTTTCAATATATTACGTTAAAATTAAATGTCACTCAACAACCTGCCAATTCTTGTTCGGACATAGGAGAACATGAGCGTTTCAAGTTGAGGTCCATCATTCTGATCGTCCCGTTGGCAAACACGAGCAAAGGAACGTCGGAAGAATACCAATCGATGTCCACAATTGACATTGCATCACGTGATGTCCTTAAAGAACTCGTTCGCTCTGACTGTAAAAAAAAGAAACCCTTAAATATAACGACGAAGAAAATACTTAAAACGCAATTTTTGATTCGTGGTATCGACGTATCAAAAGGAGTTTACGAACGGTTTTTTAAGAAAATTTTTCTGATTCTAATAATAAACTTATTATCATTTGACTCCGGCAACTATTGTTAACAATGAACCTAATTTGCACCATCCATTTGTACAGACACGACGTTTTTTAAATTCTTTTATTATAACAAGTAGTATTTTCTATAATTCGTCATTTCATATTTCATCTTAATCTATTTTGATATTTTTAACATTTAAAACATACTTTTTTTCGATACTTTTAAATTTCGCACAATTCAGCATTTGCTGATAGGTGGTTTGATAGGTGATTATAAAATACAACAGAATACAATACATCATATCTACACGCAGATTCACGAAAGTACTTTTAGAATTGTTGGCCTCAGAGAGCAGTTGCTTTCAAGGGGTGCACTGGGTTTCAGTTGTTATTTTCAGCGACAGTTAATCCAATGGTTAACTATCAATCCACGCTTTATGACCGGTAATTTTTAGAGTTTGTGGTAGTTTGCAAATGCACATGATAAATATTATAAGTATAAATATTATAAAGCTCTTGAAAGTTCTACAAAGAAAGCCATTAGTTTCGCGATTTTTAGTAAGTTTAAAAAAGGCGGCGACTTTCGAGGGAGCAGTTACTTTCGGGGAGAATCTTGAGACTCTACGGTATTCATTGAATTCGTTTAAGCATACCTTCGCTATATCCCAAACATCTACCCCATCAGTAAACTGCAGCATCAACTTCACATTACCACGTCCTGGGGCAAATTTCATTTTCTTTATTGTACCACGATGAGTGGCGAGATTCCTGGAAAGAAACAACAGCGATGAAGGATGTGTATTCTCACGACTAGCAACGAATTGAACTTTTTCAACTGAACCTGGAAATTTTATTTCGAAGTTCCCAAATGCTAAAATTGCCATCGGCATCGCCAAGAACCACGGTATCGCCTTTCCACGTGATGCTCGTGATGTTTCCCATACTTCCCTGCGCGTATAGTGAAAACAAGATTTCCGCATTGACTAACTGTTACTGTTAGAATTCAGGTGACAATTGAAAAGACGTTGATTGAAAATGTCGATTTTTTATAATGTTGCCGTATGTGGGAACGTGGCTTCAACCAGCTGCGCTTAATATCGAGCGCCCGTCGACAGTTTAGTGGGAAGAACAATATGTTAGCTGAGGGGGACAAATAAATAGCCCCTCATATGAAAATATATCTTTATAGGTTCGTAGCTCGTTACACTTCTAAGAGAAATGAAAGCTTAAGATTGAAGAACAAACAAAACAAAAATGTGATGTTGACAACCGTCAACTATAAATAGCAGACATATTGTTGAGGTCATGCTACTGTTGTTCTGCAAGGTTATCAATCTCAATTGCGCTGAAACTGGCGTTCTACAGCAAAATACAATAGTTTTCATGCACTTACGAAATATTTTATAAATTCATCATTGGCAGTCCCTAAGAATTTACAACAGCTTTGTAACGAGTGCAAACATATAGCTGTGTATACAACACAAAACGCTGATGTTTTTTATCATCAATTTTGAAATAAAATGTTTTGTACAAGCTCTCCATTCTGAAAATTATATGCAGACGTACATCCGTTGATGTCATTAAAGTAAACATTTAGTTTTCTTGGACATTACTTTCTTCTCCCTCCCCTCCCCCCTATATATTGTGGACATGTATGAACGAAAACGCGGTAATTACTTACATCAGGTGGCACCTTGGTACTATGTTTAAATGTGGTACCCTCAACAATGTAGTGAAATAACATTCCATCCGTATTCGTGAAGATAAAATGTTCCTTAAACCAAACCTGAAAAGATAAAGCAAGCAGAAGTTGGGTGTCCATTCGTTAAAATGGCTTACAAGTCGTGACGTCCCACTCAATGCGCACGCATCACTCTCGGTGGTCTGATGCACTGAAGCTTGCAAATTTGACTTACCCACTCATAGAGCGTGGCAGGAGCTGAAATCTGCCACCGAAATGTAACATGGGAAGTTCTAGTCGTCGTAGTCTCGAATAATGGGAAGCATGGCTCGATTGGGAATTTTTTGACTTTCAAAATTTTTTCTTTTGTCTACGCGAGTTCTTCTCGCAAAATGAACAACAACGTGCAAAATGCTTCAAAGAACTTCGGCCTATTGTTTGACTTACGATTCTGACAACTGCCTTTTTGACTTACAAGCTAAAACATGTTTAGCACATTTTTCATTGGTTGATATCTTTCACAATATAACTCTTGCATACAGACTATTGGTGTGGATAAAATCCAGCGCAAAACGATCCTGTAGCGGTGATGCGTTCATTTTCATTTAAGAATTACATTCACGGCAGCGGACAATGTTGTTAAACCGACGCGCAAAGCATGCACTCTTTCTTTTTTTCTCTAGTTTTGCATTTTCTGGAGGGGAAAAGAGTCAACACGGAGCCGTTTACAATGGTTTTCAACTATAAATTTTGGCTTTCTTGTGAAAATTTGGAAATGTTACAATGAATTCTGGAAAATATTGGCTTCATATATGGTAAACGGAGCATCAGAAATCTTTAAAAACAAATATGAACAAAACCTCGCAAAAAAAATACATGCAATTGATCGTACTGAACGACAATCGGATAGCAATCATAGCTGCCGTGGATTAAAGCACGAATATCATTCCACGCATAAAGTATTTCAAAAAAAAGTCAAAAGTAGAAGTGTTTCAAAAGAATACTGAAACAAAATGCGTACATACAGGTGCGGTGGAAGTTTCGGTTTTGTCACTGTCCAGTACATTGGCGGCCTTCTCTTCAGAGCCTTCTGACAAACTTGTGTTTTTATCTTCGTTCGGATGCGTTTGTTTTTTCCTGTTTTTAGAGTAATGACTAGGTGACCATTCCTAAATAGAAGAGTAATGACTAGGTGACCATTCCTAAATAGAAGAGTAATGACTAGGTGACCATTCCTAAATAGAAGAGTAATGACTAGGTGACCATTCTTAAATAGAAGAGTAATGACTAGGTGACCATTCCTAAATAGAAGAGTAATGATTAGGTGACCATTCCTAAATAGAAGAGTAATGAATAGATGACCATTCCTAAATAGAAGAGTAATGAATAGGTGACCATTCCTAAATAGAAGAGTAATGACTAGGTGACCATTCCTAAATAGAAGAGTAATGACTAGGTGACCATTCCTAAATAGAAGAGTAATGACTAGGTGACCATTCCTAAATAGAAGAGTAATGACTAGGTGACCATTCCTAAATAGAAGAGTAATGACTAGGTGACCATTCCAAAATAGAAGAGTAATGAATAGATGACCATTCCTAAATAGAAGAGTAATGAATAGATGACCATTCCTAAATAGAAGAGTAATGACTAGGTGACCATTCCTAAATAAAAGAAATTAAATACTTTTTATAGCATTTATGTAACGAAATAACAAATATCATTCTAAATGATAGCGGTAGGCGTGACAAATTCATATCATACAAATACTACATAAACATAGGACAAACCAGAACAGAGATGAGTGGAAAATTCGCCGGCATTTCTCGCAAAAGACATAATTTTTTTAAATCCCATAATTCCAATGGCTTTTCTTTGTAAATTATTGCGAAATACTGCCTAAAAATACAATACAAATACATACAGCATTCAACGAAGCAGCCAACGAATAAAAAAATCTGATTCTCTCTTTGATTCGACTCACTTGAGCTGCGATATTTTGATGGATACAATTGTTTTTTCTTCCGAATTCTTCGACAAATGTAACACTGTGTTCTGTCCTAGAATATAACTGGGCGGTATAAACAAGCAGTTGTTCGAAAGACCAGCGAAAAAGGTCAAATAAACGATTTCAAAAAACTAGAGATCCAAAGATAGGGCAAAGTTCCATAACAACATTGCTTTTAACTATAGTAATTTGAATCAACCATAAAATGCTTCATACATAGGCTTCATTTCTCCGTTTAATTTGATTCGTATATCGTGAGGTAAACATGCATTGGAAAATGAAAACAATTTTAATAAAACCTATCACACGATATGGCCTAAGTAACCACTTGTTGTCCCTAAGTAACCACTTGTTGTCCCTAAGTAACCACTTGTTGTCTTGTTGGCTGGAGTCAATAGATTAGCGGATTCTTTTGCCCGCCGTGTATGGTTAACGGTCATTGAGCCCGCCGTGTATGGTTAACGGTCATTGAGCCCGCCGTGTATGGTTAACAGTCATTGAGCCCGCCGTGTATGGTTAACGGTCATTGAGCCCGCCGTGTATGGTTAACGGTCATTGAGATAACGAGTTTGAAAATTCATTGGTTGAAACAAGCTGAAGACGACATAGACGGTGTCAATAATAGATGACAAAAAACTTGCGCGGTCATCTTGACCAACCAATGGAGGAGTTCCTGCCAATCAACCGGATCTCCTTGCATGGGTTTGGGAAAAACTAGCTCGCTCGATCACTAACAACTTTACACGAAAACATGTCACACGTGTTTCGTGCAACAAGTTTGTCGTATGAGATCGTAAGGTAGAGTTTCAAATTTTCATCTTACCTGTTCGAAGATCTACCATATATACTTCGCTGTGCACGCTATTGGCATGTGACCAGTACGACCAACTTAAAAAGCTATTTAAACTTGTCCAGGCAACACCTCTAAACAACAGATTAGTTTTCAATAAGTCTCAGTCCATGGTTCATAAAACGACAGGGGTCTTAGTTCAACTTTTCGAAATTGTTGGGCGTGAAGTGGAGTGAAGTGACTGTGAGGCTATTTCCCGCAAAATTTAAAACCAGTAATTCAAGTTATTCGACTAGTTTCAATCTTTCCATGCACGACCCAAAAAGGTTCATTTATGAAAGTTCATTTATGTTATGTTATGTTACGTTATGTTATGTCATGTTATGTTACGTTATATTGTGTTATGTTATGTTATGTTATGTTATGTTTTGTTATATTGTGTTATGTTATGTTATGTTATGTTATGTTATGTTATATTGTGTTATGTTATGTTATGTTATGTTATGTTATATTGTGTTATGTTATGTTATGTTATGTTATGTTATGTTATGTTATGTTTATGTTATGTTATGTTATGTTATGTTATGTTATGTTATGTTATGTTATGCTGTTATGTATTGCTGAATATAAACGGCATTAAATACCTGACTGGAGAGCTATGAAGATTGAATTCTCTTATAATGAGCCCAATTGAGATATCAAATACTTGAATCGTTCCAGAAGAGCTTCCTAACAAGACAAAAAGCATTCTGGGTCAACTGAAATTATGGCAACAAATGTAAATTCATATTGTAAAACTTAACCCTCTTTTCATTAAGGTTACCATGCTTGTATCAAAGTGCGTCATTTTCAGTTCCCATACTGCATACTTGATCAAACTTTTATAAAAACATACATGCTGCGGGTGTATTTAACAGTATGTCAGATTCGTGTCCAAATTGCAATTAAAAACAAGTCACGTTTCTTTAATTAAAAACAAGTCACGAACTAAAGCAACGTTCAAACCTACCAAGCAACGTTCAAACCTACCAAGCAAGTTCAAACCTACTGCAACGTTCAAACCAACGTTCAAACCTACAGCAACGTTCAAACCTACCAAGCAATTTCAAACCTCGTTCAAATTGCAATTCAAAACCAAGCAACGTTCAAACCTACAAGCAACCTACAAGCAACGTTCAAACCTAAAGCAACGTTCAAACCTAACAAGCAACGTTCAAACCTACCAAGCAACGTTCAAACCTACCAAGCAACGTTCAAACCTACCAAGCAACGTTCAAACCTACCAAGCAACGTTCAAACCTACCAAGCAACGTTCAAACCTACCAAGCAACGTTCAAACCTACCAAGCAACGTTCAAACCTACCAAGCAACTTTCAAACCTACCAAGCAACGTTCAAACCTACCAAGCAACGTTCAAACCTACCAAGCAACGTTCAAACCTACCAAGCAACTTTCAAAGACTTGATTGGTAGTGTGTGAATATCAATGGAAAACATAACGAAACTCACCAATGGCAACGAGTGGTCGATATTCTGGCCAATTCTTTGTCGTCATTGGTGGACACATCGATGCACAAGTCGGTGACATTTGAACATTTGTTAGCAATCCAACGAGAAGAAATCGAAAGGACTTATCGACGCCCCCCCTCTGTTGACTGCCGGAAAAACTATCACCTAACGTTCGTTCCGGGGGATAAAACAGCAGATAAAAGTGCATTTTCTGCAGCGGCTAATGGGAGTGAAGCCTTTAGACATTCATCCGACATTTGCATGGACTCTGATAAGGACTCCGATGATGACTTTACACTCCAAATAAGTAAACGTCCATCGCTTACAAGCAAGACAACTTTAGTCTCCGTAATGGGACACATCGCAAATCCACTTACGTAACTGGATTTGCTTAATCTAAACGCATCCGATTGACAGCGATTTTCGTATACAATATCCGGGCACAGTTGCTCAATTTCCGCTGAGCCAACAGCATACGGCACGGTGGTCACGTGACGGCGACATCGCATCGTAATGCTACAGTTGTCATGAAGAGTATATATGACGTCACGTTGTAGGCAAGGGAGGATTGCATGGGTGAACGAGGGACTGCCTCTATCGAGGTAAATAGAGCCGATGGCTTGGTTAATGGCGGTATCGATGAAAAGAATCTCTCTTTGGAATACAAGAAGTATCATGTCACGATTCGATGGATGGTAGACAAGTTGAAGACAATCGCTCAGAGCGACATTCAATTCTTCCGTTCTAAAACAATCAAATTGTTGAGTTCATCTAAGTAAGGCTTGCATTGTAACGCAAGTAAAACTGACGCAAGATTGTTGTGAGCCAGAGATTTGCCAGGTGGAAAGCGAATTTTCAATATGAACATAATAGCCCAACATAAGACTTTTAAAAAAGCCATCACAATAATAAAATAAAGAAAGATAAAAGGTTTCTAATAATTACGTTTCGTCTTTAACTTAAGACATCTTCAGATTATTTGAGATAAATTATATACATGAGGTTTTAAATACAAGCATATATTACAGGGTGTTAAATTACATGTGAGAGGAGCAGGAAGTTTAGATGAAGGAATGAAATGAGTAGGGCTGTATATTAACGAAGGTGAAGGGGGATTGAGTTGCCTTGGGTGTTAAGAGAGGGTTTAAGTTTGGATATAAGAAGGCTTTCAAGAATCATAAAGTCATAATTGTCGGAGGAGGAAGCGAGAATTGAGAAGTCATTAAAATCGGCAGAGTGAGATGTATTTCTTATATGGGAAAGAATTACAGATGGTGGTAGACATAAGGCAGGTTTCCCTGTTAAGGGAGAAATTTCCAAGTGTTCCGATATTCTGGTGTGTAAATGACGCGTGGTTTGACACACATACGATGCGGAGCAGCATCGACACTTAAATGAGTATACAACACAACATCTCAGGAGCTTGAGAACCCTATCTTTAAAAGGAAAGAAAGAGGAGAGGCGCCTGGAAGAACGAAATCTCATGTATATAATTTATCTCAAATAATCTGAAGATGTCTTAAGTTAAAGACGAAACGTAATTATTAAAAATCTTTCATCTTTCTTTATTTTATTATTGTGATGGCTTTTTTAAAAAATTGTTGTGAGCCTTTTCAATGCCATTACCAAAACGAATGTGGATAAAACCTAGTCAAGTTTTGCCATTTTAACTTCGCATTATTGGTTGCGCGGGTCGAAAAAACTACAACTGGGACCATAACTATTATGAATTTTGAAAAAAATTTTGAACCTACTTCACGACAATGCCTAGAACAAAGACCTGACCGTTGGTCGCCGAACGGCTTGCGGGGATTAGGAATCATTCCATGCATGGGGAAGAACTCTATCCCTCAATCCATAAAGACAACCCACCAGCTCAGTAGAAAAACGCAAGGGATGGTTCACTGATGGAAGAGCGCTATCCCGCAAACCAACCAGCTGTAGCTAGGTTTATAAGGAAACAACTTGAAATTTTTCAACAACAAGATCAGAACGGAGAAAAAAATTCGAATGTCAGCCACCTGACACCAGCAAATCATGCATGAAGTGACGAAAGTAGTATCTGACGCACCTTGTCTTGTTTTCATTTCCTGCCCACAATTTGACTCTTTGAAATGCAGATTTTGTTGGTGCTCTTAGGGGACTATTATGGATACCGCTTGCGGGACTAGGGAGGTTGTTGTTGGACGAATTTGAGGCATTAGAACTTGTCATGTAGAATCGTCGTCCAACTCCTTCCGGTGCCTTATTGACGGAAAAATCGGTCAAGAAAACGAGATATTCTTGAGACATTACTACACGTGAAACAAAACAGGACTTTAATGCAACTCATAAATTAAAACCAAATAACATGTTTGTAGATGTAGATCGTCCAGGTTGGTATAGTCCTGAGAAGGACTGTTTTTGTTGTTGTTGACTGACGTTCCGACAACCTTAGCGGTAGTCATCTTCAGAAGAGACAACCTTAGCGGTAGTCATCTTCAGAAGAGACAACCTTAGCGGTAGTCATCTTCAGAAGAGACAACCTTAGCGGTAGTCATCTTCAGAAGAGACAACCTTAGCGGTAGTTATCTTCAGAAGAGACAACGTTAGCGGTAGTCATCTTCAGAAGAGACAACCTTAGCGGTAGTCATCTTCAGAGTCAAAAGTAATTTAGTTATTAAACACTAAATGGAACATTTGAAGAGGAACCGATGACTCTTTAAAAATAGGAATTCTGTAACAATATAAGTTAAAATAGTAACTCACAGGGGTGTATCAATTCTCATTTAACAGGAGGGGTGTAGATTTCCTGGGGGGTGTGCATTATCCTGGCTAAAGTTGCCTCGGCTATTGATTAGAGATGAGTGAACCTTGTGTAATGAATGCGTTGATACCTTTTCAAATCAAAGTATACATACATGTTACTTTTGCAGGACTGAATGGGTCAAATGCAAAGCAGAGAAGATTTTCCTGGAAGGTTTTCTTCCACAACTTGATACCGGTATCGGCATTCCACAAAACAAAACTAGACGGTGAGTGAAGCACAGCCAGGAGATCATGTGATGCATCCTGGGTCCACAACCAATCAATGTCCAATATTGGTTTGGAGCTGTCGAAAAACTCAGTGAGTGAGATGCCTTGGGCCACATCCCATATAATAATATGACCTGTAGTGTCAGCCGAAGCAAGACGGAGACTATACGGACATGCAAGATCGTGATGATAGTTTTGTCGAGACCATTTTATCTAAAAAGAAAATCATATACTTCTCAAAAGTCAATGTTTCAAGGAGTGAGAGGCCATTGCAGAGCAATGGTACAAGCACTGGAAAAAATAAGATGTACAGGGTGTCCCCAAAAAATCCAGAACAGTGGGAATCAAAAAGATTCATGAGAAACGAGGGTAATCGTCTCATCAACATTTAACACAATACACCAATATAAAATGTTCAAAATGGAATGGCATAATGGAACAGTTTCTGAAGCATGCAGGGTGTCACAAAAAGACCGGAGTATGCTAATTTATGCATGTATGAATTGAAGAGTATTTATATCATGATGAAATTCAAATTAATTTAATACACAGACATTCCCATGTGTGAGAAACAACGACCTGTCTGATAGCTGAGAAACGACGACAAGTCAATGAATTGAATAATTCGTATTTCATCAAAATACTGCTTAATTTTATGCAGCAAACTAATTTGATATGCATGCCTAAATTTGTATGTTCAATTTTTAAGACACCTGACACCATATTGTGTAGACATCAGCTTTGTACATTTGGTTATGTTTATTTGTACTTTTAGTTAGGTTCATCTACCTTTACGACATTTGACTGATGAAGATCCAATGTTTGAATGATCTAAACAAAAGATATCGAGATTTTTATTTACTAGCTAAACATGACAATATTATTCGGGAAAAGAGAATTTTGAAAATTATCAACATGATAATATTATTTGGAAAAGGAGAATTTTTAAAATGATATTTTTAGCTAAAAACACTAAAAGTAAGCAAATGTACATTTTGCCTGCTTTTGTGGAGCTCAGATCGAAATGAAGCTGTCGATAGATGATTAAACATTACCTGAACTGTCTCAGGATCTACAACAATGATGAAATTCTGACAACCATAAGCAAGCATTGACTGCCATCCCCTAACAATACAGAAAACTCACAATTTGAACATGACGATAGATAGTGGACAGATCTCATGAATTTTTGTATAAGTTTATAAAAATGACATTACCAATCTAAAGAACCCTTATTTTGAACATGCAACGAGCCAGGGATGAGCTTTGGCGTGAGTTTCATCTTTGCAATGATCTATATCGCCATAAGTCAGCTATCAGCAAGATTTTCACGGGAAAAAATGATAGGTTTAATAATAAGGAACTCATGCGACGTGCTTTAAATTAGCAATTAAAAAATAAATTATCGTAATGTACATAATTCTTTGGAAAAATTTAATTTACTACCCAAAATATGAGCCTTTGGTTGCAATGTTCGGCGGTTTCAAAAATGGTATCATTAATCGTTGATGTAACACCAATATAAATCCTAGCCTGCGTTCAGTCTTTACGGGGTAGGGGTAGGGAAAATTAGCGCGAGGAAGGTGCAAACTAAAGAGCTTTCGATTTTCGAAAATTGAGATTATATTTTGAAATGGGTTTATAACCACTCTGAAACAATCAATGATTTTGATTGGTTGTCGTGAACATCGTGGAGAAAGAATTTCTGTATGTTGTACTAGTTCACCCATTATCATGGACGCAAACCATTTAACTGCTTTATTGTAATTAGGAATCTACCATCTATGGTATCCAGAGCCCTCTATAGCGTAATATATGGTACCGACTGTACCGTTCCGGAATGTTTTCAAACATCTATTCATGTCATATTACTTCCGGCCACTTCGGCTACTTCCGTATGGCGGCCGACAGATCACCATGACGATGTCATTAAACAACAGGCGACTTTTGCTTGCGTTCAACAGTTATTTCTTGCAGAAAATTCAAAAGACAAACGGTACGAGTTGATCAATATTGTAACAGAGACCACAATGTTTCACTTCAATGTTTGTATAGCTTTATCGAACTGTCAAATTATGTACACAGCGATTAACTCAAGATCACATTCACAGTTAAGGCGACAACCCAAGGAAAAGGCTATTGAAATTTACGCATGTGATTACCACAATAGTAGCCACTCAAATGCAATTTTGCCAATGCAATTAATCAATGGCTAACTGCAGTGCAGCCAGTAAACTGATTTAATATGCATTAGGCCAGTAGGGGGGGAATTGCACACCAAAGTGTTTTCACTATTTCTTCCTTATACTTTGACAATTTTAATGCATAGAATAGACTGGCAGGTGGAACTGACAAAATATAATACGCTACATTTTGTTTATTTACAGATGAAATTCCCAAACATGTATCTTAGTTTGTACATGTGATAAAATGGGTATGTAAAGTGTACATTCTTATGACAACAGATCATATTTGTGATACTTTATCTGCCTGCTTCTCAAATCTCAGAGGCTCCTGACCCACCTGTGATTGGGCAGGTGACCCATAACACTATTGAACTCTTCTGGGATCAATCAAGAGAGAAATGTGTCACGAATAATGAAGAAAGAATAAAGTATTGTATCCAGGAAGAGGAAGGAAAGTCAAAAAATTATTTCACTGTTTATAGGTGATTATAGCATTTTCATAATTTGTAAATACTCAGATGTGAAAAATGTTAAATGCAACTAAACCTTAACAAATAAGATGATAGTTAAATTATAGCAAAAATTCTTTCATGGGGTGTCAAAATAAGGAAAAATCAACTACATCAGCTGGAGGGCTAACTTCAAATAACTAATGGTAACAATGACTATGATAGCATTGGATAATGGTAGCCATGACTAATGGTAGCATTAACTGATGGTAGCAATGACTATGGTAGCATTATCTGATTGTAGCAATGACAAATGGTAGCATTGACTGATGGTAGCAATGACTAATGGTAGCAATGACCAATGACAGCAATGAGTATGGTAGCATTGGCTAATGGTAGCAATGACTAATGGTACTAGTAATAGCTGATGGTAGCATTGAGTAATAGTAGCAATGACTAATGATAGGATGGCTGATGGTAGCATTGACCAATGGTAGCATTGGCTGATGGTAGCATTGACCAATGGTAGCATTGGCTGATGGTAGCAATGACTAATGGTAGCATTGGCTGATGGTAGCAATGACTAATGGTAGTAATGGCTAATGGTAGCATTGACTAATAGTAGCAATGGTTAATGGTAGCAATGACTAATGGTTGAAATGACTAATGGTTGAAATGGCTAATAGTAGCAATTGTTAATGGTAGCAATGACTAATGGTTCAAATGGCTGTAGTAGCAATGGTTAATGGTTGAAATAAGGTAAAGAGGTTAACTCACGTGCTCATGGTTAAAACATGAAGAAAGCGAATAGTATTGTAATCATAATATTTGTACTTTGGCTTCAGAGGTTACGCAAACACTTGTATTCTCAATGGGATAAAGGAAAATACAACACATCGCTACAGAGTGCAAATCAGATTTACAAACACTTCCAGTCCATGGAGCTCGACAACTGAAGTTACAACAAAAAGTGAGATAAAATATCTTCATTTTCAATGCATTCCGTGACCCAGGCACAAGTAGCAATTTCATTACAATAATAGACTTTTGAACTTCAATCCAGGCTTTCCGTCTTCCGGAGCACAGCTCCACCGTGCCGTGCTAAATTTGGATGTAGACAAAGTTACGATGATTGTAAAAAATAAGTAAGTTGACGAGAATCAACGTCTGCTTGGCTATAACTGTTGTAGCTCGCGAGGGTACAACAGTTATGCATGATACTTTTGGTCAAATACTGATGTCTCATTCAATCATTTCATTATTGCGCAGCGAATCAATGGTGGATGTTCCCGATCGTATGGGCTGTTCTCCACTGATGGTTGCTTCACAAAAAGGCTACACTAGGCATGTACACTGCTACACTATGTATAAATAAATATATCTACCTAAACACAAAACAAAATGAAAGTTCCCCCTTTTTTGGACTGAGAGATGGATTGTTTTATGTTCTAAATTATTGAATTTCGGATAATTCAAAACAGCGCTATTTATGCTTTGAGTAATTTGCAGCCATGTGTAGATTGAGGTCATTCGTGCTTTAAAAAAACAGGTATCACCTCTTGAATTAAGTTTCACACTCATTATTTAGCAACATGAAACCGTCATCGCGTTAAGCAGTTTTAAAGAGATTTGATTCGTCCCCAATCCCTGTGGGCTTGGTAGCTCAACAGGTAGAGCGGCGGACTAGGTGCTAGTTCAAATCTCGTCCAAGTCACATGTTTTTCATGTTCATCTAAAAAAAACGTGTTAGGATTTATATTAAGCAGTTTGAAGAATGATTGTACGAAAACAAAGCAATCGCAATTGACCTTTTACAGTCTGGCCTGATGCTCATTAATTTAGCAATTATGGTTTATCTGGAAGGAACTGTCTTTTGTGTTGTGTTTATAATTTATATTACATATTGATACAACAATAAGCAACTAAACAATCAATGCAATTTTTTCTCAACATATCGTCATCAATTACAATTGCAGTTTAAAGCGCACGATTGATTTAAACAATTTTAAACATCACGGTATTAAAATGTGCAAACTAAACAAGAATCTGACAACCAAAAAGAACTAAGACGACCACACAGCCAGGCCACATAACAAAACTATTTTGAAATCATTAAAAAATTTCCGGTATGAAGTCGAAGCGGTTCGTCTTCATTTCCCGAGAAGCTAAAGAAAAACGTTTTCTGTGGACGACGTTCTTTTGTCTTGCATTTAATAAGTAGAATCAACAAACAAATAAGCATATACAAAATTCTGTCGGCAATAGTACTTCATACTTAAAACCAAGAACAACAATTGGCGTTCATACATTTTCTACTGTTTAACCTCTACGTGTATAAAGATAGATGGTCAGTTAACGATAGACTATTCACTTTCACAGTGTCATAGATGCACTTCTCAGTCACGGAGCTGACGTATCATTCTCAAATTCCAGCGGCAAGGATAGGTAGGTAGGAGATTGCTGACGTGTTCCTCTCGCTCATATGACGTCATAAGATTGTTAAAATAGCGAGTACGACTGTAATGTACAGCTCCAGTAAATAAAGGCAAGCAAAGAGTATCCATTTTAAGATTGAATTGACGACGCTCAACTTACATATCACAGGCTTATACGCGCTAAAGAGAGATGAAAAACGACGTTTTTGTAACTTGAAGGGCCAGTAAAAAGAAAAATTTGCAATTAAAGTATATTTTTATTGAACGCCCAGAACTCTTAAAATGACAGTGGATTTTCTAAAACAGTTTATTCGTGTCTTATGATGTTCATTAAGATATTGAAGTTTTTGCAACGCCTGATTTTCACAACTAGTGACGTCAAATTTCAAAATGACAGTGACGTCATATTGCAAAATAGTCGCTGCAAATTTATAAATATCCTTCTGTTTCATGATAACTTTTGGATGAAATACTTATGCTTGATTTCGTACCATTAACAATTCAGAAAGACAGGAACTCAGTCCGCATGAAATAATTTATCAGCAAATATTTCTGATTATTTAATTTTTCACTATGCAGTATGACGTACGTGGATGCGCAAAGCGGACAGTAACGTCAATATCTTGAGAACGAAAAGAGATATGAATAAACTGTTTTAGAAAGACGAATGTCATTTTAAGAGTTCTCTTCAACGAAAACATCATAAACTTGAACAAAAGTTTCCTTTTACTGGCCCTTTAAGTGGCGATTGGCTAATAACATGTATTTTTTCTCGTTGTATACAAAGCATGATGATGGCATGTTTTACCGGCCATGTTAACGTTGCCACAACTTTAAAATCCCACGGCGCTTCCCTGGAAGCTAAAGATCATGGAGGTATTTAAAATAAGTACATTGCCCTCCCCCTCCGTACATTCATGTCACGTTTCAAGGACAGTAAGGTACAATGTTAATAAAGATTCGGGCGAAAAACGCCGACTTATGATCTGAGAAGGTGTCCTGTTTTTAAAAACATTTTAGGTTCTACAGCTCTTCATTGGGCTGTCGACGGTGGCAGTATAGCTGCTGTGGAGTGGCTACTGTCGAATGGAGCCGAGGTAAAACTGTTATTTTGAAAGCTTGATAATAGCTATAGACATGTTAACGTCCGCTAGCGGTTGAATAATTCAGACTTATTATTTTTGCTTTTCAAAGGTCGATGAGTTAGACGTGGCAGAGTGGACGCCTTTAATGCGAGTAGGTACGTATGTCTCGGATGATGTAATTCGAAGATGCGAAATATCGATAGCTTTCTACAGCTGAGATTCAGAGATCAATTAAAGCCAACATATTAGCCTATGCTTGGGTCAAGTTTTTTGTGAATGAGCTGTTAAAACGCTGTGCTGAGTGCAACGATTTCTCCGGGTGCTCGGTTGGAATGCTGACGGCGTCTGGTAAAAGGGTCAACCGGTGTTAACATGTTTAACGTCCATAGAAATTTGGTAAAACAATGGTGAGGTGCTTCGATTGATTATGTCGTAAATTTTATAGCGACGTTAGATGGAACGACCGAAGTTGCAAAAATGCTGCTGCAAAGTGGAGCGAACGTCAATACTGAAGATAAACAAGGAAGAAGTGCCTTGATGGTAGTTAACATGCATCTTCCTAAATTGATCACCCTTCGTACCCCAATATGTACTAGGAGATTTCTATACGCCATTGACTGTGTACTAGGAGATTTCTATACGCCATTGACTGTGTACTAGGAGATTTCTATACGCCATTGACTGTGTACTAGGAGATTTCTATACGCCATTGACTGTGTACTAGGAGATTTCTATACGCCATTGACTGTGTACTAGGAGATTTCTATACGCCATTGACTGTGTACTAGGAGATTTCTATACGCCATTGACTGTGTACTAGGAGATTTCTATACGCCATTGACTGTGTACTAGGAGATTTCTATTCGCCATTGACTGTGTACTAGGAGATTTCTATACGCCATTGACTGTGTGCACGATCTAAAGTTTTTTCTAATTTGTCATACTTTCATGCCCTAGTTTTATGCACTGATACGATTCGTTAGGTAACTGTCTATTGCTTGATTTTGTGTTTGTGACCGGGTCTAACGATCGCGCTACGTCATTGGGTAAATGACCAAACTTCAATTACTTTCATGGTCTATAGCCAATAGCCTTTTCTGTTCATTTTTTCAAATGTGTAGGCTGCCGCATTGTCTGGTCGACTTGACCTTGTCAAACTCTTCGTAGAGCATGGAGCGGATACTGAAAAACGAAACTCTGTAGGTTCTCCTGCCTCGATGAGGCTAGCTGACGATCACCACTTTGATTCTATATTTTTATTTATCTTAAAGCAAATAATAATTAAACCCTTACCCTGTACATTCATTGTTTATGTTTTACATTTGCAACAGCACGGTCACAACGCCTTGGACTTTGCACAATCATTCGGCAGAAATGTAAGTATAGGAACTCGTACACGAGTTCCGCCATCCGCGCAGTGTGATAGCATCGGTTTTGGCCATGTGACGTAGCCAGCCCGCAAGTTTGGTCATGCTATGGAAATATTTTGGTGTTCATTCATTGTAAAAACAAGAGATTTCTAAAGAAATACATCATCCCAATGATCTGGCATTTCAATCGCACTATCAAACATACAGGCTGGCTATTTGCCACTATTCTCGTTCCATATTGAAGTTACTTTTTGTTGTAGGACGTGGTTTCTTATCTCAAATCAATTAATCGACCGCAAAACGACACGGGCACCAAGGCCAAAACAAACAACTCGTGATAAGAGTATTAACAAACTACTTATGAAACATTAAGTATGACGACGATCTGCACTTTCAAGCATTAGCTACCGCATACGTAAGCCTTAAAGAGCCGTTACATTTAGTTTAGTTTTAGACGTGCATCTGTTCAATTTTAAAATTGTAAATTAACGTTTTCTATTGATACAGCACATTCGTGTCAAGTTGGATACGCATGTAGCTTGGTCTTGAATTACATATGTTTAATTTCGGCGTTCTTGTCCCTTCTTGTCCCTATTCATCCCTTCTCCTAGATCTACGTAATTGATCAAATCGCGGTAAAGTTGTTGTCCGCGTTAACCCCGAGAGCGTGTCGATTGCTAAAGTAACTTTGCCAAAAACACGACCAGCCGCCCAACGTCATATAGTACCGCTATGCAAATATGTTGATGCTACAACAACTTCTATAGAAATAAATTTCCGTAGAAATATTTGCTCTGCAGAAGTATTCCACTTAGTATAGTATATGTCATACATTCCTTGAATGAAACCACATAATATTTTTTGACTGTTTACTTACAGTCATGCTTTCACCTTCTTCATGAAACAAACTGCTCCATTTCTGATGTGATAGTCTCCATTTTACTCCAAGGTATTAACATGACAGTTCTGTATGGTCTCATCTGATTGTCACCATCCTGCCATTTGCCCGTCACCAAACTATGACTTTGCTCTGTGACGTCATAGTCGACTTTCTCGGTCGCCCTCTGAAATGAGTTCGGACACAAAAGATGAGAAAGTCTCGTGCGCGGTGAAATGTTTCGCTGTAATCACGTGAGGAAGAGTCGACATTTCTAAGATTTCATGAAAGTAAGCTTGCGTAACTAAGATATGTTGCCACATAGGAGAATGAAGACTACCATTAGAAAAATACGTAAAAATAATAGAAGAAAATTTCAACTCCAGTTTTGAAAAGAAAGAAGTGCGACGACACGTTTGAAAAAAATTCGATAAAAAAAATTGAGTTCAACAAATTTCAAGCACATCTTAATAAATTCATGATGCACTTTTAGGGGACGATTACATGGAGCAATTTCAGCCCAGGCCTGTTATAATATCCTATCAAAATAGCGTACGCGATTACATGAGAACAATTCTAGCCCCAGCTGAGTTTCATCACGGGCTGGAATTCCAATTATTTCTGCGTAAATTTACCGATACTTTTATGCAGTCTATACACTAAAGTTTGTGCTACTGTGAATTCACATTTTACACAATGTTTTGTGTAAAATTTACCAATACTTTTATGCAGTCTATAAACTAAAGTTTGTGCTACTGTGGATGCACATTTCACACAAATTTTTGCGTATAATTTAAACAACATTTCATGCAGTGTACTGGCATTTCTCAAGAAAACTATTCTTTCAAATAACCTGGCTAAGTATTTCATCTTCAGCATTAATGAACATCAAAGCGTTCTCCTCTTCTGTCTGTTTCTTCTTTTTTCGCTTAACGGACACATCCAATTTGTACGACTTACAAATATACAGCAGATAGCTGAATTCGAATGGTTTGCCCTGTAGGTACAAATAAATGACCATCAAAATAAGTTTCAAAAAACAAAAGTGAAGATCATAAAAACTGTGATAAATATTACCTTACGACAAGCTTTGATAATTTCTGATCTAAAAAGAATATGCTTCGTAAATATCAATTACATGACAATTCATCAAACACCCTTACATTGACAATGGTACTTTGATGGATATTTGCAAATTTCGGTTACACGACAATCCATCAAACACCCTTACATTGACAATGGTATTTTGATGGATATTGGTAAATTCGGTTACACGGCTATCCATCTAACGCCCTTACATTGACAATGGTACTTTGATGGATATTGGTAAATTTTGGTTACATGACAATCCATAAAACACTCTTACATTGACGATGGTACTTTCATGGTATTTTGATGGATATTGGTAAATTTCGGTTACACGACAATCCATCAAACACCCTTACATTGACAAAGGTACTTTGATGGATATTGGTAAATTTCGCTTACACGACAATCCATCAAACACCCTTACATTGTCAATGGTACTTTGATGGATATTGGAAAATTTAACACTGCATACGTGCCTATAATCAATGAACAAGCAACTGATCGTGTGTAAATTTCAGAGAATTGAATCACACTGCTTCCCTTTCCTGCATTCTTCAAAATTAGTAACCATCATTGAATTGTTTTCTCAGCTAATAAAAAAAGTTAACTTCTCAAACTCACCTCAGACTTGCATAAAGAGGAGGTGCTATATGTGCTGGAATATTTATATACCGTTCGCTGATCAGCCAGCCAATCACATTGTCTGGATTTGTAAGTATCTTAAGGAATCCCCCATGATCACATTTTGTTTTAACCAGCTCAATAAGATCCTTAATGCATGTAGAATCCTGAAGCAATACAAAATAGATCAAAATCAGTGAGTTTACATCAATGATCCACCATTGCGTAAATGATGAAAAAGTTCTGTACCTTGTGACGGTTAAGATTTAGAACTGTGGTAATACCACATGTTTCATTCTCATCATTGTCATCATCATCCTCTTCAGGTATGCACTAAGTACCAAGACATAAGCACTTGTGAGTTAAATTTACCATAGAAACCAAAGTAACAAGATGCCTATCTACATAGTGTTCCTTCCAGCTCCTTGAAAACAGTGTTTAGTAATATTTGCATGTAGTAATAGTTGCCAAATAGCACAACAAAATTCGCGGCACTGCAATCTCAAATGTGGCAGTATGTTATGTAAGCAAATAACTTTTCATTATACCGTGTCAACTGTCATTAGTGACACACAGGCATGAAGCAATTCAAGAAAGATATTGATTGGATCAAGGACTTCATGTCAGTCAAATGTGATTTGTGTAATCTTGTGACATTACAGGAAAATCCAAATTTTAAAGTAGTGCTTACATTTGATAGCACGAGTAATTACTACAAGTCCCCTTTTTATTTCAGTACAGAAACAGTAAGTTGATTGAAATCAAACCTTTATGACGCTTCCCACTTCAGACTGACTTAATATAATTTCTGTTAACTCAGAGACATTGATGCCGCATTTCACCAAAAGCTGTCAATGAAACAGAGAGATTTTACATTTATAACCAGATCAAGACCCTGTTTGATTTGCAAACAGCAGATTCAAAAGTTGCACACATATATGTGGCCTCTTTGCTAAATATTGCACATCAAAGATCTAAACAATACAAACATTCCAGTCTGGTATCTGGGGCTTATAGTTGCAGAAATTCAGTTCTTAAAATGGGGGAGCAAAGTGGAGCAAAGTTCTGACAATATTTTTCCAAAATTACTCTTCACTTGTGAAGACTCCAGAATTCTACAAATTGTATCATTTATCTTTTTTCAACGATTGATTTACTGAAAATTGAGATCAATGTAGCCTAACAAGGCTATTTACAACAATAGCATTCAAGTAACTTATAAAAGGGAATTCATTAAAGATATTCAGGTTCAAACATGAATTACCCAGCAAAATTTCTCGTGCTACAGTAATATTACCCGAATTTCAGTAGATTCATTCTTTGTCACCTTTTTGGACAAAACTTAAATTTCATGAAAGGTGGTGTAGGGGGGGTGGGGCAGCTCCACACCACTCCCCCAACACTTCTGCCCTTGGACAAGTGATTGCATGCATAGATCTAAACCTTGTTTATTATTATGTTGTTTAAGAGCTGCTCATAATTCGCAATTTTCATCAACGTACTTGCTGCAATAATCTCTTTATGCCATCAAAATCTGAAGCTTCGGGAGTACGCGCTTCAAACTCAACTTGAATTTCCTGAAAGAAATGTCCGATGTAAGAATCTCTTCTTGTAAATGGCAGGATTTTGGTTCGGTCCAGGAATTGCAATTGTCATGATTAAAACGAAACACCAACTTCTTATCATCATAAATTTCATGTTTGCAAGATGGACAGTCACATTTATACAAGCAATATGATGATAAACCATAGAAAAACTCACAAGATTATGATCTACATCAGATTCGGAGTCAACGCTTTCATCTTCACTCGAAGACTCGTCGTCGCTGTCCTTTTCAGTAACTTCGTCTTTTCGCTTCTTTTTCCACGCTTTGGAAGCCATTATTTTATGCTACACTCTCTACACCTTGTTCCACACCCTCCTGAAATCATTGAAAAATATAAATATTTTAATATCACATCACCATACGAGCAGGAGAACGCAATTGTAAAAATTTTAACTGGATGAGATACCCCCTGTTGACGATTGAAAATTTTATTCCGTATATTTATTTATAGTCTTTCTTCTGGGGAGAAGAACAATTTGAGTAATAATAGATCTCGCGTGTTTTCGGTGTTACGCGTGAGTTAGCGTGATGTGGGAGGAGAGTGACATTTAAATTTTTTCCACATCACTTCGCACATCAGAAGATAAAAAATGAGCTCCAAAGATCAACTATTTCTTCGGAAGCTCGAAAGTTGCGAGGACAAGAAAGAAAGAGGGAATTGATTCGAACATATTTGAAAAAAATCCACGAAGAGACGCATAAAAGAATGTAAAATTTGTCCCCAATTTTCCCGTTGGATGTGAATGGCTAAATATGGAAAAGGACAAGGCCTTGTCCATCAAAGGAAACTTGCGTGGAAAAATATGCGTATTGGACTTTTTCACGTATTGTTGTATAAATTGCCTGCATGTTTTGCCTGACTTACATCAGCTTGAATCAAATTACAGCATCGAAGATGGTCTGGTTGTTGTTGGTGTTCATTCAGCCAAGTTTGAAAACGAGAAAGTCTCTACTAATATACTCAACGCTATTTTAAGATATGACATCACACATCCTGTAATAAATGATAACGAAGCTGTTCTTTGGAATGCTATGGAGATAGCGTGTTGGCCAACATTGGTCATAGTTGGACCAAATGGTCAACTTTTGTTGACCCTTGTTGGTGAAGGTCATCATGTGATATTGATGGAGTTTGTTGATGCTGCATTGAAGTGGTTTAAATCAGTTGGTATGGGCTTGCTAAGCAATCATAATTAATTAAATCTCATTTTAAAGGATGTCTCATAATCAAGAAATCATATATTTTTTCGTTTTCTTTGTTCTTGTTTTTCTAGGTGAAATAAAGGATCACTCAATCAACATAAGCCTGGCAAAAAACAGCCTTCCAAAAACAAATCTCTTGTTTCCTGGCAAAATATCATTAAATGAATCCGGAGACCAGTTAGCCATCTCCAACTCAGGTCATCATCAGATCTTGCTGGTGGACGTGGGTGGTAATGTTATGTCAACTGTGGGTAAGGGAATCGCAGGTTTGGTTGATGGGGACTTCAAGGTGGCACAGTTTAACAGTCCACAAGGTGTGGCATGGCATGGCAACCAGATTCTCTATGTGGCCGATACCGAGAACCATGCAATAAGAAAGGTATTATACCCTTGCATTGTTAATTCAACACCTTTCTTTCTAAGTATTTTTGACGTCTTTTCAAAAACTTTTGCCAGATCAATTTAAAAGAAAAAGTAGTGAGCACAGTAGCTGGAATGGGTACTCAAGGCAATGATAAAGTTGGTGGAAAAACTGGCAAAGATCAAGCAATCAGTTCACCATGGGATGTTGTGATTGGCCCTTCCCCAGGTCAGAAGTGGTAATATTTCTCCCTTTGAAAAATTGAAATATTCCTGCTTCATTTGTGTATTTCTGTTGGTGTTGCATGTACTGAGTTACATATATTGTGTCCCTATATTTTTCCTACTTGTGAGAAGTCACATAAAAGCTTGAATAGTTTTCCAAACTTTTGCCATAAACACCTTTTCATCATGAAAAGCATTCTTCATTCAAAGGTGCCTTGGATATTTTACATGACGAAAGTGTCCTGTACATTGCTATGGCTGGAACACATCAAATATGGGGACTGTGTTTGTCCGATACCAAGTGGCTAAAGAGAAGGTATACCTTCAAATATTAATGCAGTAACTACTGGCCAGCCGACCAATGAAACGAACATCGAGCACTGACGCATTAGTGGAATTATTTTAGTGACGAAAAAGCGATGACGTGTCTAAGGTTTTCCGGAAGTGGAGCAGAGGAGAATCGTAACAATAGTTATCCGCACAAAACTGGTTTTGCCCAACCATCGGGTCTAAGTGTCGCCCGTGAAAAGCCATTGGAATGTATTTTCCTGGCTGATAGCGAGAGTAGCAGCGTCAGGTCCGTATCGATTGTCACGGGTGGTTCAAAGGCTCTGGTTGGAGCGGACAGAGATCCAATGGTATCATCATTAATCTTTTTTTAAGGCAGTGATCTGTTCTCTGTTTTTTTTATTGTAAACATCAAAGCCTACGCTATCTAATGGCTTGCAGTGGGCATTACGTGAAGTGCAGTTTGCAAACTTCAGTATAACAGTGAAGGTCGTTGCCATTAGACATCATTTGTTGACCATATCGAATGTACTGAACCATTAAGTCGCGCGTTTAGTTATCTATGTTCAATTCTTTCAGAATCTTTTTGCCTTTGGCGACATTGACGGTAAAGGAGTTGATGCAAAGCTACAACATCCTCTGGCTGTCGCTTGGAATAGTCGAAAAAACGAGCTCTATGTTGCGGATTCTTATAACCACAAAGTAACTATGACATACAATTATCACTAGCTTGCCTCGCAGACTATATATTCAAACAATGTCTCGTGTGTTTACTTATAGATTAAAGTGATTGATCCATTAAAAAAGACTTGTACGACGATGTTAGGTACTGGCCAGGCTGGATGTGTGGATGGTGAAATAAAGGATGCACAATTTAACGAACCAGGCGGTCTGTGTGTCAGCGCAGATGGTAACGTGTTATATATTGCCGATACTAACAGTCACGTTATACGCAAAGTGGATATAAAAGGTGCTAAAGTCAGCACGGTAAGTATTGATATTGTCATAGTCAGTAGTTTGTCATAGTTAGTATTGATAGTCATGGCTTCGGCATTTGGAGTCATACTTTGGAGTTCCTACAAAGAAAACAACGCTCAACGATTGTTGTCAATATCGAATATATTGTGAAGTGCTTTGGTGTTTTTCGATATTCTTTTCATGCAAGCGCTAATCTTGTTTTCAGTTACCCATATTAAGTCTTGTTGCTGCGGACGTGGACGCCTTGGCAGACTCGGCCGACAACATCAAAGATCCACGAGAAAAGTATCGACGACTCGCACCGAAAAATGCGAAGATCATACAATGTAATCCTGTCAAAGTTAATGACAATTCATTAGACGTACAATTTACTTATGGTTTACCAGCCCAGTGTAAGTTAACAGAAGGCGTAAAAAGCAAATGGCAATGTACAGCGTTTAAAGATTCCTTGGAAGGTGCGATTTCAGAAAGTACCTTAGTGATGGCTTTACTCTTAGTTTCACATGTGATAAAATTATTTCAATTTAATGTACCTTTCTATCATTGTCCACACACGTCTTTATAGAAGATGCTCGTGTACTCCACAGCGGAGTTTTGCCCAAAGTTGGTACACCTTCGTCCTTCGTGGCGAAAATGGCCGAAAATTCTGAAACTCAAATCAAAGTAAGTATGAACCTCTTTACTTTGTTCTTCGACGTTAATGTATATGATATATGAAATGAAACCTTACTTATATAATCTTACGTAACATTTTCAGGTTGAGGCAAAGATATACTTCTGTGAACCGGACGGTGCATGTTATATGCAAGGAATTGTATACGTGCTACCTGTAGTGCATCATGGTGAAGGCTCGCTGAAAGATGACGGACCTGTAAAGCTACATTTTGACTGCACTAAACCTTAAAACTCGTGATAGCTGCCAAATAATTTTTCTCTTTTTTGCATTGCGTAATAATTTGACTCTCGACCTACATAAAATAATCACCATGGCATTATCTCAGTATACATTCATTGTGAGTTAGAAGATGCACCATTGTTCAATAGGCTACAACAAAATAACAACTCGTTTTCATTTCAAGTACATTATATTTCCTGATTTAGCTATTATGTACAATCCGTAGCCACATCGCTTCGGCATTTTCCCCGGCGATCTTCGCCACACAATATTATGTCTTCTTCACGGAGGACTATATGCCGGTCATTTTAAACGGATATCTCGCGGAACTGACCGTAACGACAGAAAATTGTTGTCAAACACACACATGTGAATAAGGCAATAAAACGCAGGAGAATGAATTGTGCCTATTGATAATTAACGAGATTTGATCACAACTTATTGGACTGACTTAAGTCAAAAGCATGGACGTGCGGACCGTGGATAGCTCTCTAGCTATCCATAAGCCATGTTCATATTTCAATCGTGCTGAATAGAATTTGCCGTCGCATGTGACATGCGACAATAAAGGGTCACCAAAAAACAACCCACGCATCAAAAAGAATTAAATATATCTATCTGTGTTCTATGATCATGTACAAGCGTAGTTACTCGTTTACAGTCTCTTCTGCAGCGGGGACTTTTCGCGGTGGTTCCCCTGACCACGGTGGCATAACTGGACTGCTATTAATGAGCGGGCTGTTGCGAAATTCTTCTTCGGGAGGAACAATCGAGTCGTAACCGGTATTTTCTAACCTAAAAGAAGAAACACCACGAAAACTATCCTTCATCATCCGCGTTAGCAAATTTTCTTTCATCCTATCTGTATCCTATCAGTGTACTGTCCATCCTCCCTTAACCCAAGTATTCACTCATACTATCAGCTAAATTTATAAACTTACGATGTTAACCTTGTGATAAGTCTTTCATCTTCGTCGCATAATTCCCCACCCATTAACGATGGTTCCCCGACAACCATGACATCTTGTGCGGTAAGGCCAAAATTTCCCACCGTACGGCTGGGCGAGGCATTCTTTTTCTTATTTACAGAAGTGTTTGCCGTTAAGTTGGCATTCGGTGTGGACGAAGTTGGAGTGGATGGTTTCCGTCTGCCTTGCCGGCGTTTTGTCCTCGGAGCAGCGCTACCATCTACACGTATCATCGAAATTTAATCATCAGATTTATTTAAAACTTTGTTATGTTTATTAGTATTTCATAGTTCTTGCAAACCAAAATCGTCGGCAAATACCTCGTTTTGAGGAAGACGTTCTTCGCTTGTTCATATTTATAGTATGCTGTTGAGCTATGAATAGAAAGGAACGAGATTCAATGGTAATAAGAAAGGCCTTAGGGCATTTGGCGTCTAAGAATTAGCACTGTCACCAGTCGAAAGTGTTTAAGGTAAGATAGAACTGAACTGATTTGAAAACCTCTTGCACGAACTGACGCATCAGAAATGTTCTTATATTAAAGAAAAGAAGAGCGCTTGATTACAACACATCTATCAATGCGACATATTTGATTTTCGTCAGCTTACCAAGTGCTCAATACGTATAACTTGTCACATCGTAAATGTCATCAAAAAACGGACCAAGTCCCGTATTCCCCGACTTATGTCAGCACTGTCAATTTAGTAAACGTGGTCGGCAGAATACTAACTATGATACACAATACTCTGCATGATTTGCTCACCTTGCCAAGGTAATTCCTGCTGATGATTCGTTTCAACTGCACCCATTACTATTTAAACATAGACAAAAGATGTCAATAGACAAACCCTCGGAATACATGGTTGAAAGAGAAAAGCCAGATTTGGAAACAAAAGGCGTAGATAAAGTGCTATATAACAGCTTTAACTCTTCAACGACTATACACCATTGTAGAATACCTGGCGAACCCAATCTTCTCCTTCTTTCAAATAGCGTAGATATTAGGCAATCTAAAATTGGCATACGCAGCTTGTTAGATTCGACAATATGTCACTCCTGCCGAACAAAATCACAATGCAAGATAATTTATGTTGATCTAATGCATGTAGGTGCTGGAGTCTTGAATGACAGCAGACATTTCTCTTGCGCTTGTTTCATATTGTAATGCATGTATTTCGAGAGTTCGAACTACATTTCTTGTTCGACCCACCTCGAGGATTCAAGCGGTAGGTCTTCTGTCGCGACATAAGTTCTTGCATGGGCTCAAGTATAAAACAAACCTAGAACAAGCAATGTCCACTTGCATTTAGTAATGTAATAGTATGTGAGGTGATTCCCCTAGAGAGTGGTTAACTTACATTTAATAAAGTATGAGTATGTGACGTCATTCCTCTACAGGTGATGTTCTTGCTTTGTTCCTCAATAATACTACGATCTGCAGTCAAGAGACGTCTTGGTATGTATTCTTCATGATGATGAATGTTAAAATGCCAATTACGTATTCGCATCAAATCGTCAAAGAGTAAAAATTCCAGAAGAAGTCTGCCTTCGGTCACGACCTAAAATTGGACTAAGTAATTGCCACTTGCCTACAGAGAATTTGCATGCTCTCTTTTCCCTCATTTTATGCGGGGCTTCCCCACTTCCCTCCATGAAAGGATTTCACAAACTCCCTGTATGCTGTTGTTCTCCTCAATGTATGCAGGAGCTCCACACGTTCCCTGCATGAATAGGTTCCACACACTCTTTGAACACATGGGCTCCCCTCCTTGTATGCAGGGGTTCCGTTCAGTATCCAGGAAGTTCCCCACCTCCCTCCATGAAGGGGTTCCACACTCTTTCAATACATGGGCTCCCCTCCTTGTATGCAGGGGTTCCGTTCAGTATCCAGGAAGTTCCCCACCTCCCTCCATGAAGAGGTTCCACACACTCTTTGAACATATGGGCTCCCCTCCTTGTATGCGGGGGTTCCGATCTGTATGAAGGAAGTTCCCGACCTCCCTCCATGAAGGGGTTTCACACACTCCCTGTATGCTGGTGTTCCTCACCTTGTATGCAAGAGCTCCACACACTCCCTGTTTGCAGGGGTTCCCCTCTTTGTATACAGGGGTTCTACATGCAATATTATTACGCGTGATCAGTTAGGTAAAGAATTGCTATAATTTTCACCTTAGTACGCAGTCGTTTTAAATACGTGGTTGTCATAATCGTCCTGTCACAATCCAAGATAATTGCACTATTTTGATAGCTTTCTTTTGGTTGAATCAACGTATATGAAAGATCCGTAGCGCCACTTTCAAAGATGCTTCGAAAGTAACGCGGAATAAGTCTTCGGCCAATTGCTACGATGAAGATTGGTCATAGATGAACACTTTGTTAAATTAATGAAGTATGAAACATAAAACAAGGCATGTTTTAACACATATAATGAGAGGCCATTTTGCCCCTTAGGCCCTCCTTTTGGCCCCGAACTGAAACTTAATTGGCTTCCATACACTTCTTGGGCCCTTTTGGCATTTTTTGTCATGGATATTTCAAATTTATTGCAGATAATATATGGCCTGCGAAAAGTGAGAATGCTTGTTTCATAGCACGTCTGTTAACGCAGTTTACATGACGACAGAATATGAAATATATGAACCACTATTTGAAATGTATGAATCACTATTTGAAATGTATGAATCACTATATGAAATGTATGAATCACTATTTGAAATGTATGAATCACTATATGAAATGTATGAATCACTATTTGAAATGTATGAATCACTATTTGAAATGTATGAATCACTATTTGAAATGTATGAATCACTATATGACACATATAAATCACTACATAAAATGTATGAAGTAATATATGAAATGTATGAATCACCAAATGAAATGTATGAATCACCAAATGAAATATATGAATCACTATATGAAATATATGAATCACCAAATGAAATAAATGAATCACCAAATGAAATGTATGAATCACCAAATGAAATATATGAATCACCAAATGAAATATATGAATCACCAAATGAAGTGTATGAATCACCAAATGAAATACATGAATCACAACATGAAATATATGAATCACTAAACGAAATGTATGAATCACCAAATAAAATAAAAATGAACAGACATCTACAACATTGAGCACATACTATATGTTCTTGGTCCATCGTCAAGACAAAAATTTAATGTCATGGTAGCATCGTCCTCAAAAAATTCTGATGTAAATGCATTCCACCAAAGAATGTCAGCCTATAAAAAAGATGATGATTACATAAAACTTATATATCATGCCAAACTAGATGGGATACAATACAAGACTTGTTGCAAATGCATTTATATATGTATATATATATAAACATACAAGTTGAAAATTGGTAATCCAGGCAAAACATACAAGTGTATTGATTTAATTTATTTGTCAAGTGAAATAATGAACAGTGTAAAATCTAAAAAAAAATACATATCAAATAACAATAACAATTAAAGCCATAATAGTAGCAAGCGACTTGCCGAGCAGAAATCGAATTCCTGTGATAAAAATTAATGCCCAACATAAAGTTTTGATTAGAGCCATAGAAATTGACCAAAAAATTGTAAAATTGAATTTATTGTAATGTTTCGTCTTTATTGTAATGTTTCATCCGAGTATGTCTTGAGAATGTCTGAGAATGTCTTGAGTAAAGACGAAACGTTACAATAAATTCAATTTTACAATTTTTCTGGTCTATTTCTATGGCTCTAATCAAAACTTTATGTTGGGCATTAATTTTTATTACATAAAGCCATAATATAAACAAGAAGTTAGAATGGTTTAAAAGCACATGTAATGGCATGTTGTAAACAAAAGCTCGCAATCCTTTTGGCTGACTTTTGTGTCATTGAACCCATACTCTTGGAGGAAACTGTTCGCACATAAGCAACTGACATGAAGAAAAATACTTAAAATAGGCTTGCTAATAGGTATGTAGGTACACCAGAGCAATTAAAGAAAAAAGGCATCTTTATATTTGAACACGAGCTTCTCACTTTGAAATTATGACTTATGAAATGCTTTACATGAAATGAAAAGATTGAATAGAATTCACATAAATAAATGGAAATATTCTTCATAATTCATGTTCCATTTGGATACTTTAAAATGCCTTATTAAATGTGTTACAAAAACATTTCAAAACCTACCTCATTTTTTTCTTGCAGTCGTTTGTTTAGCTCATAAATTCGATACTCTGCATTGGCAAAGCTAGTGTGGCACCTAGGGATAAGCCAGAACATTAGCATTATTCAGATGAGTCATTGAGTCAAGTAAGGATACTAGTTAAATGAAGATATGATCTTCGCACTTTGCTGGACAATTTAAGCAATTGTCTCATGAAATTTTCAGGTTCATGAGACAATTGCTTAAATTATCCAGCAAAGTGCGAAGATCATATCTTCATTTAATTTCAAACACCACACTGCATATAACAATCTTTCATAAGGATACTAGCATGGCTAGAATGGCTTATGGACTTGACAAACTTAGTAAAAGTTTTATTAGAAGCAGGCAACAAGCAATTTCTGCCTGATACATTTAACATCAACATTAGCTGTTTTATGTTGTGCATTAAAATTTTTAGATGTAAATCGATGTACTTTCCAACCATCATATGTAATAGATGGCACTGCTATTTATGCTTTGGCTCCTTTCAAAAATAATGAAACCGGTGAGTGAGATAGGACATAAGCATTGCAATTATAGCATGTGGAAGGAAGTGAGAACTCTAGCATTTTTGGTAGGGCACCTAGGAGTAAGATAAAACAGCATCCATGGCTAGTATGACACCTAGGGGTAATTTAGACATTAGCATTGCTAGTATGACACATAAGGGTAAGTTAAAACACTACACGAATAAACAAAGTGTTTATATTTGTTCCATATCAAGTTTTTCTCGAAAAGGACGATAGAAATTGGCAACAAATAAGATGCAAAGAACGCACTTTTAACATTGAGTATATTTTAGTTGTTATCAAACATCTTTTACAACAGAAAATGCCCTTTATCATAAAAAGCCAAATGGAGAAGGTCATAAAATCGTCGTACTAACTGAAATTTTCAAGAAAACTGGATGCACAATTTCCAAATAAACAAAAAAATCAAAGGCGAGAAAGCTTAATAACTCTGTCCTTACATTGAAATTGCAATAATTTATTGCCGAAACGCTAGCTCAGAACCACGAGACCAAAAACGCGCCGTTTATAAAAATAACGCATCGTTAAACGTATATAGGCACTCGCAAACTTCCTTAATCTTAAGAAGATGTAACTGTATATTGTAAGCGAATATCATTGTTTATACAATTTACATTTTACGTGCAGCAAATGCGGGGCACCGATATTAAACTGCTGTGGGAAATGCTCAATCCCGACGGAATACAAACACATTTATCTCACCCTTGTGAGAAACTGGGACTCGGTAAGGGCACACTTGGCATCCTCTGCTGCTCAATCTTGGCAAACGGGCGTTGAAAATTTCTTCGCGAAATTTTGAATTCGGGCGCTCAACGCGAACGCCAGATCTAGACAAAGAGGGTCAAAGACATTAACATTACATTGGGATTGCCCCGTAAAACGTTATAAACAAGCAGCTTGCCAAATTTTTGGCATGTCTGAGACAAAAATATTTAATGGCTGAAGGTTTTTATTTTTTTCCTTGAAGAGAAAACCGAAAATGCTCAACCTGTCGTAAAATATACAAGTATGTACAATTTGCGAGCAAGTGTTTCTGTTAAGCAATATTTGATCCTCCTGAAATTGATCTTTGCTGAAAATTCCAAGTACTTTTACAATTCATGTTGCGGGATACATACCAGATTTTTTATGTCAGGTAACCAATGTCATTGTTTTTTAATACGAATAAGGAAAAATATCTCTCTTCTTAAAAACATTTTTCTCCTTTTGAGCGTCAGTGGACCGCCATCTTTGTTTAGAAAACGAATAATTCAAACGCGCATTGTTGGGTCTACGGGGCTTAAATCCCGAGACAAGCATCGTAGATACGTGCTCGAACATCCGGTGGCCATTGATCTAGCTAATTTACAAATACCGTGAGCCTCCGAGTGATGAAAGATATTTCACAGAAAATTCAAGAAGTAATCTTCAGCTCTTTGATTTGATGTATTCTGTAATGTAGAGTTTCTACTCCGAGGTTGCCTTAAATGGTAATTTTTGCAATTACAATCTATTCTTGCTAGTGTGTTTATTGAGATGCATTGCACCGGCACAAATCAAAGAGAAATCAACGCGGATCAGATAAACGGCTTTGGATTAATTGTAGTAAAACCGTAATTTTGAAGATGGCGACATTCACAGAACCCGCCACTGTATTCAAATTTCTTTCATGTCTTTGTCTTGTTTTGCTTCGTACACTTTGTTTTCTAAGCCAGACATCAAACTCAACGAAAGCACCGAATTTTGTCGTATTTATAGTGGACGATTTGGGAATAGGTGACATCGGGTGCTTTGGCAATGACACAATAAAGACACCAAACATCGATAATTTAGCGTCGCAAGGAGTTAAGCTTAATCATAATCTTGCACCTGCTTCGTTGTGCACACCAAGCCGTGCTGCTACCCTGACAGGCAGGTATGCAGTTAGATCGGGATTTGCAGCCAATTTGGGAGAAAAACGGGTTTTACTCGATCTAGCCGTTTCGGGAGGCTTACCGCAGAACGAGACGACCATTGCCGAAATCTTAAAGGTGTCTGGTTATCGAACGGGTAAGTCACGTGTTACAATATCACGACAATACGGTCCATATTGTATAATTCTTACAGCACACCTAACAAAAGAAAGTTTATAGTAAACATCATCACTTGGTTCAGATCAAAGAAAGATATACTTACTATTCTGTGTAAGCTACATCACTAAATGGCAGGATGCTTTTCAAGTACCTCCAGGCGTCACATCTTGCAAGACATGTATTTTCGCACGCACTTTGGATAGGTCCAATCAAACGTGCGCATAGTTAACCAGATCACATTCCTTCGCCTCCTTTAGGGCTTATTGGAAAATGGCATCTTGGTTTGAACTGCGAAAAGAATGATGATTCCTGTCACAATCCATTGAATGCAGGTTTTCACGAGTATTATGGACTACCTTTCACAAATGTTCGTGGTCAATGTACAAGACCGGAAGATGGCGCTTTTGAATTAAAAAGAATGGAAAAGAAATCAAGGCAACTCATCTATGCGACTGTCGCTCTGGTAATTGCCATGTGGATTTTACGAATTTTATCGCGTAAAAATTCATTACTTTTGATTCTCATCGTCGCAGGGAGCACGAGATTCATGATGAAGTTTGTTAAGACTAATTTCCCAAAACGCAATTGTGTTTTGATGCGAAACTTTGACGTAGTCGAGCAACCGGTAAAGATGGACAATTTAACTTTGCGATTTACCAGAGAAGCGCAGAGTTTCATCAAACGTTCCAAACGGCAGCCCTTCTTTCTTCTCGTGTCTTACGCCAAAGTACACACTTCTCTTTTTACCATGCCAAGATTTCACGGTAACAATTTGTCATTTAAGAAAAAAACGTCTTTCATTAGTAGTCGCAATTGAAACGACAAGACAATGCCGACAAGAAAAACTTTCTCATTTCATTTAGGCCACAGCGCACACGGTAATTACGGAGACAACGTGGAGGAGATGGACTGGAGTGTAGGTGAAATTGTATCAAGTCTACGGGAAGAAAATCTTCTGGAAGATACCCTGGTCTACTTCACTTCAGACCATGGACCACACTTAGAAGAAACTGTGGATAGTGGGGAGTACTGTGGCGGATGGAGGGGTCTTTATAAGGGAGGTAAGATGACTCCGAAGGTTTAGTTCGTAACAACACAAACGAAAGAAGTTTAAAAACTACAGTTAAAACCATAAACGAAATCCCGAGATGTTGCAGATTGAAAATCAAGCGCCCTTTACCCATCCTGTCAAAAATAATACCAAATCTCCCATTTCAGGAAAAGGGCAAAACTGGGAAGGCGGAATCCGTGTACCGACGGTGGTGATGTGGAAAAGCCATCTTCCGGAAGGCGCTGTGATCAATGAACCCACGAGTACAATGGATATTTTTCGAACAATGAGCAACCTCGCAGATGGAAAGATACCCGAAGACAGACTCGTTGACAGTAAGGACATTCTGCCTTTACTAAAACAAGAAGAAACTATATCGCCACACGAATTTCTCTTCCACTACTGTGGTTCTTCCATTCACGCTGTGAGATACAGACCACGAACTGGCAACAATACATGGAAGACGCATTTCGTTACACCGAACTGGAAGCCGGGAAAACAAGAGTGTAACAGAGAGAAAATTTCATGTGGATGTTTCGGGGATGTTACTCAACATGATCCACCATTGCTCTATGATATCACTAATGATCCCTACGAGAACACGCCACTGGATGCAATGAAACATGGAGATATTGTTGCCAAGATACAAGAGGCGATTGCATCTCATAAAGCGGGAGTGAAAAGAGTGCCGTCACAACTTACTACTTCAAACAATGCATGGAAACCGTCTCTTCAACCGTGCTGTAATTTCCCTTTTTGCGCTTGTTCAGAATGACCACCGTCGGAATACTTCAGGATTTTGTGCAATACACAATGTAGTATTTGATATGCAAAATATATCAAACAATATTGTAAATGATTATTTAATTTAGAAAGTCGGTGATTTAATTCATGGAATCATTAGATTAACACCTACATGAACTGCTTTTCATCAAATTATCTGCATCGATCAACCAATCATGGACAATATTAATGAATAAAGAACTCTCCTAAGATATTTGATGAGTACTCAAAAGCACCTAACGACCACTGACTGTAGTCCAACCATCACTGCCATCCCCATCTGGTTTTCGTTCTCTGTCTCCGCTGTTTGTAGCAGCGCTTCCACCCTTTCGAGCGGCCGACCAAGATCGACCTAAAGAAGTCATCACATGAGACACGAGTTTATTTTCGGATCGAAAACATAGTGAACCATTTAGGGATCTTCAAATACCTTCCGAGCGTCCAGCAGGAGGTGCATCACGTCGCCATGCCCCTGAATCCCTGTCATCCTCTCTGTTCCTCCAACGTCCCCCACCTTCCCTGTCATCTGGCCTGCGGGGGGGACCTCTATCATCTTGATAGCGATCATCACCTCGGGGAGGCGGCCCACGATCATCTCTAGTTGGACCTCTACCACCCCGCCATGGATCTTCTCTAAATCCACCTGTAGTAAAAACCAAAATGTAACAATATAAATTCGACTTTGAAATAAATTCGAAATATTGCTTTGGAAAATCTTGTCTTTTGTTAAAACATAACTTGATTCCCGAGACTTGAATTTTGAATTCACATAATGATTTTTTCACTACATTTTGTCCAAACACATGTACAAACATTCTCACACCTCTAGAAGGTGGCCCGTCACGATCTCGACCCCACGACATTCGATCACGATCCTCGTCTCGTCCACGTGGTCCTCGGTCTTGATCACGACCCCAACCACCACGATCACGTTCCTGATCACGACCCCAAGAACGACCTTGATCGCGCTCTCTTCCCCAGGGGCGACCTGTGTAAATAAGAATTGAGTTATTTGTAACCGAGCAGAAATCTTGCTCTGTTGATTAACAAAGACTGACGCCTGTATTCTAAATCTTTTGGAAATCTGTTTAAACGAGAAACTCATTTATTTTTACAAGATTTTGACTAAATCATTTCAAATCAAACGGATCAGTGGAGTGAAAATACCGTCTTCAAATAATTATGAGGTGAGTTTGAAGCTGCACTCATTGAGTGTGAGAAAAGCTTTTAAAACACAGTTATAAAATAAAAACAATAAAACGCGTGCAGCGATTGATCTATAGCCGTGTTTGCATTAGCCTGTGCAAAGCAAAACACATCTGAGCTCAACCATTGAAATCAATCAAAACAATCAAAGAGAATTTGCAAATCGATCATGATACATTTTACAGGGAAAATTAAAATGTTTGTCTTCTTCGCATTATTTTATTTTATAAAAGAAATAAACGATGTTTTTCGTGTTTGCACTGGCTTATGCAAACCTCGGGGAGACGTTTTTGAGAACTCTCGAGCAAGTGCAACCCTTGACCTTCGGTCTCGGGCTTTCACTGATCTGCTCTCGAGTTCTCCCAAAGGTCTCCTTGGTTTGCATAAGCCTGTGCAAACACAGTAAACATCGTTTATTTCGTAATTGTAAGATATTTTCACAAATAATATTTCACGAAATCACAAACTGTATTACACGAGAAAGAAGCTGACTTCGAGCTGGACTGACATGTTTTTATAGTTGCCTCAAATTTACCAGAAAACGATCCATTGATAGCCCCCAATAGGTTTTATTTCACAAAGAAAGTTTACTTCATATTGTTCTGTTTGGTTGGTGAAGAAACCAATTTTAAATCAATGTTATCTATATGCGTATTCATACCTCCATCACGATCACGATCCATGTCGCGATCACGTGTATATCCACCACCTCGATCACGTTCAGAATCACGCCCCCATCCGCGTTCATCACGACCTCCCCTATCATCACGGCCACTCCATTCATCACGGCCACCCCTATCATCACGGCCACCCCTATCATCACGACCACCTCTATCATCACGACCACCCCTATCATCACGACCACCTCTATCATCACGACCACCCCAACCATCACGACCACCCCTATCATCACGGCCACCTCTGTCATCACGGCCACCCCAACCACCTCTATCATCACGGCCACCCCTATCATCACGACCACCTCGGTCATCACGGCCACCCCAACCATCACGACCACCTCGGTCATCACGACCACCCCTATCTTCACGACCAACTCTTTCCTCTCGGCCCCCAAATCGTCCACCGCCATCTCGTTCGCGTTCGGTCTCGCGACCCCATCCACGCTCACGATCCTCATCTCTACCCCAGCCTCCACGATCCATAGCACGATCTCCATCTCTTCGCCACCGATCGTTACCATCACGTCCCAATTTACGCCACGAACCTTCATCTTAAGAAAAGAAATATTACAATATCAATTATTTTTCTCGCAGATGGCGCAATTCTCCAGCATGGATTGTTTGAATGGTGCACACACAGGCAACCAAATAAAAGTTTGACCAGAAATTACTAAAGGATAAAGTTGGAAATATGGTTTTTCAAGCCAATGAATCTCACCTTCACGTGAAGATCGGGTCAATGAATCTCGCCTTCACGTGAAGATCGGGTCAATGAATCTCACCTTCACGTGAAGATCGGGTCAATGAATCTCACCTTCACGTGAAGATCGGGTCAATGAATCTCACCTTCACGAGAAGATCGCGTCAATGAATCTCACCTTCACGAGAAGATCGCGTCCTTTCTTCACGTTCCTTCAGAGCATCTTCCTCCTTCCTCTTTTCTTTTTCTTCAATCTCTCGTTCTTTTTCTCTTTTCTTTCTTTCAATTTCATCAAGTTTCGCCTTTCTTTCTTTCTCTTCCGCTTCTTTCTTTTCCTTCTCTTCACGAGCAATTCTTTCTTCCTCTTCTTTCTCTAACATGAAGTACATCAAAAAAGCAATGATGTAAAATTCTACGAAAGACACTAGCGGGCAAACAAGACTTTAAGACAACAGGGAAACTAAGGTTAATTTATTTATTTCACCTTAAATTAATTAAGTAAAGATACGAATATTTCTTTATAAACAGTTGCATTTTTACTATTTTTAATTTCCATATAGATGGCTTTGTAACTTTGTAGAAATTTCTTTAAACGGAGATGCTTTTAAACTATTTTTAACTTCTATATAGATGCCTTTGTAACTTAGTACATATTGCTCTACACATAGATACCTTTGAACTATTTTTAGCTTTTATATGTATGGCTTTGTATGATCATTATAACAAGTGTAATTTCAGTATGCTTGATCAAGAATGTCCATTTTAATGTAACATTGATGTTGCGAAGTTTCACGTCTGATACAATTCCGAATTTTGAAAACTTTAATAATACCAAATAACAATAAATCGCACAAATGGCTGCGGACACCACATGGAGTCTCCAAAACAAAAACCACGACTGGGGTTTATTATCATTGGGGTATCCACAAAATTGACATTCGCCATGGCAAAACTAATTCTCGCTGCTCTACGCGTTTAATAAAGTCGCTAAAACTGATGAATGGTATAGAAGTCAATTATGACAAACAACGTATCGTCTAGATTCAAAAACATACTTTTGCGTATACGCTCTTCTTCGGCTTTGCGTCTTTCCTCCTCTTTTTCCTGCAGATATTTCATTTTTCTTTCCCGCATACGATCCAACCGTCTTTTATTCAAGCGTTCCTTTCGTATGGCGTTCAATTCCTCCTCGAATTCTGCATTTTTTAGCTAAAGGAGACATTGAACGAATTATTTTTTGAACGCACTAAGAAAGTGAAGACATCGATATTGTTCTTCATTTCAAATTGAAAAATAAACATTTCACACGAACATTTTTGTTCTTAATGGTGACGTCATTCACATAATATAATTGGGAGATTCGATAGTCAACGAAGTGTTATTTAAGCACTTCTTTAGCAAAACTAGGAAATACAATACGTTACATCGTGAGCCTTTTTTCTGGTTTCTTCCAATTTCTCGAGGAATACATCACGGTCACCCAGGATCCTCAACAGCCTATTCTTCATTTCTACGGCTTTCTCGCGTTCACGTACTGCCGTTTTAATCTAAAATAAATGCCAACTTCGTTTATCAAAATACTGGAGTTCATACCACACAACTTTTGCGTTAACTTGGTTGAAAAACAATCTCGCATTCAAGAGGAAAATCTGGAAAGAACTGGACCGAAATTTATCTGTGAAATAGCTTTAAACATAAAACAATGAGCTGTTCAAAATTCTTCCGTTTCATTTATAAGGGTTCGTGCAGTACTAGAAACTTGTTAAGAACAATCAACAATCAAAATTTCAAAGACAATTCACAACGTAAGTTTACTTAAGATATTACGCTGCGGTTCGTGAAAATTTTTAAGAGTCAAATTTAAGGGACAGTTATTGCACCTTTAATGTCAGTTTAGAGTAGATAGAGAATCGGATCTCTTACACCCCAGAAAGAATAATTCTAAAATGGTATTACGTACTGTAGACGATTAATAAAACCGTAGTAGAGGCTAGGTAATTGTACAGTAAGACTAAGTAAAGGTAGAACTTCTCATTTCAAAGGGAATTACATATTTTTTACTAACGCCACTTGCAATTGAGTATTACCAAGTGCGTTTTCATTGAAACATTAAAATAGAAATAAATTACTAAATAAATCAACGACAGACAAACAACAAAAATTTCTCATAAAGCTAATAACACTTTCATCACGCAAGGTTCGATGGTTTTACAAATTTAGCATCTCAAAACATGCATCGTGATGCCAAGAAATTACGGAGTTAATTTCTTTTCGATTCCGTACGTTTAATGAACGCTATGCAAGCATTTTCATCAATTTTGATTTTTAAAGATTTTTCAAATGCCCTTAAAATTAACCTTTGACTGTAAAAACAAAGAACTTTCGAAAGGCTTCAAAGCACCCACACCAATACTGTTTCATTCCAGAAAGCATTGCAACGTATATTGGTAAAGCTCGTGAGTATTGAGCTTGAAAATAACAACCTTTTCATCCTGTTCTTCATCCCAGAATTTTTCATCAGCTACAACGAACTCTTCATACTGCTTCGTCAACAACGGTATCTCCTCGAGCCTCTTTGCTCGTTCAAAGTGATCGACCCTTTTCTCTTGAAGCTTTAGTTTATTTTGCATATCGCGTTTCTCTCTGTCCAACTGTTCCACCTGACGAGCCATTATGTCGTCTGCGTCCATTTCTTCGATTTCCTGACATATAAATAATGGAAGAAATAAACGACCGAAAAATAAATATAGCGAACAACAAATCTCCAAAAGGAACTAATGTTGAAGGTTGAAGTTTGTGCATACGAGAGGAATGAAAATCATCTTGCAAGAGTTAGAGATTTCACACAAGCAATCTGCTTGCTGCATGGACGCATTTTCTGCGGGGGGTACGCCTTCAACTACCAGATTTTACCACAATTAAATAAATTTTTCACAAGTCTAAGAAACATTTAACCACGACCACCCCCTCCCCCAAAATCTTTAGGGAAACAATGAGTAGTACAGTTGAACTGAGTTAATTTGGGCAATGTTTCAACCCTCTACAAAACCTTTGGCGCCGGCTACACCCTAACATCTTAACACCCTGTCTTACGTCACTTCATTACAAGCACTTCATTCTTCAAGGTCCAGCCCCAGACAGTAGTTTCGAACTATACCTGCTCGGTAAGATTTTTCAAAGCTCTGGCGCCAACGGTGGTTTTCTTTAAAGCGGCAATCTTTTCCAACGCCTGCTTCTTTTCGATTTCTTGCAACTCTCGTTGTTTTCGTTTCTCCTCGCGCATAGACGCTTCCTCTTCGAGACGTTTACGTTCGGCAGCCTTCGCCTTGTCTCGTTGCTTATCGCGTTCGGCCTGTTCCTCTTTCTCCTAAATAGCCAAAGAGAAAATAAGAGCATAAAATTGTGAGATTTTTGTCATTTGTGTGAAAATAGGTAAAGTTTTAGAGCCTAAATGATGTATTCATGCTAATAATGGAAAGAGCCGAGTGAGTGGGGCGAGAGTACCTAAGCTAAAAATCTCCCACCCATAGTCGAGGGGTAACAGAAATGTCATTAACACAAGAGCATCCTGTCTACAAATCATGGCTTTGGCGTTCACAAAGATTACCTTTTTGATGCTCAAATTCTCCAAGTGTTCTTTCCTTTTTTCGATCATTGTCTTTCTCTTCAACATTTCCTGATGCTCTCGTTTTGAAGTTTGTTCGTACGCAGCCAAAGCACTTTCCAACATTTTTGAGCGCTCCATCTACATAAAGACATGAAGGAATACATACCAATATCGCGGACAATGAAGACAGGCACAAAAACAGACACAGAAACTATCCACGAAGTAAACAGGGGGGTGGAAAATGTATCGGACGGTGGGATCATTGATTGGTGCCAAAATATATATATTAGGGTCTCAGACATGGAAGGAGAGAGTTTTTCTCAGCTTCCAAAAAATATATTACTGTACGTACAATATTTCAAGTTAGCCGAGCTTTGGTCAAAAATTAGAAATCATTACGAGCAATCTTAGATACAAACTGCAGACATGGAAGGAGAGAGTTTTTCTCAGCTTCCAAAAAATATATTACTGTACGTACAATACTTCAAGTTAGCCGAGCTTTGGTTAAAATTAGAAATCCTTACGAGCAATCTTAGATACATACTGCAGGTGACAAATGTACGTATAGAGAAAAATTCACTTATGCCATCCTGGTTTGATTCATGTTTCAAATGATTAGTGATTGATCAGTTTTAGATGCTTTGGTCAACTAAACATCAACATTTAATCAGCTCATTCACTCAACAACCAATTTGACATTCGTTGATTCATCATTTTCACTCCACTGTATTGTAAGTTTCTTAAGAAAACGGCAAAAAAATTTTTTCTTTCTCTTTGCGGAAAAAGAAATATTTTCTCCACCCTAAAAAGTGATTGCACGCTTTTTTGCGAGTTCAAAATGTACACGAGTTACATGCCGTCGATACGATAAACGTGTTGTGCAGCAACTTACCAAAATCTCTGGAGGTTGGAGGATCTCTATGGCTTTGTGGAGTGCTTGAGACATGTAAATCAGTTGACTTCGTATTTTTTCCGACGAGAGCGACTGAAGGAAAAAATGATTTGGAAATATTCAAGAATAGCTACATCCATTGGATTCGTCGATTATAGACAAAAAAAGGGGTTTCCAATCTATCGAAAGATTTGCACGTGGAAAAAGAACGCTCCACTGTGCTTGCTCACATGCGTGAAATGTGGTTGGCACGTGTTCACGTTGGTACCGACTTCGTGGAAAAGAATTTTACCTGAAAACACGGACCTTCCATGACTTCCTCTTTCTGATCGACGCTGAGATCTGATCGAAAACTGACAGCGTCCGAGCGATGATCGATGAGAACCTGGAAACCATTCAAAGCGATTCAATTATTTTGATGAAAACATACGCACCCACAGGTGGTACACAGTGCGTTTGCTGATTTCGATGCTCGGGAAAATAAAAACATCACTCACTTGTAGATTGTTGCGTTTGGCAGCCTCTACGATCACTTTTTCCAAGTCGAAACCGTCAGTGAATGCTGCAAGATTTCGTAACTTCGGAATGGAAATGGTTTGGTAAACTTGAGACACCTACGTGGTAGACGATGTGGAAATAACATTTTTAAAAGATAGTTAAAGCTGTCGCCACGGTGAAACTAAAATAAACTGATCAGCACTCAAGAAAAGGTAAATAAATGTTTGTAAATGTGGATCATCCAGGCCGGCAGAATCCTGAGAAGTTGATCGCGTTGATGTTGACGGACGTTTCGACAAAATTAGCGGTAGTCATCTTCAGCCACTTTGTCTTTGAAAATGACTACCGCTAAGGTTGTCTAACGTCAGTCAACTTCAACTTCAACAACAACAGTCCTTCTCAGGACTGCAATAGCCTCGACGATCTACACCTACAGATATGTAACGACATTTCCAGGTTCAATCCATTCACATGAAACGATTAATAGCTATCGAATAAAGTGGGCAATTGAACGATTGGTATAAAAATACTACAACGTACTAATGAGCAAAGCTGTGAAATATAAACTCTCAAGATTGGGGCGAGGGGAGATTGCTGTAATTAAAGACAACTAGCCTATAATATGAGGTTTTGCATCAGTCTATGGGTGATGTTTTTTTTCATATCACGTACAATCATATATTTTTTAACATCATTTGCAAAACCAACTCAGCACAACCTATTTACAAACAAACTCCGCACAAAAGAAAGTTCCCCTCTGGATAATTTATTGTAAGTGCTAAATTAACGAATTCCAGGTAGCCTCTGAAAGGCCATTTGCGATTGCTCTGTTTTTATACGATAATCTGGGCATTCATCAAGAACACGATGACGATTACCAACAAATAATGTTGCTGCATAATTGGTGCAAACCGATAATACAACATTTTAATGCTAATGGTATTTTTAAATTTCGGATATTTTAAAAAGACCGAGAAAGAGACTATCGCAGTTAGCAAATCACGATGAGTGCTTAATTATCTGGGGCCTGGGGCTAGTTGCACAACGCCTAGATAGCGTTATCAATTGGATAGCAGAAATTTTCATATTAGTATAAAAGGTGTCGGTATTGGTCTTACGACAAAGAAATTTCGTAATCTTCGAAACAATATTTTATTTCAATGATTGCTCAGTTCGAATCTTCTATTTTTTGCTTTTTAAAATGTTTTATAAAAGTTTTAAAAATTTCTATCCAAGTTTCCTGCAACCAGTCCCTACGATTCACTCACGCATAGTTTATAACAATACACCTCGGGGGGGATCTTTTTTCATGTTCAAATGCTTTACTTTAATGACCTCGGGGAGGGGATATTTTTTCATGTTCAAATGCTATACTTTAATGACCTCGGGGGTGTGTGTCCTTTTTAACGTTCAGTTGCTGTACGTACTTTAATGAAACAGCAAACCTGATTAAGAAGTTTCACGACAGCAAGATCTTGAAGCGGTTTAACGTATGTATTCAAGTCCTCGATTTCCTTCAAAATGTCCGTCACACTTTCCACATTTTTGCAGAGATTCAGCGGGTCGAAATCTTGTTCAAGCCATTTGTACAAGTTCTTGATCTCGGGCATAACAAAATCTTTGACGTTCAATTTAATCTGGAAACAACGTATGGATACAACAGAACGCCGTTATAGTACACAAGGTGTATTAAAATCTGCTCATCTTTGAATTTGGCCGACGTTTAAAAATTGCATGATTTGCGAATGACTAGAGATACGTATTATCTCGAGTGGAGGGTCGGGGGATTGGTCGGGAGGCATGGTTCGAACGACACTTTTTGCTTTCAAAATTTTTCTTTTGTTGGCATGCATATACGTAATTCTCGTAATGACTATAATATCCAAGGACGCTACAGAAGTTCAACAAACCTTTGCATTTTGACTTATAATTCAAACCAACATCAAACATGTTTTTGATGATTGGAAATCTTATACAATAACTATCACTCTCTCATATTTAGCAGTTGTATGAACCTTTAACTGCATCCTTGAATGTAATAGTTTGTTTTAAGAGGTGTTTAAGAAGTGTTTGGTGTAGGCACATAAAGCAACTTTTCTAAAGCGTCAAAAAAACTTGTAATGTTCCAAATGAAATATTTTACGCAAAAAACACCGTATCATTGACAAGTACTTACAAGATCGTTGACAAGTTTCTTTCGCGTTGGAACCGTTTGCAACCCTAGCAGTGTAGCCAGACGCCTCGATTTCTCTCGGGCAACTTCATCGAACATTAAATATTTATCCGATTCCGTCTGTGGGGGTGGTAACGGAATGGACAACACGGCCACCAAAAGTCGGGACGCCATTCTGTGGGAAAAACAAACTTATAAAGATCAATGAAAAAAACATTTTGTAGCAAACGCACACGAGCATTTCTTAAACAATGCTTTTCACACGCAAATGGAAACTGTTGCAGGCAATGCAAAGCAAGCTTGACATTTATAACTCGTCCAAACTATAAATACAGCTACCATTATATGGCGTAAAATGCCCTATCCACCACGAGTAGCCTTAACTAAGCAGTCTTGAATACTAAATTACATAAGTTTATAGAGGTCCAATTGGTGGGGCTCTTGTCAAGTTATACAGATGCAACAACAAAATGGGTTAACATAACCTACACAACCCGCCACACGGATTCACAATGGGGCTTCCAGGAATGGGCGAGAAAACGTTGTTCACCTTTTTTTGATTCCTCGGTCAGTAGAAAATAAATACTTTTCAAAAATCATTTAATCATACTTCTGAATTTCTTCTGCTGTAATGGTCTTTTTCTGTTCACGACAGAGAACGAACAATCGTTGCAACGCAGCAGCATGATAAAGGTAATTACGAGATTTCCAGAAAACCAACGCAGTTTTTTGATAATAATTCGCAAGCAGTTGCGGTTTTGGAGTCTTCTTTGCTAACTGCATCAGATTATAAATATCTTCGACAGCTTTGAAGGCTTCCTACATGTGATAAACGATGCAAGGTTCAACTTTGTTCAAACGAAAAGAATGATTGAGAAACGTGCACGTTAAACATTAAATGAAAATCTTTAACCCCACCTGCCATAGTTCCATGGAAATGGCACTATCCAATTGAGAGAGCCTGGTCTCGAGATGCATTTGAATGCTATCTGTGTTGTTCAGATCAATAGCATTATTCTGACCTTGATGGCGTATGATTAAGGTGAGATGGTTTCGCAGCTATAGTAAAGTTTTTACAATGCATTTAGAATTTATAATTGAAAATTTAAGCTCTGTATTGAGAGAGATTCTGGGGAAGGGCTGGAGATGAGGTAAAACCTCAGTCAAATATTAGCTTTCACCTACGTAAGGGCTTTTGAAAATTTTTACATCTCCACCCAAAAAAATTAACCTGGCCTTTCAAGCAATGATGGACAATCATAGTCCCCACAAAAGAAAAAAACTTATGGAACCACTAAGTAAAAAATATAAAAATCCACAAATAAACTTACGTTGAACAAAACTGAAGTAACAAACAAAAATTTTCACGACATGCTTTGTGAGAAGACTTGACTAATTGAATTAAAATATCAGTTGAAATACATTTGTAACTACAACCAGTAGCGATAGCCAGCCAGCAGATTTTCCCCCACTGTGTAAATTCTGAAAGATTACCATTGTTTACTTCTTCAGAAATCTATAGCTTACACAGTAAGTGAACATAAAAATATTTGCATAGCAAAAGTAAAAAGTCTGACCGGCTAGGCTACTGACTACAACCCAAGTGATTGCACCAAAAAATAAGCGGAGGAGGGGAGGGAGAAATTATGACAGACAACCAAATATCCATAAAGATGGAAAGGAAAACCTACGTTGTCACAAAGTTTTCGGAATTCAGTTCTCCTTGTGTACTTAAGGCAAAACTTGAAGGCTGTAAAACAGAATAAAAGAGTCCGAAATGAACTACTTTGTTTGCAAAGAAGAAAAGTATCAACACAAAAACAATAAAAACTCAACCATTTGACAACTTTCTAGCATTTGCAATAACATAGACGTACCTTGTTGTGCGACTTCATGGTACAGTTTTTCAACCCGAGCATTGTTGCGCAACAATTCCAGTACATTACGATAAGCTTCCCACAAAAACTTCACCCATGGTGTGACCATTAACCTATCAACACGATCTTGACTAACCTCACCACTGACATAACTCAACAAGATGCTTTCAGGGGTATGAATTTGTTCAAGATCCTCGACATCAACTTTCTCACGAGACTCTTTTTGAGCCATCTCTGCTTTTTCTTCGCTCAGCTTTAGAAAATAGCGGACTACCTCTTCGAGAGATGCAACATTTACTTGTTGAGATATGATCTTGTATTGGTATAGGCCTTCTTTGGCCTCATGGCTTTGCCGGAGGTGAACGCAAAGTTCAACATATTTGAACAGGATTTGTTCGTGGATTTTTTGCAAGGTGCGATGCTTCTTGCTCTTGATAACATCACGAAGTGCCGCAAGAGCTTCTTCTTTTTTATCAACCTCAATAAATTCTGTAGAAAGTCACATGGAGTAAATTCGAAAATATTTCAACACAGTTTATCATTAAAAGGCTCTTCTCACACACAATTGGGAGCTGTTGCAGCCATTGTATAGCTAAATGGACCTTCTACAGAGCAGGGTATGAAACTTGAATTTTTGTAGGATCCGAACTAACACCTAGGTTTTAGAATTTGGTATCCCTCCCGATACTCTAGTATCCCAAATATTAATACATAATTTGTTGGCTTTTCTTATCCCCGATTAAGATACAACATAAGTCTCATCAGTTTATAAAAGTTTCCTTCAGAGTCCTATGAAGCAATTTGCACTTTGCAATTTATAGTTAACTCACATTCTGTTCAACTATTAAACTTCAATCCTGTATCAGTTTATTATGAATACTTACTAGACATGTGTTTTAGCACTATTTAACAAATCAAAATAAGAGACAAGTAAAAGCATAAATTGCTGTCCCCTTTTGAGAAAAATCTGGTATTCCATCAATATGTAGGTAAAATAAACTTGGTATTCACTATCCTAAGGATATCGAATTGTCAATCACAATTGTCCTTATAGAGACTGGTAGTCCAGTTCATTATTCGGGATTCATTCATTTAGCATTTACAAAGATTAAAACAGTGGGAAAGCTGTCTTTTTGTACGGAGTTTAAATTACCATACAGTAGTGTCAAATATAGGTGGCTTCAAGGCAAGGCATTCAAATCAAAATCTAAAATGTCTGAACCCAAACAAGCTCACAGGTAAGAACTAATTGCAACAGTGATGACGACGTATGGTAAATTTTACAATCATGGAATGAAATAGCTCCAAGGACAAAACAACACTATAGTCCACATATACATCAATCATGATGAAAACAAACACACCAAACACAATTATTGCACAAGAAGATCATTAAACCTGCTGCCTTTACACTTTCTATAAGTGATTGTACAGTGTACACCAACCAATAATGAACAACTTATAAACAATAAAACAAAGCGAAATGGCCAGTAATTACAAAAACAAACATACCGTTCGCTCGCTTCAGAGCATTCTCTGGTTTAAGAAAGTACGCTGGCATACTGAAATTTCGACTATCTTTGAAGAATTAGAAAATTTCCAGCCATGTGCGTCTTCTATTTTTCTTGGTTTGCGATTTTTGATGAATCAACATGACTCAAGCTCATAAGGCATGTTGGGATACATATATAAGCAGACACTGATCTTCATACATTAACTGTGTGCATGAAGAAACTCAAAAAAGAAACTTGAAAACAATAAATTTTCACCTGCGCAGCGCACCTTTAAACAATTAGAAAACGTAAAGGGACTCAAGTGACTCAACAATAAATTTTTACGTGTGTGGCACGTGTGCTTCTGTGCTCACGAAGGGTGCCACTTCTCTATATTGCAAGAAGTAAAAACTGTAAATTGCAAATGCTATGCTTACAAGTCACTTGGTGTGGCCGCGTGATTTTATGTCCTGAGGTATGCAGGATCAATTTGGTAATATGACTTTATCGGGTCTAGGGAAGCTGTGGGTAACTGGATGTCCGGAAACCCATAGTTTTGCAGTGTTGATTTACAATTAGAGGAAGCACGCCCGCAAAGTTTACAATGCATTGAATGTCATGTTTTCAAAGTCGCACTAACTTTTCGAATGAAGGAAAAGAGATTTTACGTTGACATGATTCTTAAACCATCGTGATGCATCTTTTCAGCCGTGTTAAATTCCTTTACAATCGAATATTCTTTATGAATTATAACATGCATGTATATTAATATTAACCTTAAGTTATACAGCTGACTTGTGTTGCTTCTTTGCATGGTTACCAAACGGTAAAATTTCATAGCGCAGAAAGAGGTGAACCAGATTTAAACCACCCTAAAACCAACCTTAAACCACCCCTAAACTACCCTTAAACCACCCTTAAATCAACTTTATACCACCCTTAAACCAACTTTAAACCACCCCTAAACCACCCTATAACCACGCTATAACCACCTTTAAACCACCGGCCAGTCTCTACCGATATTCACTACACTCAAACCATTTACTTTGCTTCGTGTTATCGTTGGTCATTTCTGGTGCCATTTTCACTTTCTTTTCGCTCTCGGTACTTTTGCTTTTTCCTTGACCATTTTGTGTCGTAACGATGTACTCCCATTCGCACGAAAACTTGCACTGAATGACAAAACAAGTAATGTTCAATGTCGTCTGTATTTTATGATCACGTAATTAATCTTTTCTGATTTATAAATGTTATCGTAAATACGAACTCTTCATACTGCTTCGTCAACAACGGTATTTCCTCGAGCCTCTTTGCTCGTTCAAAGTGATCGACCCTTTTCTCTTGAAGCTTTAGTTTGTTTTGCATATCGCGTTTCTCTCGGTCCAGCTGTTCCACCTGACGAGCCATTATGTCGTCTGCGTCCATTTCTTCCATTTCCTAACATATAAATAATGGAAGAAATAAATAGACCGAAAAATAAATATAGAGAACAACAAATCTCTAAAAGAAAGTAATGTTGAAGTTTGTGCATATGAGAGGAATGAAAATCATCTTGCAAAAGAGTTAGAGATTTCACACAAGCAATCTGCTTGCTGCACGCCTTCAACTACCAGATTTTACCACAATTAAATAAATTTTTCACAAGTCTAAGAAACATTTAACCACCACCACCCCCCTCCCCCAAAATCTTTAGGGAAACAAATGAGTAGTACAGTTGAACTGAGTTATTTTGGGCAATGTTTCAACTTTCTACACAACCTTTGGCACCGGCCTACACTACGAGACCACCTTAACATCTTAACATCCTGTCTTACGTCACTTCATTACAAGCACTTCATTCTTCAAGGTCCAGCCCCAAACAATAGTTTCGAACTATACCTGCTCGGTAAGATTTTTCAGTGGTTTTCTTTAAAGCGGCAATCTTTTCCAACGCCTGCTTCTTCTCGATTTCCTGCAACTCTCGTTGTTTTCGTTTCTCCTCGCGCATAGACGCTTCCTCTTCGAGACGTTTACCTTCGGCAGCCTTCGCCTTGTCTCGTTGCTTATCGCGTTCGGCCTGTTCCTCTTTTTCCTAAATAGCCAAAGAGAAAATAAGAGCATAAAATTGTGAGATTTTTGTCATTTATGTGAAAATAGGCAATGTTTTAGAGCCTAAATAATGTATTCATGCTAATAATGGAAAGAGCCGAGTGAGTGGGGCGGGTGGGAGGAGAGTACCTAAGCTAAAAATCTCCCACTCATAGTCGAGGGGTAACAGAAATGTCATTAACACAAGAGCATCCTGTCTACAAAATCATGGCTTTGGCGTTCACAAAGATTACCTTTTTGATTCTCAGATTCTCCAAGTGTTCTTTCCTTTTTTCGATCATTGTCTTTCTCTTCAACATTGTCTGATGCTCTCGTTTTGAAGTTTGTTCGTACGCAGCCAAAGCACTTTCCAACATTTTTGAGCGCTCCATCTACATAAGGACATGAAGGAATGCATACCAAGTTCGCGGACAATGAAGACAGGCACAAAAACAGACACAGTAACTATCCACGAAGTAAAAGGGGGGGGATATATCGGACGGTGGGGATCGTTGATTGGTGCCAAAATATATATATTAGGATCCCAAACATGGAAGGAGAGAGTTTTTCACAGCTTCCAGAAAATATATTACTGTACGTACAATATTTCAAGTTAGCCGAGCTTTGGTTAAAAATTAGAAATCATTACGAGCAACCTTAGATACATACTGCAGGTGACAAATGTACGTAAAGAGAAAAATTCACTTGTGCCATCCTGGTTTGATTCGTGTTTCAAATGATTAGTGATTGATCAGTTTTAGATGCTTTGGTCAACTAAACATCAACATTTAATCAGCTCATTCACTCAACAACCAATTTGACATTCGTTAATTCATCATTTTCACTCCACTGTATTGTAAGTTTCTTTAGAAAACGGCAAAAAATTTTTTCCTTCTCTTTGCGGACAAAGAAAAAGAAATATTTTTCCACCCTAAAAAGTGATTGGACGCTTTCTTGCGAGTTCAAAATGTACACGAGTTACATGCCGTCGATATGATGAACGTGTTGTGCAACAACTTACCATTATCTCTGGAGGTTGGAGGATCTCTATGGCTTTGTGGAGTGCTTGAGACATGTAAATCAGTTGACTTCGTATTTTTTCCGAAAAGAGCGACTGAAGAAAGAAATATTTGGAAATATTCAAGAATAGCTACATCCATTGGATTCGTCAATTATAGACAAAGAAAGGGTTTCCAATCTATCGAAAGATTTGCACGTCGAAAAAGAATGCTCCACTGTGTTTGCTCACATGCATGAAAAGTGGTTGGCACGTGTTCACGTTGGTACCGAATTCGTGGAAAAGAAGTTTTACCTGAAAACACGGACCTTCCACGACTTCCTCTTTTTGATCAACGCTGAGATATGATCGAAAACTGACAGCGTCCGAGCGATGATCGATGAGAACCTGGAAACCATTCAAAACGATTCAATTTTTTTGATGAAAACATACACACCCAAGTGGTACACAGTGCGTTTGCTGATTTTGATGCTTGAGAAAATAAAAACATCACTCACTTGTAGATTGTTGCGTTTGGCAGCCTCTACGATTACTTTTTCCAAGTCGAAACCGTCAGTGAATGCTGCAAGATTTCGTAACTTAGGAATGGAAATGGTTTGGTAAACTTGAGACACCTACGTAGTAGATAATATGGAAATAACATTTTTAAAAGATAGTTAAAGCTGTCGGCAAGGTGAAACTAAAATAAACTGATCAGCACTCAAGAAAAGGTAAATAAATGTTTGTAAATGTGGATCATCCAGGCCGGCAAAATCCTGAGAAGTTGATCGTGTTGATGCTGACGGACGTTTCGACAAAATTAGCGGTAGTCATCTTCAGCCACTTTGTCTTTGAAAATGACTACCGCTAAGGTTGTCTAACGTCAGTCAACTTCAACTTCAACAACAACAGTCCTTCTCAGGACTGCAATAGCCTCAAAGATCTACACCAGGGGTCTCCAAACTACGGCCCGCAGTGCCTCTACGTTCCTCTCAATCCGGCCTGCAGAGGCACTTAAGAAAAAATAATAATATCATTAAACAAAATAAACTTTGTGCAGAAAGTTCACGTTATGTCGCAAGCCAACTAGAAGGGTGGCTTACGTCAATTTTTCTCCCAACTCTTCCTACTTCCGTTTCAAGCACATTGCGAAATTTAAAAAGCTGAAGGATTACGTGGAAAATTCTTTTTATTCTTCGGCCTTCAACATGCTGGATGAAAGTTCATGTGGCCCTCTGGCTGTAAAGCTTGGAGACCCCTGATCTACACCTACAAATATGTAACGACATTTCCAGGTTCAATCCATTCACTTCAAAAGATTAATAGCTATCACATAATGTGAGCAATTGAACGATGGTATAAAAATACTACAACGTACTAATGAGCAAAGCTGTGAAATACAAACTCTCAAGATTGGGGCGAGGGGAGATTGCTGTAATTAAAGACAACTAGCCTATAATATGTAGTTTTGCATCAGTCTATGGGTGATGTTTTTTTTCATATCACGTACAATTATAATTTTTTTTAATATCATTTGCAAAACCAACTCAGCAGAACCTATTTACAAACAAACTCCGCACAAAAAGAAATTTATTCCCCTCTGGATAATTTATTGTAACTGCTAAATTAACGAATTCCAGGTAGCCTCTGAAAGGCCAATAGTGATTGCTATGTTTTTATACGATAATCTGGGCATTCATCGAGAACTCCTCAACACGATGACGACTACCAACAAATAATGTTGCTGCATAATTAGTGAAACCGATTACACAACCCATTAATGCTAATAGTATTTTTAAATTTCTGGTATTTTAAAAAGACCGAGAAAGAGACTATCGCAGTTAGCAAATCACGATGAGTGATTAATTATCTAAGGCCGGTCGCATGACGCCTGCATAGCGTTTCGTTTAGCAGATAGCAGAAATTTTCCAATTAGTATAAAAGGTGTTGGTATTGGTCTTACGACAAAGAAATTTCGTAATCTTCGAAACAATATTTTATTTCAATGATTGCTCAGTTCGAATCTGATATTTTTTGCTTTTTAAAATGTTTTATTAAAAGTCTTTAAAAATTGTTATCCAATGGATAAAGCTATCCTATCCAGGCTTCCTGCAAACGGTCCCTACAATTCACTCACGCATAGTTTATAACAATACACCTCGGGGGGGGGATCTTTTTTCATGTTCAAATGCTATACTTTAATGACCTCGGGGACCTTTTTTCATGTTCAAATGCTATACTTTAATGACCTCGGGGGGGGAAGGTGTGTCCTTTTTAACGTTCAGTTGCTGTACGTACTTTAATGAAACAGCAAACCTGATTGAGAAGTTTCACGACAGCAAGATCTTGAAGCGGTTTAACGTATGTATTCAAGTCCTCGATTTCCTTCAAAACGTCCGTCACACTTTCCACATTTTTGCAAAGATTCAGCGGGTCGAAATCTTGTTCAAGCCATTTGTACAAGTTCTTGATCTCGGGCATAACAAAATCTTTGACGTTCAATTTAATCTGGAAACAACGTATGGACACAACAGAACGCCGTTAGAGTACACAAGGTGTATTAAAAACTGCTCATCTTTGAATTTGGCTGACGTTTAAAAATTGCATGATTTGCGAATGACTAGAGTGCATGATTTGCGAATGACTAGAGATACGTATTATCTCGGGGATCGAGAGGCATGGTTCGAACGACACTTTTTGCTTTCAAAATATTTCTTTCGTCGGCATGCGTATATGTAATTCTCGACAATAATATCCAAGGACGCTACAGAAGTTCAACAAACCTTTGCATTTTTGACTTATAAGTTAAACCAACATCAAACATGTTTTTGATAACTTGATATCTTATACAATAACTATCACTATCTCATATTTAGCAGTTGTATGAACCTTTAACTGCATCCTTGAATGTATAGTTTGTTTTACGAGAAGTGTTTAGTGTAGGCACATAAAGCAACTTTTCTAAAGCATCAAAAAAACTTGAAATGTTCCAAATGAAATATTTTACGCCAAAAAAACCCCGTATCATTGACAAGTACTTACAAGATCGTTGACAAGTTTCTTTCGCGTTGGGACAGTTTGCAACCCCAGCAGTGTAGCCAGACGCCTCGATTTCTCTCGGGCAACTTTATCGAACATTAAATATTTATCCGATTCCGTCTGTGGGGGTGGTAACGGAATGGACAACACAGCCACTAAAAGTCGGGACGCCATTCTGTGGGAAAAACAAACTCATAAAGATCAATGAAAAAACATTTTGTAGCAAACGTACACGAGCATTTCTTAAACAATGCTTCTCACACGCAAATGGAAACTGTTGCAGACAATGCAAAGCAAGCTTGACATTTATAACTCGTCCAAACTATAAATACAGCTACCATTATATGGCGTAAAAGGCCCTATCCACCACGAGTAGCCTTAACTAAGCAGTCTTCAATACTAAATTACATAAGTTTATAGAGGTCCAATTGGTGGGGCTCTTGTCAAGTTATACGGATGCAACAACAAAATGGGCTCGACATAACCTACACAACCCGCCACACGGATTCACAATGGGGCTTCCAGGAATGTGCGAGAAAACATTTTTCACCTTTTTTTGATTCCTCGGTCAGTAGAAAATAATACTTTTAAAAAATCATTTGACCATACTTCTGAATTTCTTCTGCTGTAATGGTCTTTTTCTGTTCACGACAGAGAACGAACAATCGTTGCAACGCAGCAGCATGATAAAGGTAATTACGAGATTTCCAGAAAACCAACGCAGTTTTTTGATAATAATTCGCTAGCAGTTGCGGTTTTGGAGTCTTCTTTGCTACCTGCATCAGATTATAAATATCTTCGACAGCTTTGAAGGCTTCCTACATGTGATAAACGATGCAAGGTTCAACTTTGTTCAAACGAAAAGAATGATTGAGAAACGTGCATGTTAAACATTTAATGAAAATCTGTAACCCCACCTGCCATAGTTCCATGGAAATGGCACTATCCAATTGAGAGAGTCTGGTCTCGAGATGCATTTGAATGCTATCTATGTTGTTCAGATCAATAGCATTATTCTGACCTTGATGGCGTATGATTAAGGTGAGATGGTTTCGCAGCTATAGTAAAGTTTTGACAATACATTTAGAATTTACAATTGAAAATTTAAGCTCTGTATCGAGAGAGATTTTAGGAAAGGGCTGGAGGTGAAGGTGAAACCTCTGTTGAATATTACCTTCCACCTACGTAAGGGCTTTTGAAAATTTTTACATCTACACCTAAAAAAATTAACCCGGCCTTTCAAGCAATGATGGACAGTCATAGTCTCCCCACAAAAAACAACTTATGGAACCACTAAAGTAAAAAATTTAAAAATCCAACAATGAACTTACGTTGAACAAAACAGAAGTAACAAACAAAAATTTTCACGACATGCTTTGTGAGAAGACTTGACTAATTGAATTAAAATATCAGTTGAAATACATTTGCAACTACAACCAGTAGCAGTAGCCAGCCAGCAGATTTTCCCCGCTGTGTAAATTCTGAAAGATTACCATTGTTTACTTCTTCAGAAATCTATAGCTTACACGGTAAGTGAACATTAAAATATTTGCACAAAGAAAGTAAAAAGTCTGACCCGCTATGCTACTGACTACAACCCAAGTGATTGCACCAAAAAATAAGCGGGGGAGGGGAGGGAGAAATTATGACAGACAACCAAATATCCATAAAGATGGAAAGGAAAACCTACGTTGTCACAAAGTTTTCGGAATTCAGTTCTCCTTGTGTACTTAAGGCAAAACTTGAAGGCTGTAAAACAGAATAAAAGAGTCCGAAATGAACTACTTCGTTTGCAAAGAAGAAAAATATCAACGCAAAACAATAAAAACTCAACCATTTGACAACTTTCTAGCATTTGCAATAACATAGACGTACCTTGTTGTGCGACTTCATGGTAAAGTTTTTCAACCCGAGCATTGTTGCGGAACAACTCCAGTACATTACGATAAGCTTCCCACAAAACTTCACCCATGGTGTGACCATTAACCTATCAACACGATCTTGACTAACCTCACCACTGACATAACTCAACAAGATGCATTCAGGGGTTTGAATTTGTTCAAGATCCTCGACATCGACTTTCTCACGAGACTCTTTTTGAGCCATTTCCGCTTTTTCCTCGCTCAGCTTTAGAAAATAGCGGACTACCTCTTCGAGAGATGCAACATTTACTTGTTGAGATATGATCTTGTATTGGTATAGGCCTTCTTTGGCCTCATGGCTTTGCCGGAGGTGAACGCAAAGTTCAACATATTTGAACAGGATTTGTTCGTGGATTTTTTGCAAGGTGCGATGCTTCTTGCTCTTGATAACATCACGAAGTGCCGCAAGAGCTTCTTCTTTTTTATCAACCTCAATAAATTCTGTAGAAAGTCACATGGAGTAAATTCGAAAATATTTCAACACAGTTTATCATTAAAAAGCTCTTCTCACACACAATTGGGAGCTGTTGCAGCCATTGTATCGCTAAATGGACCTTCTACAGAGCAGGGTATGAAACTTTAATTTTTTTTAGGATATGAACAAACACCTAGGTTTTAGAATTTGGTATCCCTCCCGATACTCTAGTATCCCAAATATTAATACATAATTTGTTGGCTTTTCTTATCCCCGATGAAGATACAACACAACTCTCATCAGTTTATAAAAGTTTCCTTCAGAGTCCTATAAAGCAATTTGCACTTTGCAATTTATTGTTAACTCACATTCTGTTCAACTATTAAACTTCAATCCTGTATCAGTTTATTATGAATACTTACTAGACATGTGTTTTATTACTATTTAACAAATCAAAATAAGAGACAAATAAAAAGAATAAATTGCTGTCCCCTTTTGAGAAAAATCTGGTATTCCATCGGTATGTAGGTAAAATAAACTTGGTATTCACTATCCTAAGGATATCTGAATTGTCAATCACAATTGTCCTTATAGAGACTTGTAGTCCCGTTCATTTTTCGGGATTCATTCATTCAGCATTACAAAGATCAAAATTGTGGGAAAGTGTCTTTTTGTACGGAGTTTAAATTACCATACAGTAGTGTCAAATATAGGTGGCTTCAAGACAAGGCATTCAAATCAAAATCTAAAACGTCATAATCCAAACAAGCTCACAGGTAAAGGCTGAAACACATTAGGCAGTCGCTTCAGTCGGGCGTCCAAAGCAAATTGATTCGCACGCGTCAGTCGCTTGAACGCCAGAAACACACATGCAGCGACCATCGCCACATTTACCGTGGCGTCTATTAAACATGGCGAAGATTTCTGTTTGTGACAGACACAGACATCACTTAGACTTTTTATTTGGGCCTCTATTATAGCTACTAATATATGAATATTTACTCAGTACAAACTACTATGTGGAGAAAAGAGAACAAGCCAGTTAAAACACGCCAATATGATCATAGCCCATTACGCGTATATCGTGGATAATCTTATTCTGTGCATTTAGGTTGTGCATTAGGGTTCCAGTTTGTAGCTCCTATTGCCCCTATTTGATAAGTCATATGAAAACTGAAAGATTCCAGTGTGAATTCACTATAAATTGCCTACGTTTTCCAAGGTATAATCTATAAATTTCGTGTGATGCTTATGACAGGGAATATGATATGCATTTAGGAAGTTGAAATGTATGTATTAGCCAATCAGGGTAAAGCGACTGAAGCGACCAATGTCAAAAGTTCAACATGTTGAACTTTCAAAGCGACTAGCTGACGCGACTACGCTACTACCTTAGTAACCACGCAAAGCGGTAGTTTTAGACGCGCGACAAAAGCGACTGCCTAGTGTGTTTCAGCCTTAAGGACTAACTGCAACAGTGATGACGACGTATGGTAAATTTTACAATCACGGAATGAAATTGCTCCAAAGACAAAACAGCACGACCATAGTCCACATATACATCAATCATGATGAAAAAAAAACACACCTAAACACAATTATTGCGCAGGAAGATCATTAAACCTGCTGCCTTTACACTTTCTATGAAAGTAATTGTACAGTGTACACCAACCAATAATGAACAACTCATAAACAACAAAACAAAGAGAAATGGCCAGTAATTACAAAAGCAAACATACCGTTCGCTTGCTTCAGAGCATTCTCTAGTTTAAGAAAGTACGCTGGCATACTGAAATTTCGACTATCTTTGATGAATTAGAAAATTTCCAGCTATGTGCGTCTTCTTGGTTTGCGATTTTTGATGAATCAACATGACCCACGCTCATAAGGCATGCTGGGATACATATATAACCAGACACTGATCTTCATACATTAACTGTGTGCATGAAGAAACTCAAAACGAAACTTGAAAACAATAAATTTTCACCTGCACAGCGCACCTTTAAGCAATTAGAAGCACACACACACACACTAGGTTTGATTCACAAATATACATTAAGAGTATTGAAACAGATGGTAAAAAAAGGTAAAAATAGATATTGATAGTCTGTACTCAATCCAAAAATCTTGCACTCAGTACAGGTTTCGCTCACTGTGAAGCCTGTAGAAAAATATAGAAGTGTGGCACTTCTTTATATTGCAAGAAGTTAAAACTGCAAATTGCAAATGCCATGCTAAGGCTAGCGAGGCTGTGGGTAACTGGATGTCCGGAAACCCATAGCTTTGTAGTGTTGATTTACAATTAGAGGAAGCACGCCCGCAAAGTTTACAATGCATTGAATGTCATGTTTTCAAAGTCGCACTAATTTTTCGACTGAAGGAAAAGAGATTTTACGTTGACATGATTCTTAAACCATCGTGATGCATCTTTTCAGCCGTTTTAAATTCCTTAAAAATCGATTATGAATTATAACATGCATGTATAATAATATTAACCTCAAGTTATACAGCTGACTACGGTAATATTACCGTGTTGCTTCTTTGCATGGTTACCAAACGGTAAAATTTCATACCGCAGAAAAAGGTAAACCAGATTTAAACCACCCTTAAGCCACCCTTAAACCACTTTTAAACCACCCTTAAACCACTTTTAAACCACCCTTAAACCAACCTTAAACCACCCTTAAACCACTTTTAAACTACTCTTAAACCACCCTTAAACCACTCTTAAACCACTTTAAGACCACCCTTAAACCATCCTTAAACCACTTTTAAACCACCCTTAAATCACCCTTAAAACATGTCCATGTTGACGACGATAAAAGCTCTAGCGAGGACGAGGTTCCAATACAAAAACAACCATTAATAAGACCGAATCCACTGAACATATGTTCAAAAGAAATATCGATGAATCACATATACAGTTTGGAAGGTCGTTGGCTCACGTGGTATATAGTAGTGGGAATTGCTGATGATGTTGCTGAAGATATGTAAAAATAACTACCAGCGTCTCTCCTTTAGAGCGAGGAATCTGCTTTCGAAAGTGAAGAGGAAGCAATCACCACAAGAGATTTGCAAGAAGATTCAAAGTGTACTCTGCAAACTTTGTATATACAGATGGACTATTATGAGAAGAGTACTCTAAGGAATGTTACTGACGAGGGATAGTACAAGGACCAACAGAGAAAAATGCTGCTTCTCTGTGAGATTGTAGAAGGATTAGTTCACTTTCATTCAATAGAGAATTCAAAATGGCTTTGATGGTGGAGATTAGTGTCCTCATCTGATATCTATTCCTTTCGGCTACGCTTTGAAAAATTCAAGAGTTTGGAATGAATTTGAGGTGTTGCAAATTCTTAGAAAAAGGAGGGTTTGCTTCAGTTGTCAAGGTAACTTTTTATTACATACATCGTTTAAATAAAAGGTAATTTGGTCATGTGAAGGAAATTTTGTACGTGATTTGAAAATGCCATGTATACGCTTAGGTACGTAATAAATTCGACGGCTGACTCTAGGCGATCAAAAGAATTTCTTTGCATCCGAAAAGTTTGCTGTTTTATCCCAAAATTACTCAAGAACAGAAGTTACTTTCTAGATTGAATCATGAAAATATTGTAAAGTAAAAAGAAATTTACTATCCAAACAGAATCAAAATTTAATAACATAAGGGTTGAAAGCGAGATTCAATTTAAACGATACAAATTGTTTGGCTTATTAAATGTTATCTTTGTAGAAACTATTATAAAAGAGTAGAGAATCTCTTTTTTCCATGAAGCCCTTTGATGCTTTTGTTTATGACGAGAGAGTTATATTGTGTAAGAAGGCTCTCGTTTATCACGAGAGAGTTATGAGAAAGTTACATTGCAAAAGGTAACAAGTAAAAAACGTATAAACATGCTTTGAGTTGGTTTAAATGATAAGTCAAAAAGGCAGAAATTGTTTGCACCTTTGCAATATGCTTGGATGTTGTAGTTTCTTTTATGAGAAGAATTCTTGTAAAGACAAATTTTGAAAAGAAAAAATCCCGTTTTCGGTCCATGTCTCCCGATACCCCGAGATAGTTGAGCACTAGAGCGTCGCATGTTAAATTAAGGGAACCCAGATAATCCTTGTTTGCCATGAAGCCCATGGATGGTTTGCTCGTGATACATGAGAAACAGTAAATGAGAGAATTAAATAAGAAAGATATAAAGCAAAAAAATTTGTATAAAACATGTTTAAGGTTGTCTTAAATTATACGTGTCAGAAAAAGGCACAGTGTCTAAAGAAGTTCATTGAAACATTGCTTGGTTTATTTTACGAGAACAAAAAGATGAAATTCGAAAGCAAAAAAACCCCGTTTTCGGTCCATGCTTCCCGATACCTTCTTAAGCCGAGGCACTAGAACGCCGCATGTTAACGTTTCGGTAGGAGATTTCGGCCCCTCCACGCTATCCTACTTGGGAGATGCAATAGCAAGCTTCCGCCCATCAGACCCCGAGATCACCTGCGATAGGCTTTGCTCGGGGTACGCAGGGAGAGTGCGGTCGCCACCGAAGTGTGGGCCCCTAAGCCACTGCATACCTAATCGCACCCAGCTTCCACTGCTAGTTGACATCTACTATATGAAGTTTCAGCTTTATGTATATATACAAAAATTCAAAGGCTTACGAAAGTTGTGGTATTATCAAAGTCACTAGTGCGCATGCTCAGATTATTTCTTTGATATTTTGCGACTAAGTGAGCTAATTGCCACAAATGTAATGCAAGTACTTATAGTTAGTCGTTGCCATGACAATGAACAATTAGTCGAGTGGACTGCGCATGCTCGAGCGCATGCGCAGATGATTTTTGTATTAAATTGTTACTGAGCATGCTGTTTAATTCAAAATCAGTGCTAGAGGATGCAGTTGGTCGTTGTCATAACCAAGAACTTGGGCATCTGGTCAATTCGACTGCACATGGTCAAGCATACTGCGCATGCGCAGATGATTTATCTGAAAACTTTGACTGAGCGCGCTGATTACTCCATACTTTTAAACCACTTTAAACCACCCTTAAAACACACTTAAACTATAATTAAAACACACTTAAACTATACTTAAAGCACACTCAAACTATACTTAAGCAAACTTTAAACTACCTTTAAACAACCTTTAAACCACCGATAAACCACCCTCAATTCATGCTTAAAACACTTATAAACTACCCTTAACCCAAACTTTAAACCATCATCAAATCACACATAAACAACCATTAAACCACCTTCAAACGACCCTTAAACCACTCTCGAGCTCTCAAACCACGTTTAAACCATTCTTAAACCCTTAAACCACCTTTAAACAACCTTTCATATCAATCATAAGCAATAAAAAATAAAATTCGTATAAAAAAGTAAAAAATACGAAACACCAACGGATCCCTCTTTTCCTTCAATTTAACTCCAATTTTAATTAGTCAAAGCTATTATATATAAAACTTTTCTTCATTTGTAAAGAACGAAAATCTTTCCCATTTTTGCTGAATAATTGTGTTACACTTGGCGCTTACATAGGATACCAACGTAGATTTTGATATACAAAATTTAATGGAAAAAGTTTGCAAGATACTTGGGGCAGCCTTGCTCACGAACCTCGACTGAAACGAACGAAATATTCGAATCGTTTCAAGCGTTGAATAGTTTTTTGACAGAATATCCCTAAAATAGAAATATAAAGAGCATTGTAGATGATGCGTGAGTACTGGGTACTAGATGTATACTACTGCTTCCTTCCATGTTCTGTTGCCAAAATTCACTAATCGAAACTTTTTATTCTCATTATAACAATGGCATAACCATTGAGTTCTATAAGACCTGGAGGGAACAAGGGGCCTGGACCCGGTTGTCAAAACATCGCGGTAATGGCGGATTTTGGTGGTCAAAACTTCCACTTTAAAAATATTTTCAATATTCACTCCATCCTGATTTCTAATACCCCTTATATAAATGATAACCATTGAAAAAAACAACCACGATACCGACAGCATAATGTTTGAAAATAATGCTTTAGAATTTTTCAAAATACACAGTACACGTACACATCAAAAGACAGTGTGGCTTATTTAATCATGCTATGTAATTTTTTTGTGTTCATTCGTTGTAAAAGCAAGACTCAAAAGAAATGAATAATGCTCATGTTTTATAATTTTAATAGTATGATTTAACCTTGCAGATAGAATAAGGCGGTGCATTTGTTTCAAAGACGAAAAATTAAGGGATAGGTAAACGGATAACGTTAGGAATGGGGATAGTGCTATGAATAGGGATAAAGGGATAGGTAAATGGATAACGTTAGGAATGGGGATAGTGCTATGAATAGGGATAAAGGGATAGGTAAACGGATAACGTTAGGAATGGGGATAGTGGTATGGATAGGGATAAAGGGAGAGGTAAACGGATAACGTTAGGAATGGGGATAGTGCTATGAATAGGGATAAAGGGATAGGGACGTACATGTGAGGACGTTTATTTGAGCACTTTTAGAATAATTTTTCGAGCCTGAAACTTTGCACAAATGATGCTCCATTTAAAGAAAAATCGCGGTACGATCTTTTGGAGTTGCACGCTTATTTTATACTTTTACATTATCCAGATTGGCTTAGTTTCGTAACTTTATTGCGCTGAAACATCGTTCAGTGATCTTTTTCTGTACGGAGGTTCAGGTGTACAAAGTTTCGGCTGCAAACAATTAACGCAAACGTGCAAATTATTTGAAGAGCAAAACAAGGAATACAGCGAAAGGAATTGTAATGAGAAATGAGTTAAATCCTACCGGTGCAGAATATATGAAAAGGATCAGCAAGATGATAACTAACACCAACAGGATTGCACCGATGATGTACCATTTGTAATTGCGCCAAATAATAAAACGAAAAGATCTCCACGGATTCCAAATCCATAAGAATGACGTCTTGGGCCGACTTAAAAAAACCATTACAATCTCAAAAATTGTTTTTAAAAATACAGGGTGACCCAGAAAGATTCGTACCCATGAAAATTTCAATTATGGCTTCAATTAAACAGCTATTTATTTCAAATTACAACCACACATCATTCAGTTTATGGAAGACTATTCACAAGAGTTTCGGCTATTTCTGTCAATTTTTAGTCAATTTATGGCTTTCCCAAGATGTGTTCCAAATGTCCACCATTTCGTTGCAAGCAAACTTGTACTCGTCTGGCAAAGTTTTGAATCACTTTTATACACTCCTCTTTCGGGATGGCTCTTATTTTTGCTGTGATGGCAGTTTTAAGTTCTTCAAAATAAGAGCCATCCCGAAAATGAATTAAACTGCCAATTTGAAACTGCTGCAATACTTACACATCTTGAAAATAAAATGACAAAATAGACAGAAATACGAAATCCTTGAATCAGTTTATATTGATAATTACAATTAAAGCCATAATTGAAATTTCACAAACACCTGTAATTTTTAAGCGTGATGTTTTGCCCAATTTCAATAATGCGTCGAAATCATTTAACGCCTCAATGAATCGTGGTTAGCAAGGCTCATATATACAGCTCCTTACTTAGGTTTTTCTAATGCAGGATGTTGATTTGGTTCATCTTGTCCTTTGCCAGCAGGTTTAGCATTGGCTTCGTCAAACTCAAGTAGCTCCATAGTTATTTCAACTTTGCCCTAAAGATTGATGAAAATTGATTCAAGTAAATGTTTTTTAATCATCAGCTATGCAAAAGTAAAAAACTAAGCCATATTTTTAGCCTACAGTTTTATCGAAAGCATCAAATGGGCGAAAAAAGTCCCGAGAAAAACTCTTGCTAGAGCAATTAACGTTTGAAAGATGGCTTTAACGCAGGTTTTTTAAACGCAAATCGCTAGCAACAGTCTAGATCCTTTTCTTTTATCAATTGTTTTACTCATGCACCGTGCACAAGTTCGAATGTTTTATTCGCGCAAGAAAAAGCATTGTAAGCAAATACTTACGGAGTCAAAGCCTTCAATCCAAGCTGATAAATACAAAAGCAAATAATTTTTTTCCGTACAAAAATGGACGCGCAATATTTCAAGAGTTTATTGAAAAGAAAACGGATTAACGATTATTGTCAACGACCTGGAAACGCGACAGGTAAAGATGACCGGCAAGGTAAAATATTGGCCGGGTAAAAGACATTTTTGGCAAGCCACTGTCCGCTGACCGCAGCCGTTATTGTGAGCCTTATGTACACACATAAAAAAGAGCACTTCGGAAACCGGCCGATCGTTGAAATTTTAATTTTCTGCATAAAATTTTAATTCACATATTTTTGACACAAGCACGCGAGCTTTTCTGCTTCAAGGAATTCAAGATAACTTCTAACATCAAACACTAAACAAAAAGAGATTTGCGGGCTTAACATTAAAATTTCAACAGTTGGCCAATTTCTAAAGGTCTCCTTTTTCAACACCTTTATAGAAAAAAGAAACTACCGTTATTTTTTTATCATTTCTGTTCTTCTTTGATTCACCCTTCTCTTTCGGGTAACCATATATTGGCAACCAGCCATAGATGCGACGTATTTCGAACAGCGATTGTGCCTTGCGTTTCGAATAATCAGAAAGATTTTGATCTTGTTCGGATTACTGAACGGTTTCCCAAGTGCTTTTAAATCCAAATCAATGGAACCTAAGAAATACACAGTTATAAAATCATGGGGACGTAGTATACGGGGTGGCCTGTCACATCCTCAGCTTCAGGAATGCACGTGTTGGATAATTGTAAAGTTTCATTAACCAAAGAGATTTGTCACATGAAATTTTTTGTCTGCAACAAGCAACATTGAATAGATGCACTTCACTCTCAAATGCATTGCCAGATCATTTTAGAAGCAACAATATCGGCCATAGTCAATCCAGGAAAAATTTCACTCGCAATACTATAAATTATCAGATAGAAATATTTTATGACGTTGATGATCCAAGAACATAGAAATCTATATGTATGTCTTGTTACAAGTCTTGTGAACTATCAAGTGAACTTTTGGTTGAAATTTGAATTCCATACGAGAAAAATCTTTTATTGAATTCAATCAACACTGCGGCCGTGATGAAACGAGCAATCCATGATAAAAAGAATTTATTTGGAGGCTTTTCTGGCTCTTACCTATGAAATCGTCTCTGGATATAAGATCGTTATCCCAAACTTGTAGGGTGAGGCGAGGTTGCGCCTTCTCTACGCGCTCACTCCAGTTCCAAATATGATCCTGAAAATATTCGTTCGTAAATAACTTCAATTTAACTATCAAACCTTCTTTTCGTAAGGGTCAATGTAATACTGAAGAAAAGCTTCTCCCTGCATTCGTTAGATCCGTTTCACCTCTCGCATAAATTATACTAATTTATTTAAAATCAATTCACTTTAGAATTTCAATAGTAAATTTTGCTTGTGTCGTCTAGTTTATTATGTCAAAAAATAATAAATATCCGACATCAAAATAGAGTTGGAAGCCGTCCTGCGAGAATTAATAAAGCAGATGATTTATGCAACAGCTAAAACGGAAGTGATGAATGCCGAGGTCAGCTTCTTAAATATTGCATAAACCAATACGACATGTAGACTAACAACTGCTCAGGTCATTTGAAATGATAATTGGCTAAACTTGAACTGAAAAGGACCAAAGAAGAATTCCATCATTGAAACATAATAAACAGAAAAGATTATAACTTGAAACAAAACATTTCACGTTTCATCTTTTCTGGAAAAACTACGAGGGATAAAGAAACATACACTGCACAGACTAAAAACAGTGAAAGACATTGAACCTTTTTCTTTACAAGTATCATTTTCTCTGCATCCAAAAACTCAAACGGAAAAAGCATTCTCCAATTGAACATTCCTTCACCGTTCAACGAGCTGTTGAAAATAATTTAGAATAAGAAAGTCATATTTTTATTGGAAACATTAAGAATTCAGTATTTATCTTTCAGTTGAAAGTTCATCCTTCGATGCACCCCATCCCCCCATCGTTCAATAAGCCAGTAGAAATACGTCAAGACAAGATAGTTCAAATAACATAGGTTCAAGAGTTTAGGATTTCCTCCCTTTTTGAAAAACACGTAGTAATATTCACCGATAATGTATGTCTGTACGTTGTTTTTCATTGCCAGCTAGCCAACTAGAATATAAATAATAGAAACTTGAGTACTTAGTCTGTACAATAACCCCTCCCCTCTCACCCCTCCCCCCCCCAACAAATGGTATTGATAAAACAACTACCTGAGCTCAACCAATCAAATCAATCAATTAAAACAATCGAAGAAAATATGCAAATCAATCATGAATACATATGTCAGAGGAAAAAATGAAAGAAATTTGTTTTAAAATTCATCTGGTTTGCATTATTGTTATTTTTTAAAAGAAATGAAAGATGTTTTTTGTGTTCGTTTGTGAGAACTCTCGAGCAGGTGCAACCCTCCACCTCCGGTTTTGAGCTTGCACTGATCTGCTCTCGAATTCTACAAAATGTTCCCTCGGTTCGCATAAGCCTGTACAAACTGCAAACATAGTAAAAATTTCTTATTTCTCAATCACACACAGTATACGTGGTTCCTCTATTAAGTGACGACGCTGCCACCACCCCCCCTCCCTCATTCCCGAATATGCTTGCATGTAAAAGACAATATTCCACCAACCATTTGACGTAGATATCGCTCATTTGTTCTCCTAACAAATTTCCCTCTTGCAAAAAAACATCACACGTATTCCACACAATAACGCGCAGCTCATACCTGTATAATAATGTTAACACGAAGTGAATTAATTACGCATGATACAAGTAAATTACAAGTGGTTAAAACTGAGAAAAGGCGATAAAAAATAGGCAGGATTGAGCATTTTCATGAATGAGCTCTTTAAACCGACGAGCTTTACGCATTTTCATATTTTACATCTTACTTTTTCGGTTGTCTTGGAGTAATGTCAATCGGTGGTCCAGGTTCTCCACAGTATTCGGGAAATATATGGACAAACATCTCAAGTTTACCCTTTGAAAATAAGTAAATTTATAAGTACATCGACAATCTATAATCACTGTCAGTGGTTGCATTCACTACACCTAGGTATGAGTTACATTCACTACACCAAGGTATGAGTTACATTAACTACACCAAGGTATGAGTTACATTCACTACACCTAGGTATGAGTTACATTCACTACACCTAGGTATGAGTTACATTCACTACACCTAGGTATGAGTTACATTCACTACACCTAGGTATGAGTTACATTCACTGCACCTAGGTATGAGTTACATTCACTACACCTAGGTATGAGTTACATTCTTCACCTAGGTATGAGTTACATTCACTACACCTAGGTATGAGTTACATTCATTACACCTAGGTATGAGTTACATTCACTACACCAAGGTATGAATTACATTCACTACACCTAGGTATGAGTTACATTAACTGCACCTAGGTATGAGTTACATTCACTACACCTAGGTATGAGTTACATTCACTGCACCTAGGTATGAGTTACATTCACTACACCTAGGTATGAGTTACATTAACTGCACCTAGGTATGAGTTACATTCACTACACCTAGGTATGAGTTACATTCACTACACCTAGGTATGAGTTACATTCACTACACCTAGGTATGAGTTACATTCACTATACGTAGGTTTGAATGATTGAACCAATGACCTAGAATTCAATCTACAAGACGTCTGACTCCGTCGAAATTCTATAGTAATAATAAGTGAGGCAAGCTGCCATCTTGGAAAGTGGCAAAACTGACGATATTTACGACTGATATCTGCTTTTCATGAGTTGATATACAGTTGCAGAATTGATAGTCTAGGGTTTGATTTACAGACTTTTCGCTTTCAGTTTTGCTCTTTGCCACCGCTTTCAAGATGGCGTCCCTGCCTCACCTTGACAAGCTAGTTAGAGTTAGAAATCTAAGGTACTGGGTTCTAAATCATGTGTCTATGGTTTAAATCTACTTGCAGCAGGCCAGATGGACGGACTGAAGCCCAATACCAAATAATTTACTAAAACAGTTGGCAAAACGTAGCGTGTCTGTATGCAGAAAATGACCGGAATGGACCACAGACTTCTATTTGTAAGAGTTGGGACACGTATAGCTGGCTACATTTTGCATTATGATCATGATGATTGTGTAAACATGGTCACGTGGTGTCTCGCCGCCATTTCTGTTTCAAAAGTGCAAACTATAACTACTTTTATACGGGAGTCAAATTATAAACAAATGTTTAAAAATGGCTTATGTTGCATTGTCAATAGGATCAATCCACGCAATATCAAGAATGTAAATGTACACGCTCCCCGGCGGCAAAGAGAGTATAAAAAGTTGTATAAATTACATCCACTTCTTAGGATATCTATAAAAAATTGACTTCAAAAGGTAGCGATTGCTGCCTAATCGTGAAATATAACACAGCAGAACTAGTCTTTCCTCCATTTTATATTTGCTGGCCTTTGGAAGAAAAATGGCCGTCCTTGGAGGACTCTAGGCAATTTTACTTCTTGTGCCCCAACTCTTTCGTATGATGGGCTCTGGAATGGACAAATCTGACTTGAATCTATTACCTGTGGAAATCCCGGATACAAGCTAGAATACAAATTTCTTGTTTCCACGTGTTCACAGACCAAATTGTTAAAGTCATGGAGCACGCGCAGAGCGAGACGTTGACATTTGAAATCATAACTGTCGTTTTCAATCTTTTCATGTTCTATATAAAAACACGTAACAAAAACCTTCACAAGCAAAATTTAAGAATGGAAATATAAGAAAACATTTTTCTTAGCATTTCTTCACAATACATGTGTTTTTAGCATTAAACAGTTAACTACACAAATCGGAGCACTTTTGAGACATGGCGTTGAGCAATAAAGTAGGTATAAGTTAAGATGAACTTATGATCATTGTTGTATATTCTCGACATGTAGTGTTAAACAAGAAGGTATAAGTTAAGATAAACTTATGATCATTTTTGTATTCTAGATTTATAGTGTTAAACAGTAAAGTAGGTATAAATTAGGATAAATTTATGGTCTGTTGTGTCCTTGACATGCAGTGTCAGACAGTAAAGAAGGTATAAATTAAGATAAACTTATGATCATTGTTGTATTCTAGATTTATAGTGTTAAACAGTAAAGTAGGTATAAATTAGGATAAATTTATGGTCTGTTGTGTTCTTGACATGCAGTGTTAGACAGTAAAGAAGGTATAAATTAAGATAAACTTATGGTCATTGTTGTGTTCTTGCTATAAATAAGAAAAAATTAATGAGCAAAGTGGTGCGTTGGTTTTTAGTGTTGAGCCACAAAGTAGATCAAAGAAATACCACTTTCACGGCAAGATAAACAATCACAAAGGTTATACTTCACTCACTATATGTAAGATTATTTTGGCAATAACTTACCGAAATCACTAAGCTTTAAAAATAAAACTCCATCGACCTCAACACAGACATCATCGGAATTAGGCACGTTATTAAAACGCGGCTGTGACGAATAGTGAAGGTTGCAGTAATTTATCAAAATCTCTGTTGGACGATATTTTTTTCCAAAAGGCCATTTGTTTAGACCCGAACTGCAAAAGAAAAAAACTGTAAATTATTTGTCTTGCGTCAGAGACGACAAAATAGACATTTCAGTGTGTTCCAGTGTTCCAGTCACTGATGCTGACAGCATGCAACGTTTACGTCTGTATGTCAAAAGCTCATTCACATTCATTATAAGAGCGACATAAATGTCACTCACATTCACTATAAGAGCGACATAAATGTCACTCACATTCACTATAAGAGCGACATAAATGTCACTCACATTCACTATAAGAGCGACATAAATGTCACTCACATTCACTATAAGAGCGTCATTAATGTCACTCACATTCACTATAAAAGCGACATAAATGTCACTCACACTCATTATAAGAGCGACATAAATGTCACTCACACTCACTATAAGAGCGACATAAATGTCACTCACATTCACTATAAGAGCGACATAAATGTCACTCACACTCACTATAAGAGCGACATAAATGTCACTCACACTCACTATAAGAGCAACATAAATGTCACTCACACTCACTATAAGAGCACATAAATCACTCCACACTCACTACAAGAGCGACATAGATGTCACTCATTCACTATAAGAGCGACATAAATGTCCACTCAAACACTGACCTAAATGTAAACACACATCACTATAAGACGACATAAATCACCATTCACTATAAGAGCGACATAAATGTCACTCACATTCACTATAAGAGCAACATAAATGTCACTCCACTCACTATAAGAACGACATAGATGTCACTCCACATTCACTATAAGTGCATTTAATGTCATCACACTCACTATAAAGCGACATAAATCACTCACACTCACTATAAGAGCGACATATGTCACTCATTCACTATAAGAGCAACATAAATGTCACTCACACTCACTATAAGAGTCGACATAAATGTCACTCCACTCACTATAAAAGCGTCCATGTCCATCCACTCACTAAGAACGACATAAATGTCCTCACACACTATCATAAATGTCACTCCACATTCACATAAATGTCACTCACACTCACTATAAGAACGACATAAATGTCACTCACACATTCACTATAAATGCGACATAAATGTCACTCACACTCACTATAAAAGCGACATAAATGTCACTCACTCACTATAAGTGCGACATAAATGTCACTCACACTCACTATAAGAGCAACATAAATGTCACTCACACTCACTATAAGAACGACATAAATGTCACTCACACTCACTATAAGAGCGACATAAATGTCACTCACATTCACTATAAGAGCGACATAAATGTCACTCACACTCACTATAAGAGCGACATAAATGTCACTCACACTCACTATAAGAGCGACATAAATGTCACTCACACTCACTATAAGAGCGACATAAATGTCACTCACATTCACTATAAGAGCGACATAAATGTCACTCACACTCACTATAAGAGCAACATAAATGTCACTCACATTCACTATAAGAGCGACATAAATGTCACTCACACTCACTATAAGAGCAACATAAATGTCACTCACACTCACTATAAGAGCGACATAAATGTCACTCACACTCACTATAAGAGCGACATAAATGTCACTTACATTCACTATAAGTGCGACATAAATGTCACTCATACTCACTATAAGTGCGACATAAATGTCACTCACAGTCACTATAAGTGCGACATAAATGTCACTCACACTCACTATAAGAGCGACATAAATGTCACTCACATTCACTATAAGTGCGACATAAATGTCACTCACACTCACTATAAGAGCGACATAAATGTCACTTACATTCACTATAAGTGCGACATAAATGTCACTCACACTCACTATAAGTGCGACATAAATGTCACTCACAGTCACTATAAGTGCGACATAAATGTCACTCACAGTCACTATAAGAGCAACATAAATGTCACTCACACTCACTATAAGAGCGACATAAATGTCATTTGTTCTAATCAATGGCAAACTTGCTGAAATATTTTGAATCAACATGAAGTCCTGCTGTGTACATTTTAGAGCATTATTATCGTTGTACTCCTCTAAAGAAATATTTTGCTTTTACAGTAAGTGAACACGATAAAACGATCATGAAATAGCTAAATAAGCTGGCTAAGTCAGTCAGTGATTTTAGCCCTTTACTACAAATGAAGATTCAAGAAATGAGCGTGACGTTTGTGAACAAAAAAGGAACTAAGAACTAGCCAATTTTAACGCTTCACAGTCAAAGTCAAAAAGTCGTTATTTAAGCAATTTCGACACAGACAAACCTAGGCAACATGTGGCATTCCCACAATGCAGTATATCTCTCACCCTCTCACTGGCAGTTGGCAAAAACCTAATAATAACGAAATCGTTTTTAGATCTACACCACCACGATTATAGATACTTACGTCGAATACGTTTTAGGAAGTCCTGCCATCGCGTGTCTTTTGGACAGGAATCTGTTTTCAAGATCTATGACGGTTTCGCCGATAAGATCATCCGATGCGAAATCGTAATCCATGACTTTAATCTTTAGATCTTTTTCCATTGGGATTCTGGCTTTGAACTCGAACATCCTATGGGGGAAATGACACATCATTTTACGGTTTTTAGCATCCGAAAAACACGGGACAGTAAGCTCGAAATCGATGATCAACGTAATTGCATCGTTGCCTTACTTTCTATTGTTCAAATAAGGCGAAATAATGACGTAGTTACCTAATTAATTCAGTCACCTATTCAAATTCAAAGGTCGTACCATACAAGTAATATGAGCTTGCATGTCATCTGTACTTGTAGCACTTAATAAAAATCACCGCAAAGTATTTCTCAAAACACAAAAACATTTAATTTACACCATCGTTGACGACGTGTGAAGCACTGACTCAAATATTTCGGCAAACATAGTCAGAGGCGTAACTAGAACGTTAATTGGGGAGGGGGTATATTCATGTATTCAGTTGTGCCCTACTGATTTCTTTTGAAATTCAAACCACTCAAAGAAATCAGTAGGGCTAACAGAATATGAATAAACACCCAATTGACGTTCTAGTTACGCCTCTATTACATTCATTACAAAAGCAAGACCATTGTAGTTTGGTTACTTCGTGATGAAATGCACTCAAATGCAGATTTAGGAAAAGAAGGCCTAGGCAGACATTAAATCACTCATAACGTCACTGGTGCGGACATAGTAAGTACATACTTTCCAAAATCTACTGACAAGACATCACACGCATGACCATCTCTGTCATTGTGACATTTTTTTCCAAGAGATACCACAAGATATGGATCTGCTAAACCGTTCAGATCCTTTGACATCAAGTCGTAAGCCTAAAAGGGAAAAGATCGTCACTGAGCTGGACAAGAAAACACGTTGCTGGGCCGACTGTACGAAAGCCAAACAGCGCTGTACCTACTGCATAACAAAATTTTTGAACGTTCAAAAAATATCTCAAAAGAGAAAAATACGGAATATGATGCGAGCAATCACCGAAGTAAGACATTGCGTCTAGGATAACAAAGAAAAACATAAGTAACTTTTCTACAAGATTGAAAATTTTATCATGCAATGAATAACGCTATCTGGGCTTCGTGCAATCCCCCCCTGGGACAATTTTACGACAGCTGGCCCACCCTGTGATCTGAACTAAATCTTCACTTTTGTCATTAGTCTCTATTTCGATCATTGAAAATAGATTTACGACTATAATGTCTGATATAGTAGATTCATTATAGAATCCATTTTTATCTCCTGAATGCATGCAGGCAAGTCGAGCGCCATTTGTTACGTTGTGGATAGGTGTACTAACCTATAAGCGGGCGCATACCTAGCTAAGCAGGGGGGGTATGTCGGATGTGTGACAGCCCAAAAATTTTTAAAAACTGATTGATAAATTTTTATCCCTTTGCATGTAGTTCCTGACATAAGCCTTGCATTGATCTGCTCTCGAGATCTCCTCCAATTGCATAAGCGTGTGCCAACACAGTAAACTTATACTTATAATCTTATTTCTTAACTAATAGTATACAAGGCAAACCTTAACAATATAAACTCTGACGGTGCATTTGATTGGTTCTGCCTTTGGTAGAAATTTCTCCTTGAAGAATTGCGGCTGTAGAGAAGTGTCGTACTTTTCACTTAACGGGTAGATACAGAAGGAGCCCTGTAATTGAATGGCAAGAGAACATAACTCTTGTGAATAGGATTGGTTCAGTGGCATAGCTAGCACGTAAGATTAATCGTGTTATGTAAATCCTTTGGTGCTCATTCAACGTGAAAACAATAGATTTTAGTGTAAATCCTAAGATGTTCATTCAACGTGAAAACAATAGATTTTAGTGTAAATCCTTTGGTGTTCATTCAACGTGAAAACAATAGATTTTAGTGTAAATCCTTTGGTGTTCATTCAACGTGAAAACAATAGATTTTAGTGTAAATCCTTTAATGTTCATTCAACGTGAAAACAATAGATTTTAGTGTAAATCCTTTGGTGTTCATTCAACGTGAAAACAATAAATTTTAGTGTAAATCCTTTGGTGTTCATTCAACGTGAAAACAATAGATTTTAGTGTAAATCCTTTGGTGTTCATTCAACGTGAAAACAATAGATTTTAGTGTAAATCCTTTGGTGTTCATTCAACGTAAAAACAATAGATTTTAGTGTAAATCCTTTGGTGTTCATTCAACGTAAAACAATAGATTTTAGTATAAATCCTTTGGTGTTCATTCAACGTGAAAACAATAGATTTTAGTGTAAATCCTTTGGTGTTCATTCAACGTGAAAACAATAGATTTTAGTGTAAATCCTTTGGTGTTCATTCAACGTAAAAAAATAGATTTTAGTGTAAATCCTTTGGTGTTCATTCAACGTAAAAACAATAGATTTTAGTATAAATCCTTTGGTGTAAATTCAACGTAAAAACAATAGATTTTAGTGTAAATCTTTTGGTGTTCATTCAACGTAAAAACAATAGATTTTAGTATAAATCCTTTGGTGTAAATTCAACGTAAAAACAATAGATTTTAGTGTAAATCCTTTGGTGTAAATTCAACGTAAAAACAATAGATTTTAGTGTAAATTCTTTGATGTTCATTCAACGTGAAAACAATAGATTTTGGTGTAAATCCTTTGGTGTTCATTCAACGTGAAAACAATAAATTTTAGTGTAAATCCTTTGGTGTTCATTCTACGTAAAAACAATAGATTTTAGTGTAAATCCTTTGGTGTTCATTCAACGTGAAAACAATAGATTTTAGTGTAAATCCTTTGGTGTTCATTCAACGTGAAAACAATAAATTTTAGTGTAAATCCTTTGGTGTTCATTCTACGTAAAACAATAGATTTTAGTGTAAATGCTTTGGTGTTCATTCAACGTGAAAACAATAGATTTTAGTGTAAATCCTTTGGGGTACAATCAACGTAAAAACAATAAATTTTAGTGTAAATCCTTTGGTGTTCATTCAACGTGAAAACAATAGATTTTAGTGTAAATCCTTTGGTGTTCATTCTACGTAAAAACAATAGATTTTAGTGTAAATCCTTTGGTGTACAATCAACGTAAAAACAATAGATTTTAGTGTAAATCCTTTGGTGTACAATCAACGTAAAAACAATAAATTTTAGTGTAAATCCTTTGGTGTTCATTCAACGTGAAAACAATAGATTTTAGTGTAAATCCTTTGGTGTTCATTCTACGTAAAAACAATAGATTTTAGTGTAAATCCTTTGGTGTTCATTCTACGTAAAAACAATAGATTTTAATGTAAATTGGTGTTCATATTAAACAATAGATTTTAGTGTAAATCCTTTGGTGTTCATTCAACGTGGACAAGATTTTAAGAAAATCCTTTGGTGTACAATCAACGTAAAAACAATAGATTTAGTGTAAATCCTTTGGTGTTCATTCAACGTGAACAATAGATTTTAGTGTAAATCCTTTGGTGTTCATTCAACGTGAAAACAATAGATTTTAGTGTAAATCTTTTGGTGTTCATTCAACGTAAAAACAATACATTTTAGTGTAAATCCTTTGGTGTTCATTCAACGTGAAAACAATAGATTTTAGTATAAATCCTTTGGTGTAAATTCAACGTAAAAACAATAGATTTTAGTGTAAATCCTTTAGTGTTCATTCAACGTGAAAACAATAGATTTTAGTGTAAATCCTGTGGTGTTCATTCAACGTGAAAACAATAGATTTTAGTGTCAATCGTTTGGTGTTCATTCAACGTGAAAACAATAGATTTTAGTGTAAATCCTTTGGTGTTCATTCAACGTGAAAACAATAGATTTTAGTGTAAATCCTTTGGTGTTCATTCAACGTGAAAACAATAGATTTTAGTGTCAATCCTTTGGTGTTCATTCAACGTGAAAACAATAGATTTTAGTGTAAATCCTTTGGTGTTCATTCAACGTGAAAACAATAGATTTTAGTGTAAATCCTTTGGTGTTCATTCAACGTGAAAAGATTAAATTTTATGTAAATCCTTTGGTGCTCATTCAACGTGAAAACAATAGATTTTAGTGTAAATCCTAAGATGTTCATTCAACGTGAAAACAATAGATTTTAGTGTAAATCCTTTGGTGTTCATTCAACGTGAAAACAATAGATTTTAGTGTCAATCCTTTGGTGTTCATTCAACGTGAAAACAATAGATTTTAGTGTAAATCCTTTGGTGTTCATTCAACGTGAAAACAATAGATTTTAGTGTAAATCCTTTGGTGTTCATTCAACGTGAAAACAATAGATTTTAGTGTAAATCCTTTGGTGTTCATTCAACGTGAAAACAATTCACCTCTAAAGAAATGAAATGTGATAATGGTGAGAAATTCACATAGTATGAAAAAATTTGTTGATTGGCTACGTTAATGGTTTTGGTTTAGATGACGTCATTTAAGTTTGAATTCTTAATTTCAAAGTCATGAAAACTAATTGTTCGAAAACAAGAACAAACTTTCAATGCTCAGAAAATAGTCAGCTAAAATATTGGTTTACTCGCATGAGCTTATTGAGGAGTGGGAGGGTGGAACAAGGGGCAAATAGAGAGGGTGGGACTGGAGGCAGAGGGGAAGGGTGGAACAGTGGGAAGAGGGGAAGGGTGGAACTGGGGACAGAGGGGAAGGGGTAATCCCACAGTCTGTTGAACGGATAAGGACTTTCGGGCAATATTTTTCTGAAGAATCGGGTGATTTAAGTCATTCAACATTAAAAATGTATCGACCGCCCGCCCTAAAAGATATTAGCCGCTACGCCCATGTAAAGGTTGTTCTTGTTTTCGTTGCGTTTGCTAAAGCTTGTAATTACTTTGAATTCTCCGACTGAGCTCTCGTTTTCGTGATACTCGGGATCATGCCCTTTTCCTCTTCGCAAAGGAAACGTTTGGATGAAATCCTGAAAATTTTCAAAATGCTCTTCCAACTCGTCCGGGTGAATCTGAAACGAGCAAATGCAAAACGTCACACAAAAATAATTCGTCAATCTCGTGATTATTCACTGATATATATAAAGACGGGATAACACAACCTGATTGTGGTGCATAGAAAGTTTTTAAGCAAACTTTTGACAGCGGCGGCCATATTGGACTATCCACGTCTGGTATATACTTTATAATGAATTTTTCTTGTAATTTGTGTTCTTGTTATTTTATATTTCCGAAATCATGCCAAATCTGTAATTATGATATTTAAACAACGTGAGATGATTTCTATATGAAATTTAGGAAACATAAGTTTTGCCCAAAATCGTTCTATTACAGTGTTGTCATCAAAATAGTTCTTTTTTATCCCAAGAGTAAAACATATTATCCAAAATAAATGCGAGAATAGCAGTTTATTATATAAAAAGTATATAACGCACTGAAAAAGTGGATAGTCCAATATGGCCGCCACCTGGCTTCAAGTCAAGCACTAAGTTACGTTATCCAGTCTTTATACATGTCAGTGTGATTATTTAGCTGGTTATGCCACCTGGCTTCAAGTCAAGTACTATGTTGAGTTATCCAGTCTTTATACATGTCAGTGTGATTATTGAGATGGTTATGCCACCTGGCTTCAAGTCAAGCACTAAGTTACGTTATCCAGTCTTTATACATGTCAGTGTGATTATTGAGATGGTTATGCCACCTGGCTTCAAGTCAAGCACTAAGTTACGTTATCCAGTCTTTATACATGTCAGTGTGATTATTTAGCTGGTTATGCCACCTGGCTTCAAATCAAGCACTATGTTGAGTTATCCAGTCTTTATACATGTCAGTGTGATTATTTAGCTGGTTATGCCGCCTGGCTTATGTCAAGCACTAAGTTGAGTTATCCAGTCTTTATACAAGTCAGTGTAATTATTTAGTTGGTTATGCCACCTGGCTTCAAGTCAAGCACTAAGTTACGTTATCCAGTCTTTATACATGTCAGTGTGATTATTTAGATCGTTATGCCACCTGGATTATGCTAATATTTGAAAAAAAGCGCACAGTCAAAAATTTAACTGAAAAGTTCTTTACGTTAAAAATATGTAAAAATCATTAAACCTCCATCGTATCGAAGTTTGTTGGATAGTCGTCGGCCATTTTACGAGTTTCCTCTCGAGAAGCATAGTACTTTGACCACCAATCAAACTTTCTTTGTCCTTCTTCTTCTTCTTCTTCTTCGATGGCAGTCTGGTTTTTTTAAAGAAATAACAGCTTGCTGAGTAAATCATAAATTTTTATACCACCAAAAATTATCTACAGATAAGCAAATAGCACATAAAGACCGTAACGTGTATTGAATAACGAATGCAAACCTCGTTTCTTGTGTTGTCCTGTTCAATGACTACGGCACGGTGATCTGGTATGGCACCCGAAGCTAAAAATTTGAAAACGTCAAAGAAACCGTGGTCTGACCATATTTGTTCATTATACATGAGTACTTTGATGAAAGAAGCATTGAAGCCATTGATTACTGCTTTCTTGATCTGAAGCAAACTTTGACAGTCTCGGATGGTAAACATCAACGTTATTTGATCAACAGTTCTTTTAAAGGTGGTATGATGGAGAAAAATTTTTCACGTGTAACTCGAGGGAGAACGAGATGCGATTAAAAATTTACACACAGTTTGACTAATGTAGTTAATTATCTTCGGTAGCCTGAGTAAAAGTGTTACACACATGTTAACTAATGTAGAAAACTGTCACAAAGATAGTCAAACGGAGAGAAAACGTTTTGCTCTTTACGTTTTACACGTGGACAGATTTTACACGTGGACAGATTTTACACGTGTACAGATTTTACACGTGGACAGATTTTACACGTGGACAGATTTTACACGTGGTTCTAAAGAAGTTATTCGCTACTTGCTAAAGAAGGAAGGAAGCAGGTAAGAAAGTGACGCAAGACAAAGTAATGGTCTACATTTGAGAGTTGATGTCTGGTAGTGAGGAGACCGAAATAGTGTAGAATGTTGAACCATTGCCAGAAAAACTCAATTCAACTTTACTACCGATTTGTTTTGCTGAAAATTGCGGGCGTTTATGATGTTTCTTATAGGGGTGAGAAATTTATTTAGGAAGGGGGGGGGGGTGGAATCTGCTATTTTGGGAGGTTGCACCCCCTGCGCCCCGGAAAATCGGTCCATCGATTTAACATATACCTGGACTTTTCGTTACATTTTTGTAACTTCCGGTCTTCTTATTGAGAAAGATTTTGGCACTTTCAATGACACACACGCCAACTGTTGGACGACGACCAAATAAACGGTTATCTCGAACTCGTATCGTGATTGGAGGAGTAAAGAAACCCTTTTCTGGTAAATCCTATATGATGTCGACAAAAAATAAAAACTGTAAATTGTAAGGCATAACTTCATGCTGACTCACTCCGCGTTTATGGCAGGAAACCTAATCCATGTGAGGGATATACTTCATTTTAATGAAACGTATCGCTGTATTTCAGTCATACCATGATACACTAACGTAAAAAGTGTTTCACATGTTTATTAACTTTTTATTGTTTTGTAAAGGGAAAATGTCCTACTCACTGGGGGATCCGTCTTCGGGGAGGAGGTGAATGAGGAGCTGGAGAGGGCGTTTGTCTCTAAGAATATTTGACTCTGAAGATGACTATGGCTAAAGCTGTCGAAACGTTTGTAAACAAAAAACCAACAGTTCATAACATCTATGTCGACATCCACATCTACATCTACATCTACATCTACATCTACATCTACATCTACATCTACATCTACATCTACATCTACATCTACATTTACACCTAAATCTACATTTACATCTACGTTTACACCTACATCTACATCTACATCTACATTCACATCTACATCTATATTTACATCTACATTTACACCTACATCCACATCTACATCTACATTTACATCTACATCTACATCTACATTTACATCTACATCTACATCTACATCTACATTTACATCTACATCTACATCTACATCTACATCTACATCTACATCTACATCTACATCTACATTCTACATCTACATCTACATCAACATCTACATCTACATCTACATCTACATCTACATCTACATCTATAAACAAGTAAAAATTTTGATGTTAAAAGACATCTTCTGTATGAGTATGAAGGATTTTGTTGAAAAAAAGAAACTTGCTTACAACATACATCTACAGATATAAAACATATGAAAAAACCAGAACGATGCTAAATGATGCAACTAAATAACTTACGATATGAAAACATAGTACACGGTTCTCCTGAAAATTGGGATTCGTTTTGATGTTTTCCAAAACGTTCGTCTTCTGCGTTGTTTTACCCATTTCAATCTCCACCAAAGGTGATTTTACGGATAATCCCTTGAAACGTTTTAGATCGCGTAAGCCCCAACAGAGTACCTGTGAAAATTGTATGTTTTTACAAATTGTTCACTTGGAAAGAATGCAAACAGATCCCGAAATTCACATCATGAACACACTGTACAAAGAAAGTAAACACTTACTTGAGTTACTTCTACCCTATGTTTTGTTGTTTTATATAGTATATTTTCAGGAATAGTGTAAATACCAAAGTACTCACTTACTTCTACCATATGTTTTGTTGTTTTATGTAGTATATTTTCAGGAATAGTGTAAATACCAAAGTACACACTTACTTCTACCATATGTTTTGTTGTTTTATATAGTATATTTTCAGGAATAGTGTAAATACCAAAGTACTCACTTACTTCTACCATATGTTTTGTTGTTTTATATAATATATTTTCAGGAATAGTGAAAATACCAAAGTACACACTTACTTCTACCATATGTCTTGTTATTTTATGTAGTATATATTCAGGAATAGTGAAAATACCAAAGTACACACTTACTTCTACCATATGTCTTGTTGTTTTATGTAGTATATTTTCAGGAATAGTGTAAATACCAAAGTACACACTTACTTCTACCATATGTCTTGTTGTTTTATGTAGTATATTTTCAGGAATAGTGTAAATACCAAAGTACACACTTACTACTACCATATGCTTTGTTGTTTTATATAGTATATATTCAGGAATAGTGAAAATAGCAAAGTAGACACTTACTTCTACCATATGTTTTGTTGTTTTATGTAGTATATTTTCAGGAATAGTGAAAATACAAAACTACACACTTACTTCTACCATATGTTTTGTTGTTTTATGTAGTATATTTTCAGGAATAGTGTAAATACCAAAGTACACACTTACTTCTACCATATGTCTTGTTGTTTTATGTAGTATATTTTCAGGAATAGTGTAAATACCAAAGTACACACTTACTTCTACCATATGTCTTGTTGTTTTATGTAGTATATTTTCAGGAATAGTGTAAATACCAAAGTACACACTTACTACTACCATATGCTTTGTTGTTTTATATAGTATATATTCAGGAATAGTGAAAATAGCAAAGTAGACACTTACTTCTACCATATGTTTTGTTGTTTTATGTAGTATATTTTCAGGAATAGTGAAAATACAAAAGTACACACTTACTTCTACCATATGTTTTGTTGTTTTAGGTAGTATATTTTCAGGAATAGTGTAAATACCAAAGTACACACTTACTTCTACCATATGTTTCGTTGTTTTAGGCAGTATATTTTCAGGAATAGTGTAAATATCGCTGTCAACAGGCGAGGGAAGCGCTGGAGCACAATCGTTTTCCTGTATATTTGATAAATATATTTGATATATTTTTCATAATGATTTCAAACAAAGCACAGTAATAAAGTACAAACAGCATGAGTCAGAATAAAGAAAGCGCTAAGACAACAACAACAATAGTGACAACAAAAGTAGCAGAGGCATTAACTGGAAAACCACCACCACCAACAACAACAGTAACAACAAAAGTAGCAGAGGCCTTAACTGGAAAACTACCGCCAACAACAACAACAGCAACAACAAAAGTAGCAGAGGCATTAACTGGAAACCACCACCACCAACAACAACAGTAACAACAAAAGTAGCAGAGGCATTAACTGGAAAACTACCGCCAACAACAACAACAGCAACAACAAAAGTAGCAGAGGCATTAACTGGAAAACTACCACCACCAACAACAACAGCAACAACAACAACAACAACAACAACAACAATAACAATAGTTACAACATCAGCCACAACAACAACTACAACATTCGTTAGCACATCAGCTGCTGCAACACAAACATTAGGAACAATAACAGCAACAAAAAAACAACAACAAAAACAGCAATAGTTACAACAGCCTCAACATCAAAAATAACTAGAGCAACAGCTACAACAACATAAACAACAATTATATTGAATATTGATAGTACAACTGCACATTACCACAAATACTTGAAAAACAGCCAAAATATCACCGCAATGATGATCCTTTTTCCAAATTTTATGCCATGAAAGTTTCGCCTCCGGCACACGGTCAGGAAGGAATACAATCGGCTCCGCTTGAGCACGTCCGAGAAAGTCATCTTTTCCCTTAAGCTAATGATTTTAGGTGCATGTATTAATTTCACTTTGTGTATTCATTATTCTACTTGTTTATGAAGAAGTGATTAATTAAGCCAGCACCTCACTTGCGACATAAGCACAAGAATAAACATAAACATGAAAGTGTCCTTATTTGCAAGTAAACTTCAATAAACACAAGCAAAAGCTCAAATATGCATAAAAGAGAACGGAGAGTTTTGAATAAAAATGTTGCAAGTAGAAACCAGGCTTTAGAGACGGTTTGTATTAGAGTTTTAGTTAGAAGGGGCGTAGCTCGCATCGACTATTGCGGGGTGGGGAGCAATATACACGCAAGCACATTACAACACTTGTGCCTAGGAAGATAGATAATGGGGGGGTGCTCATACTCGTATATGCATATTATGCAAGATTAAGTTTCTTTGAAATCCAATGTTTTCAATGGATTATAACATGAATGCATGAACATGAGCCCCCCTCCCCCAATTGTTAATGTTCCCACGCACATGTAATACAGGGAAAACAATTTATTTCAAAGGAACTGTTTATGTAAATATTGTCGCATACATCCCCAATTCTACACCAATGGCGTTGGCTGTAGGATAACGTCCCTCTTTGCCATGTATAAAATGTACACTGCAACCAAATATAAAAACCAATAGCACTTTGCTTTCCCATCTGGTCCGTGTACACGCATTAGGAAAAAGCCGATCATCGAAACTGACTATGAATAGACTGACCTACATAAGATAGCTGGACTTACCATTGAATCGCTGTCAAATAACTCCATCAACACATCTGGAGGATTTTCAATCACCTGTTCATAATGACCATATATGGGGACGTAATCGATGAGCAACATCTCATTCCAAGTTGGATTGAGACTCTTGGTTATTGTACAGGACGTCGCGCTTCGTGTGCAGAACGAGAGCCGAACGTAGGGATCTATGAATATGATTTGATGGAAATATTGTTGTTGTCACGATAAAAAGGTTGAAGGGACATAGTGTAGATAGGTTGAATAAATCAAGTTGATTTTCACATAAATTAAGTTGATTTTCACATAAATTAAGTTGATTTTCACATAAATTTAGATGATTTTCACATAAATTAAGTTAATTTTCACATAAATTTAGATGATTTTCACATAAATTAAGTTGATTTTCACATAAAGTTAGATTATTTTCACATAAATTTAGATGATTTTCACAAAAATTAAGTTGATTTTATATATTATATTATATTGATTAAAATTATATTGATTTTGACGAGAAAACACAAAATCGTAAACAGACTTGAACACGCACTCCCAAACAGCATCATCTTGTAAACTCAAGATTCGAGTTATGTTAACAAGAGACTTATCTCTTGAGAGACTTATCTCAAGTATTCATAAGCAATGTTTCCACATTTTTTCGTTATTAAACTATTATTTTTTTGAATCGTTTCTCGAAAAAATTTTAAGTAATCGGGGAAGTGAAAATACAGATTTTTGTAAAGTTTAGAGGTGATTTTGTGTGTTAGTTTGTTTTTACCCTACACAAGTAGGAGGACGTCATTACCTGCCAATCCGTTTGGATCCGAAGGCAAAAGATTTCTTGCTTGATAAAGATGAGCACGAAATTGGCAAATGAGAGGCCCTATGTGAATAAAAATGAAGTTTTAAATGCAGCAAAAGGACAAGAGGTCGCAAAACGACGGAGTTCGAGTTATCTTACTTTTGAATGAGAGAAAAATTCTCGGAGCATCAAGCACCAGATCTTTTTCCTGGAATGTTTTTAATGAAAAACGTGAAACTTAATGAATGCCTTTGACGAAAAACAAAAACAAAATGTATTCTATACCTTTTCCGCTCCAAGTCGAAACACGGGTTCGGGAGCTGTCGAATCTGTTCGTACCAATCTACGATGCCATCGTCGTCGTCGTACAAAATCGTAATACTTTTCCTCTCTGTGAAATCTCGAAGAGAATGTTGTTGCATATTCCCATCCATCTTTCGACGCGTGATCTTCCGCAGGCTAAAATGAATAAATAAAAAAACAAAGTTAGATTCTGAGAAAGAGTATAGCGCTTGCAAAATCTTAAAAATTTTTTAGAGCCATTACAAATTAGTTGGTGTAAATCTCCAAGATAAACAAATACTACCACTTTTGTTTGGGGAATTACATAGATTAGGGTATATAATTTTTACTTATTCCTATCAAATACCAGCTTTTGAAAATCAAAACCTTACGATGGGCCGAAGTAGATTAATGATACGTAGTGAAACTCAGATGTACATACAGTCTTTGCATAAGTGGGTTGTGAAACTCAGATGTACATACAGTCTTTGCATAAGTGGGTTGTGAAACTCAGATGTACATACAGTCTTTGCATAAGTGGGTTGTGAAACTCAGATGTACATACAGTCTTTGCATAAGTGGGTTGTGAAACTCAGATGTACATACAGTCTTTGCATATGTTTATTTCATGGATTTTGTGTTATAAATTTGCCGTGATGAGTGATTACAGCGATTAAATATACACAATGACTGGAACTGCAAATCAGGTAGATTCTCCAATAACTTAATTCCACAAACAGACAAAACACATATTTTTCACAGTCAGAGGCTTAGGAGGCCGTGTTTGTCTTGGTGTTTGGAAAGCCACAATTTTCGGAGGGTGTGTATGCGTTTTAGGAAGGATAACCAACAATGCAGCTTCTTGTATTATTAACGTATATGATATATTGGATAGAAAATTTTACTAAAATAGGTATTTCATGTGTATCTATGTCGCACATATGTCAGTCGTCAATGGAAATTGTACCACATATGATTATCGTCACGAGTTTGAAACTCGTGAACGTTTTGCACTAGATTTACGTGCACCGTAGATTTTCGTAACAAAAGCATTTTTCATTTTTGTAGATGTGGATCATCGAGGTAAGTAGAGTCTTGAGAAGGACTCTTGGTGTTGATATTGAAAGACATCTCGACAACCTTACTCCGGTAGTTCTTCTCAGGACTCTCCTAACCTCGACGATCTACATCAACAAACATGTAACGATACTCCCGGGTTCAAACCATTTACTTTAAAAGCATTTTGGTTATAAAACAAGTAGTTATGTGTGATGCACAATTTACCATAGTTAACTGAAAAGCATTTTGGTTATAAAACAAGTAGTTATGTGTGATGCACAATTTACCATAGTTAACTGATAAAAATCATGCGGCGATCCAAGAAGTTTTCTTTCGCGAGTCCATCTTCTACGACGACATAAGTGATAGGTTTTCTCGACAGCTTCATAATCTGTCGATCCAAACGTGGTCTTAAAAGCGTATTCCCAGCCTACAGAAACAAGTGTAATGGTTTCAAGCTTGTTGCAGTTGCAAGAGCTCTGGGGCCAGTTGCACGAAGCCTGCATAGCGTTATCCATTGGATAGCAAGAATTTTCATACTTGTAAAAAAGATGTTAATATTTTTCTTACGAAAAAAATATTTGTAATATTTGAAACAATGTTTTATTTCAATGATTGCTAAGTTCGTATCTCAAAGTTTTTGCTTTTTAAAAGGTTTTACAAAAGTTTAAAACCGCTATACAGGCTTCGTGGAACTGTCCCCAGAAAGGTGAAAGAATTTTAAATCATATCAAAACCTTGCTCTCGTTTAACCTGTTTATACATGGAAAGGAGAATTGCAATAGTTGTAAAATCAAAGGAGTTATAATTTCTACAGGCTCTATAGAATAAGGAGACCTTTGTTCAAATTTCGTTTTCTGATCGCTATACTAATCCTACACGAGCAGAGGCTTTGGAAGCTTTCAAGAGTTGTGGGTGTTCCATATTCGCCATGCCATAACGCAAGAATAGCAACGAAATTGTTTCATATTAGTTATTTTCAAACAGTTTCTCATCTTTTTTGAACAAACATTACAAAATCACTTCAAAATCTCTTTGTTGCGTATCATTACATACAAATGACTTGCACATTTTGTCAATGTTTAAATCACTTAAAATTTTGAAAATAATTTGAAATTTGGTACACCTATCATAAACGTTCAAGTAAGAAGGTACTTTTAAGGTTCCTTCCTATAAGGTACACCCACACTGCAAAAATTATCGATGTTTGGACACCCAGATACCCACGGCTTCCCGAGCCCTGCCACGGGTATATTATTGCATGCATATGTGATATATGCACGTAGCTGACAATATTTCACATATCCACCAGGCACTGAAACCACAACAATAGACTCAACTCTATAAAAGTCTACTTTTTTGATACACCCTGATTATTCAATAAATATAAAAAATATTTTCATGGTTTGAAAAAAAATTAAAGTATCAAATCACCGTAATGGTCAACAGCTCTCTTGACGTCTACTTTCCATCCTTCGTTGCTTTCCCAAGTCCAGTATTTCGGTAGAATAATATCATTGACATTTTTTATCGCATTCCCTTCTTTGTCTGTTAGGGTTTCTCCATTCTGTTAGAAAACGATTAAGTTCTACAAATGACCCCATGAGCGTAGGAGAGAATCCATAAAAATGTATAGTAATTAACAAATAGATTGCATTTAACCATTGCCTGTTCAGTTACAGACAAACGGAATGACGTCATTTGCGATAAGAACAAAAAAGGGGGCCACGAGCCGCCGGACCGAGTGACGTCATTGATGTGACGTCTTTTCCATGCGTCTGTACTCTTGTACATCGTAGCTTTTGATTTTATAGCGTTATTATAAAATAACAAAATAACTTACATTGTCCGTCCACGGTGATTCCTGCAAAGGGCGCCACTTTCACCTGGAAACATCCGAGATTCATTTTCGAACGCATCTTCGAGGAACCGCTTGTGTCCCGTATCCTTGCTGAAGTGGGTACTAAAGAATTAGATTTGTCAAATGTAAAGTTTTTAAATAAGGCAAGTTGTACACTTTTTAGAAGAGCGGGGCTCCCAGTAGTCAAAAATATGATTTGGTTATAATAAACACCGATAAGTAAATAAAGACTGTACTACAAATAGCAAATGCATTGTAGAGAATATCAGATTCAAATGACAATTTATTACAGGGGCTTGGGAATCTATGGGTGTGCGTGTGTATAAACCATTGAACTAAAATACATGGAACGCTACCTGTAATAGAAAAGCTTTGTAATTTTTCGAAACCAAATCTTACACGCAGACACGCGAGATTACACTCAGACACGCGTGTGTACTTCAATCAATTTTCACTCCGCGATAGAATCTTGAAAAACTAAACACGCGTGTCTGGGTGTAGTCTCGCGTTTCTCGATGTAAGATTTGGCTTCAGTTATTTGCTTCAGGTAACATTCCATATATTTTAGTTCAATGGTCAGAACACGCGTAGCTTTTAGAGTGTGCATTTTCCATATTGGAAGAAGAAGAGACAAATTCGTCGCAGATTCATTGATACGAGTCTTTTTGCAATGAAAGCAAAAGGAATAAAGACATTGTTGACGACTTGCGATGAATTCAAAATACAACCATTGAAAACTGTTTTGTCTCTTTCTTCCCCAACTTTAAGTTCAATATCGACTTTATCTCAATTCGGAATGTGTGTGTGTCCTGAATTCAGAAAACCTTAATAGATTTCATCTACTAGTAAGATTCAAATGCTGGACCATATAGTGATGCCCTTTATAGGAACTTGGAGCAAAATCCACAAACTTAGCTTCTTGCTAGAACGTTTATGTTATATCACATGCTGTGTGTTTACAAGTTTACCAAATTTTCAAATTAAGAAAAGGGCACCAGCAACCAGGAAATTTCAAACGGTTTGAATATTGACGAAATATGCAAGTCATTTGTATGCAATGAAACATCACAACGGGATCTTGGAGCTTTCTTACGTCATCACATCGCAAACATTAATCACGCACAACTTTTGAAATCTACCAAAATCCCTGAACAAGAAAAGCTACGAACAAGTACCTTGTTTCTGGTCTTACACACCATTCTTTGTCAAATCTCCACCCGGTGGGTTCGATAAAATGATCTTTTGGTAGACTTAGCTATAGCAGGAAGAACAACAAGCATGAATCAACAGTGTCGACACACCATCAACATAATTATAAGTTTTTCTTCATGTAACATTCAAACGCTGTCTTTTTCACTTTTTCCTCACTCACCGTTCCTTTGGCATTGGAAAATGATGGACGTCTCAAGAGTGTCGTCGTCCATTTCCCCGGTACCCTATGCTGATTTTCGTACTTGAAAAAGAATAATTAAAATCAATGTATATAGTAATAAAGATTAAAATAAAAAAAAATACTGAATATATTTTAATTACTCTTATCGGGAATCTTTGAGAGTAACGAATCACGAAACAGAATTCGGGGATAGATTCGCGATGGTTTTTAGGGGAGAGGGTGAAGGTGCGTTGCTCTAGTTTTGATTACATTTTGATGGCTACTTGTTGCCCTTAGAATTTGAGACTGTTTTGGTTAAATTTTGTCACCGTTTTATTATGATTCAGAAATTTTGGAAGTTTGTTCCATTGAATCTCTATTGCTTTTCCATACTTGTTTGGTATATTAGTGTTTCGTAGGGAAATTGACCCCACCAGTGGCTACTGTACCCCTCTCTAGCCAACGTCAAGAGGGGAGCGCAATCTTCCGCACCCCCTCCCCCTCAATCCATCTCTGACGGAATTTTTGGTAAAAAATATTATTACACTTTACGACTGCTCTCATTTTTTACTTCTGCGTATTGAAACGCTGGTCTCTATAACTTACAGTTTCAGCATACAGCATGAGTTTCCCGCCAGTTTTTGTCAGTTCTTGCCACTCGTCGATACTGTGTTCCTCCAAACTCAGCCGTAGCATGACACGCAATAACGCAGGGATTACGGCATGTTTTTTACTTTGGTCTTGCTTTCCTGGATACTGAAAGAAAATATCGCGGTCGTTAAACGACGGAATTTGGCTCTGAACAACGTATTTGTCATGCTCAATGACATTTGAGTAGTTCCAGAAGAACTGTTATGTCGAAAACCACGACAAAGATAGCTATAAAATTTTCGGCAGATTTCTCATCACTTGCCACGTCTACGCATAATCCTTTTGACGGCAAAGCAAGGAATTGCCCAATTTAATTAATACGGTTTTAAGTTGACTAATCAATTTAATTAGAATCACTGCAAGTTTTATTAGGGTGTGGGGGTGTGTGTGTGGGTGATAGCACAGAAGAATGTGCAATCGATGAATACAATTGTTAATTTTACTTATAGAAAATACTTGGTCTGCTCAACATCGGTGTTTGCTTATATTTCCGTGTTATAATAGTTTCCAAATAGCACAACAAAGTTCAAGGCAAATTATGTAAGAACATCATGTTTCAATGACGTGTCATTAGTGACATTCTACGTTTGAAAAGATCCAAGAAAGATTTTGATTGGTTGAAAGACTTCGTGTCAGTCACGCGTGATTTGTATTATCACGCGACAGTACAGAAAAATCGGAATTTCAAACTCGGGCTCAACTTCGGTAGCCCGAGTACTAGGCACCTACTCTGCTCGCTAAAAGTACCTTGTAAAATTTCTCACAATACCAGTAGGAACAAACCTTTAAAATGACGTCGATAATCTTTCCACAGTTGATTCCCTGTTGTTCTTTATCCGATGTGTACAAAAGCTCGTGTGCAGGTATTCGACAGTATGCTATCCGCTGGGCGCCACCTTTTATCATCCAGATTATGACATCGGGCATACTGTTTTGCGGCTAAAAGGATGTTCCACACTTCAGCAAAGAACTATCACTGTTTGATTTACATGCTTGTAAATGTAGATCGTCCAGGTTGGTATAGTGCTGAGAAGGACTGTTTTTGTTGTTGATGACTGACGTTTCGACAACCTTAGCGGTAGTCATCTTCAGACTCTGAAGATGACATTTGACAGAGACATTTGACTGTGAAGATGACATTTGACAGAGATGAAGATGACATTTAGACAGAGACATTTGACTGTGAAGATGACATTTGACAGAGATGAAGATGAAATTTGACAGAGATGAAGATGACATTTAGACAGAGACATTTGACTCTGAAGATGACATTTGACAGAGATGAAGATGACATTTAGACAGAGACATTTGACTCTGAAGATGACATTTGACAGAGATGAAGATGACATTTAGACAGAGACATTTGACTCTGAAGATGACATTTGACTGAGACATTTGACTCTGAAGATGACATTTGACAGAGACATTTGACTCTGAAGATGACTACCGCTAAGGTTGTCGAAAAGTCAGTCAACAACAGCAAAAACAGTCCTTCTCAGGACTATACCAAACTGGACGATATACATTTACAAACATGTAACGATACTCCCGGGTTCAAACCATTTACTTTACTGTTTGATTTCACAGCCACACAATCAACTAATCACTCAAATTCACACTTCTGTACTCACACTATCTTCGAAATGAAGTAATCACGCACATACAAATAGAGCCACAGTTAGCTTGCAAATAGAGTCTGACAAAATGTCTGAAAAAATGTCTTGTTTGTTTCTCAAATGACGACTTGAACACGGATCTTTTATTCGGAGTATGTTTCTTATACTAATTCATAAAATTGTAGGATGGTAATGGATTTAAGTAGTAGATTCGTAAATGGATGTTGTGGCTATTGTTCGCTTCATTTATGAATGTTGCTCGATCTCAGATGCAAACTTTCGTTACCAGTCTTAGGATGTACGCACCTCAATGGCAATGCTTCTTAACTTCTTGAGAAATCTCTCCACAGTTTCAACCGTTTCAAGAGTTTCAAAAGCCTCTTTTAGGTTGGTAACTTTTTCTTTGAGTTCGGTTGCTTCTTTTCCAAGCTCATTCTACGCAAAAAAGTAATTTTACATAAAAAAAAATGAATGCCGTCAACCAGCATTCTCCGCGTGTTTATTGCTAAGACATTAAGAAAGTGTGAAAGAAAACAAACTCCGAATTAGGATAAGGTTCATATTGAACCTCATAAGAGACTAGACAATTGTGCACGAGCCTGATTGCTATGAAAGCAAAAGGAATAACGACATTTTTGATGAGTCTTACGCTAAGCAGGCAATTTATTCAAAATTCAAAAACTGCCTTCTCAAATAATAAGTTCAATATGGATCTAAATCTTCATTCGAAGTTTGTTTCTCGTATTCGGAAAAGCTCGATAGATTTCATCTACTAGTAAGATTCAAATCCTGATACATAGTGATTTCCCTAGTAGATCGAACTAGGAAGGACACCCACAAATTTAGCTTCTTGCTTGAACATACATACATGATATATTGCACGCTAAGCTTTCACAGGTTTCTCAAATTTTAAAATTAAGAAATGGTCACCATGAACCAGGAAGTCTCAAATGGTTTAAACATTGACAAAATGTACAAGTCATTTGTATGCAATGAAACAAAACGAAGGGAATATGTAGAATTTTTCTTATGCTTCCTGGGAAAAAAGAAAACCGATCAGTACAGTTTCAAAACTATTCTAAGTTTCTTGTACTATCACATCGCGAATATGGAACACTCTCAACTTTTGAAAGCTTCAAAAAGCCTCTCAACAGCACCGATTGCTAACATGCATCTCTGGGAGAAGTAACGCATCATTTAGCAACGAGGCATCGTAATTCGTACGTGGCATCGCGAAATGAATGTTAAACAAAACAATTCCAAGTAATTTACCAATGTCGTGTTTCTTCGATGCGTCAGCAACACATCTAAATTTGTCATGTCTGGTTTTTTCAACGTCGGTTGATTCCCAAGAGTCCTGTGCAAAAAGTTGAAAAACAGAAACTTCAATGGTTCAATGTTAACTATCGCACGATCGAAAACTTTCCAGAGATTTTTCAGGAAATCCACAAGTACACGATTGCTTGTATAGACATTAAAAACGGACTATGCACTTCAATTGAAGTTCTTGTACGTTTATATTCGTACACGTTACAACGTTATTCGTTACACGTTACACGTTTATATTCGTACACGTTACAACGTTATTCGTTACGTTTATATTCGTACACGTTACAACGTTATTCGTTACACGTTCATATTCGTACACGTTACAACGTTATTCGTTACACGTTACACTTTATATTCGTACACGTTACAACGTTATTCGTTACACGTTACACGTTTATATTCGTACACGTTACAAATTTTTTCGCCCAAGTCATATTTTGCAATTTTCGGCGAAAACTAGCTACTATATGCCACTGGTGTGTTCTGTGTCTATTTCCTAAGTCATTTGACCAGTCAAAATGGCTCAATAAATCTTCAATAAACGATGTTCAATAAAAAGTTTGACAGTTTTTTTAAATATATTAATTCTTGTCTCTTTTTGTTGAAACTCCCAAAAATGACTTAAGTTTAACAGTTAGCTAGGAACGCAACGAAATTATGATTAGAAAAAAGGGTGATTGTGTCGCGTGACTTGTAATGATATAAATCCTGCAAATTATATTGATAAAGTTTCCATAGTTTCGTAAAAGCACTATTGCTAATGTGCATTTAATATAGACGACGAGTTTTTTGATGTCTGAACACGTCTATTCTCAAAAACTCGTTGTCCATATTAAATGCATATATTAATAAAGTTTTAGACAATATACATGAAACATGTGTACTTACTGGCAATCCTTAAGAAGTATATCCAAAAAGTTTTACACAATATGCATGAACATGTGTACTTACTGGCAATCCTTAAGAAGTATATCCAAAAAGTTTTACACAATATACATGAACATGTGTACTTACTGGCAATCCTTAAGAAGTGTATCCAGAAAGTTTTACACAATATACATGAAACATGTGTACTTACTGGCAATCCTTAAGAAGTGTATCCAAAAAGTTTTACACAATATACATGAAACATGTGTACTTACTGGCAATCCTTAAGAAGTATATCCAAAAAGTTTTACACAATATACATGAACATGTGTACTTGCTGGCAATCCTTAAGAAGTGTATCCAGAAAGTTTTACACAATATACATGAAAGATGTGTACTTACTGGCAATCCTTAAGAAGTATATCCAAAAGCTTGCAAAGTTCCTCCACGGATTCTTTGTGCTCGCCTTTCCAATAGCTCTCTTTGACTCGATCGATGCTTTTTTCCTAAAAATAATTTGGTTACATTCTACGTACTCGTAAGATGCCGAAACTTTATTGAAATTCTTGTATGATAAAAATTTTATTCTCGCTACAAAATAATAAAATAATAAAACCAGGCGCGGATCCACACCGTGACGAAAGTGGCTCGAGCCACGGTCAGAATTTTCAAACTTTTGAGATTACAATTTATGAATAACAATAATAAAAGTAAAAAATGTCTTACTATGTTTAAACTTTTGTATGATGAAACTATTCTCATAATAAATTAACAAAAAAATAATAACGAAACTAACAGATCGATGTACATACAACTTGAGCCTGCTGTACCATCAATTCGTTTTCTGCTATACTTCGTATTAAGCAAAACTTTACGTAAAGGTGAAGTAAATATGTTTCATTTGCCAAATTCAAGTGAGCATTTTTTCCACACAAACTAAAGCGTAGAGATAACTCACCAGTCTTTGACAAGCTCTCAGTATTTTATTTAGAGCTCCAAGACGAAATGTTATGTCTTCCCACTCGCAATCAATACGAACATAAGGCTTGGTTCCAGCCCACGGCAGATAATAGTACCGCTCGCCATCAAAAACAGGATTTGTCGGAGGTGTTGTGGACGAAGAGGCCTGGAAAGAATTGTCCATTTTGTTTCCGCAGTTACCTATAAAAGGTATGTGCTCTGGTGTATAAAGTAGGATAAACAGGGATAGAAAAGTCTGGAACGTACCACACATACATGGTAGTAATTGTATAAGAGGCAAGGCATTTTAAAGGAAATTTGACAAGTGAGGATGATCTAAATAGTCTGCAATACAGTTGGCTTTATATCTTTAAATATATTTCAAGACCAACAAAAAACCGAGAAAAAAAAACAAACCAAAAACACCAAGAAAAACCAAGAAAATTCAATTGGGTTAAGATACATTTCGAGCGTTTTAGAATATTAAACTTACAACAATCATGAAGCAAGATCATGCCAATGTAGATTCAAAAACAAAGCTTACCTATACTGACTTCAAATTCAATGGGAGTATCGTGAACTGAAAGCATGGTTGCCTCAAGAAAAGTTGCCAAAAGACAAAATTTTTTGCGTCGCTGGAAAGGCTAAATCATAAAAAAGTTATGCATCAGTGCTGAGTAAGTTTTCAGTGTCACAACGGTCAGAAAACAGGTTCAAAGAAAATAGCTTCAACTCTACCGCCACGTCGGCAATATCATCAGAGTTTAAACTTCCTCTTTCTTCGTTATGACTCGGGTTCAGTTCTGTCTCAATTTCAACGAGGACTCGACCACGATAAGCGGCGCCTTCACCCTGAAATATCAAAGACATAGCCACAACATTAAACTCCTAATTGAACAAACGAACGAACGAATGAATGAATGAATAAACGAATGAATGAATGAATGAATGAATGATTGAATGAATGAATGAATGAATAAATGAATGAATGAATGAATGAATAATTGAATGAATGAATGAATGTAATGAATGAATGAATGAATGAATGAATAATTGAATGAATGAATGTAATGAATGAATGAATGAATGAATGAATGAATGAATGAATGAATGAATGAATGAATGAATAATTGAATGAATGAATGAATGAATAAATGAAAGAATGAACGAACGAATGAATGAATGAATGAATGAATGAATGAATGAATGAATGATTGAATGAATGAATGAATGTCTTTATTTAGACACGCTGGCCTCATCAACCGAAATTGATTTCCACGAATGGCGTGTTTCTGTATAAATACAATTCTATATAATGGCTAATCACAAAGGAATAAAATAACAGTAGCTGTCTATAGATCTAAAAGATAGTTTAAATATTCAAAACTTTAACTCTATCAACAATCATAACATGCATGTAGAATTTTATTTTTGAAGAAGACAACAAAGAATTGAAGCAAGTCGTGTGTTTTTACTTTCATGGCTACATGTGTATATATGTGCAGCAGATTATTTTTATTAGGATTTCCATTATAAACAAGTTGAACACTGCATGCATACTTTTCCTTCATTTAGTTCATCATAATCGCTAGGTATGCCGGAAAATTCTCTCATCGAGCCGTACAAGTTTATGTAACATGGTCCAAAACTCGGTAAATAACCTGAAAGAAGATTGTTCATGAAATGAGAAAATATGCGAAGTAAACGGGACGTAAATTCCAGGGAGGGTTGACTCATCTTCCGAAAAATTTTGAGAGAGTAAGCAAATTGTCGGCATATCTCTTCGTTGTCAATACCTGTTTGAACAAAACGACACTCGGTATTTCATATATAAATTTTTTGGCAAAATATTATGATGGAAAAAATTGATTTCGATGGAAAAAACACAACAATTAAACACTTAAGGACTTCTTTGTCAAGCGAATTAAATACCATACCTTTTTTTAGAGCAACTTAACTCCCCCTCCCACCCTTGACACCTTACTTACGCCATCTTAGAAAACTACTGTCGAGAGAAGAGAAAGGCTGGCGATCCCAATCAGGATTTCAAACCTTCCACCTACCATCACGTCCATAAGATATTTCCGCCAAGTCAAGGAATTTTGTTCCGATGACGTCATGGATATAAGACGATCCCTGGAAGGAATCGATTTGTAGAAAACTCACTTGATATATCATTACGTTAACAATGAGCACATTTTCCACACTGCCATACGGCTACATACCAGTCGATCAACTGAATCTTTAGTTTATCACACATTGATGGAAACTACAGAAAAGTTATGTAGACTTGGTTTAATACAGTAAAGACTACGAAGAAGGTTCTAAAAGGACTTTTGAAATATAGTGTGCAAGTTTCTTTCAGTAACACTGGTAACAGATCCAGAGCACTACATACGAAAAAGTCAGGACACCGGAACTAAAATTACCAATCGTCCGCCATTTTTGTTACAAAACTCACCAAATATACAGCATTAAATGGTGGAAAGACAAATTTTCTGTTGTGTTTTCTTATTCATGAATAGACAATGATCGCTGACTTTGGAATGCAGTTGTTTATGGATAAAGTAACAATAGAAAAGCATTAATATAATACCGTGCATGTGGTTTATACGCCTTTAAATACTGTTTTTTCACAAAGCGGGTGCGCGTACATTTACATCCTTCATCACTTTGATTGATACTATCAATAATGCAACATAAAACCATTTTAAAGAATTTTTATAATTTAACCACGGTATAAAAATAGCCATAAGTTACGCATTGGCAAAAAATGGCGGCGAGACACCCACGTGACCTTATTCAACCAATCACCTAGATTATATTGCAAAATGCAGAGAACAATGCGTGTCCCAACTCTTACAAATACAGGGTTACAAACAGATCCCATCTTAATTTTGCGTCTTGAAAATTTTTCTACCTAACTATTATTCATTTTTATAGGAAAGAAATTTATCGTTTTTCCAGTAAAACTAAACGCAAGTGCGAGTGAAAAATTGCTTTTTCTTTACAATTTTTTCTTCGTAATCTTCAAATGGTAAGAAAGAATATCTTTTCTCTGCGGTGTTCAAAGCTTTTTCATGATAAAGAGCTACACGTTAGCAAGCCTACAAGTTTACAAAAGGATAGACAGACATTCTGCGAGAAATGGCAGGGAGTTATAAATATCAAGGTTTAGTGAAATGAGGAAACAGTTTTCATAAATGAGCATAGGGTCTTACCTGAAAAGGTACATTTAAAACTTCTTGAAAAGTTGGACTGCTTGAATTGTAACAGATTTTTGTAGATCTCTGATAAATTTCAAGAAAATGTACAAGCATCAATAAATATTGTAAAGTCGTAACTGTTCTTCTGGAGCAGCTAACACACAGACACACACCGAATAGCGCTATTTATTGTAGAGCAATGCTTTGGAAAAATATGTTAAAGGAGGGAAAAAGCTGTGATTTGAAGTGGACAATCAATAAGATAAAATATTTGTTCCAGATTTGAAAGTTTCGTTATCATAAAGAAAATACATCCTCTTTTTTCACAAGTTTGAAAAATATACCATCCAATGGATAACGCTATCCAGGCTTCGTGCAACCGGCCCCAGATTCATACAACTCCAACGCGTTGATAATTTGCATCAAAAAATTAGCAAAAATACCTCATGCGATGGTCGATTGCATAAAAATTTGTTCTGGTACAAAGCACAAATCCGAATAATTACTACTTGTTACAATCGATTGAAATAGCTCACAATAAAATGATTTTTTCAGAAGGACAATCGGTACGAACTACAAACCTTTGCTCCAGCAAAAGACACGACGCAATATGGGTCAACAAGATGCTTGGGTTCCTGTCAAAAAAAATTCAAAGTGAGATATGCACCAGGATTAAAATGAAGTTTGAAAGACAATACTCTTTTGATTCCTAAAACTTTCTTCAAACTCAGAACGACGTTAGGATCCACTAAAAAGGAGAAAAACATAGACGATGCGTTACAAAACTTTCAAAAGCACAATGCTCATTACATTATGGCAAACAAATCTCTCCAAGGCTTGGGGGCTGTACTCCTCTCCCTAATGTTTGCCCCCACATAAATCTCTCCAAGACTTGGGGGCTGTACTCCTCTCCATAATGTTTACCCCACATAAATCTCTCCAAGACTTGGGGGCTGTACTCCTCTCCCTAATGTTTGCCCCCACATAAATCTCTTCAAGGCTTGGGGGCTGTACTCCTCTCCCTAATGTTTGCCCCCACATAAATCTCTCCAAGGCTAGGGGGCTGTACTCCTTTCCCTAATGTTTGCCCTCCACATAGATCTCTCCAAGGGGCTGTACTCCTCTCCCTAATGTTTGCCCCTACATCACGACTAGAGCCAAAATCATTGCCTTACTTTGAGGAAGATCGTCGGCACGATAAATCTTCACTTTAAAAACAGCTGGCGTAAGGACAACGCCAGGCGGTCGAATCAAATTACTATTTCAAGAAATATTTCAAAAATACTAATTAGTTAAAGCAAGAGCATCTAGTTTTCAGAATTCCAACAGTACATCGATCCCTAAAAGCATATTGTTCTCTGAAAATAGTTTGATTTCACTAAAAGACCAATTTCTTGGCATGCATACATTTGGACGAGGGATAATTATGCATGGGAGTGCTTTAGTCTGGATTGTATTTTGTGGATAACAACGTGCTAAATAAGTCCGACCTTTTTGTTGATTTCTGTTACTTTTCTGGTATGTGCTTCATTACACATAGTTCCACTTGATTTTGTTTTTGGTAAACAAAATATTTTAAAGGGAAATTAGAGCCTCTTCCTTCACCCCTCTAGCTAAGGATTGAAGGAGTGCACAGCACACTGGTCTCCATTCCCTCACCTCCCTCCTTGGGAAATCCATCCCCACGAAAATGTTGTGTCAATTAAAAAACATGTGAAAAATACCGGTGCTGGGATGAATTTCAATACCGGTGCTCGTGTGATTTTAATACCGGTGCTCGTGTGAATTTTAATACCTGTGCTCGTGTGAATTTTAATACCGGTGCTCGTGTGAATTTTAATACCGGTACTTGTGTGAATTTTAATACCGGTGCTCGTGTGAATTTTAATACCGCTGCTCGTATGAATTTTAATACCGGTACTTGTGTGAATTTTAATACCGGCGCTCGTGTGAATTTTCATACCGGTGCTGGTGTGAATTTTAATACCGGTGCTGGTGTGAATTTTAATACCGGTAGTTGTGTGAATTTTAATACCGGTGCTCGTGTGAATTTTAATACCGGCGCTCGTGTGAATTTTGATACCGGTATTTGTGTAAATTTTATACCGGTGCTCGTGTGAATTTTAATACCGGCGCTCGTGTGAATTTCGATACCGGTACTTGTGTAAATTTTTATACCGGTGCTCGTGTGAATTTTAATACCGGTGCTCGTGTGAATTTTAATAACGGTACTTGTGTGAATTTTAATACCGGTGCTGGCGTGAATTTTAATACCGGTGCTCGTGTGAATTTTAATACCGGTGCTCGTGGGAATTTCGATACTGGTGCTTGTGAGTGAATTTTAATACCGGTGCTCGTGTGAATTTTTATACCGGCGCTTGTTACTGTTTTTCAACTCGAACAATTATTCTTACGTTTCTAGATCATCCTGATCAAGATCACAACCAATGTCTTCCATAGACTATGCACAAAATAAAAGAAGAGAAACATTTAGTTTACTGTTTAACATTCACTTTGTTCCACTGACTGGATACAAATATAAAATTGAAATCGTCGAGTTTTTCCCTACGTCATATTTTTTCAAATTTGGGATCTTTACATAAAAACAACTATTTTGCCCACTCGTATGTTCCGTCAGTTGACCAATCAAAACGGTTTTACATAAAACTACTATTTTGCCCACTCGTATGTTCCGTCAGTTGACCAATCAAAACGTCTCAACAAGTGCTCAATACATGATGTTCAAAAGTTGACTGTTTTTAAAAATACTCAGGCATAAAAGTTAACAACGTGACGACATGTTCTTCACATACCGGAGCTGTGGCACCCGGATGAAGGACGACCACGCTTGCTTTCAGATAGCCCTAGAAACGAACAAACAACTCATAGAGCTCCTCGCTAAATAGCTAGTAAAGTTGCGCCGTTTGATCTTCTATAATCAAAATTGTGCGAGCACAACTTTCAAAATTCTTACAGCATGCGCTCTCTCATCATCTATGCTGTCACGATCGCCATTTTTTGATGCATCTTGCTTCTGCAATTCATAAAGAAAATTCCTCCAATAAAATTAAAACATCAGACATAAATTCATCTTTTCGTGAAAGCGAAGGGAGTCGTGTAAACCTTTGAAAGACTTTCTCCATCGTTCGGCTCAATCAGGAGCAACCATTTACGTAACAGACAGTGATCTATACAAGGATTTGATCGTTATAAATAAATAGATTATTAACTGTAATGGATAAGGTATGCGATTTCTTATTTGAAAAATTAAGACATAAAACACAGCATTATACGTAGCTTTTATAAATCCTAAAACTCATCTGCTAACTAGATGTTGGCATGTGAATTGTTACACAACCAACCAACAACCAACCAACCAACCAACCATCCAACCAACCAACCACTAACCAACCAACCAAACAACCAACCAACTAACCAACCAACCAACCAACCAACCAACCAACCAACCAACCAACCAACCAACCAACCAACCAACCAACCAACCAACCAACCAACCAACCAACCAACCAACCAACCAACCAACCATCAACCAACCAACCAACACCAAACAACTAACCAAAATTTTATTCAAAATACTCATTACAAATTTATTATTGGTAATTGAAAAGTTTCGAGTGCAATTACGGATAAACACGTACAAGTGAATTTTTCAAAGGCTATTTGCAGTCTTTAAAGAAGCACACGAATTTATATTTTGTTGTAATGACACGAGAAACTATACCATTACTTGCTAATAATATTCTTCGAAGTATATCGCCTAACGCCGAGCACTTCTTCTCGCTTCCTAACTCTCTATCGTTTCAGAAAAGCGTAGTTGCGTGGTCCAACTTTTATAAACATTCACCACAAAGACAGAGCTTGCTGTGTGTTTTTATTCATTGCACTGTTTTATAAATCTTGAATTTCACACGATTGCAAATGTGGAAATCTTTGTTCGCTTACAACAGCCGCCATGTTTTTTAGTTGAAAAGAAGCTTGTTTAGCTTTCACTGCTTTATAGCCAATCAGATTACAATATTTACAATGCAATTACAAATTTCATTTTTTCACAATGCAATCCAACATTTTTGCATAGAAATTACGGATGAACTGCAATGCAATGACGGTCGAGAAATATCTCAAAATATAATATTATGTATATCATAGACGTTTTAGAAGAAGTTGAGGTTAACCGTACTATTGACTCCTTTACGTCACCTTACGTCACCATCATCAAAGTCAATATAGACTCTTACGTCACCCCCTTTACGAGGGAAGAAAATTTCTTTCATTAATCAATTACTTACCTTTCCAGTCGTACACAAAACCAACATCACACTGAAAGAGAATCAATGCACATTTTGGTGATTCATAATTTGCGGAATGGGAGAAAAATAATAATCGAAAGATAGTTGTCTAGTCCGTTGCACCTTGAAATAACCGAGCAAAGAGCCTGTACGAATCATTCCAGAGTCGAAAATCTATTTTGAAAGAAAAACATATTCCAAAAAGTCAGTAAATCTCAAAGATTTAAGTTTTGACAGTATGCACTTTAAGCAAATAATGTTGCACCTCGAATTTGATCTGCTTGCTGAAAAGATCGCTTGGCTTAATGGCGTCGAAATTATATATCAAACTCTGAATAGAAAAGCCAAAAAAAAAGATTAAGACATTACAATGTGTTGATGGCGATAGAAAACTTTTTGTCTTGAAAATCTAGCACTCTCTTTTCCACTCTTCCAGGTTAGTAAGTCCTGAGAAAGATTGTTGGTGGATGTTGACTGACGTTTTGACAACCTTAGAGGTAGTCATCTTCAGAGTCACTTGAGAATGAAAATGAATATCGCTAAGGTTGTCGAAACGTCAGTCAACATCAACACTACCAGTCCTTCTCAGGACTCTACCAACCTGGACGATCTACTTCTACAATGTTACTGTTTTACGTCTGAAAAATTCGACATTTATCAAGTTGGTATTTTGTTTTCTGACTTCCTTAACCCTTTAAAAATACATTAAGTTTGAAATGGGTTTTTGCGGGAGAAGGGAGAAAATGAAAATTTAGCCAATCTTTCCTTTTACATCGGACCAGAAGACCGTAAAATCTAGGAATAGGTAATGCTCGACATTTTCTTCTCAAAAAAATACCGCTACTCAAAATATCTACCTGATTGAAATATGGTCTGTTGGTCGACTTTTGAACAGATGTCTGTCTCCTCTTGTTTCCAACAGTCACCCTAGTAACGGGGCTTATGTTGTTTCCCTCCAATTGGCGGGCTTCAAAAATCTTAACCCGGATCTAGTTCATAAAAAAACCCGGATGTGAACCTCGCGGTTGCAAAAAGGTCAAAGACTCATTCAAACAAATATGAATGCATGCAGTTAACATCGAGATAGGAAGGAAGTGCTTACCTGAAAATTGATTGGTTTGTCTGATAAGGAAAATCTTGACTTCTTAACTAATTCCTGTACTCTATTGAAGTCAAAAAAAAGTTTGGTGGTAGTAGTTGCACAAATGATGGGTTACTATAGCAAGATGATATTTTTCGAAAGATCAAGTGACACGATGATCAATTAAGAAATAAAAGATGTTTACTGTGTTTGCACAGGCTTATGCAAACCGAGGAGACCTTTGGGAGAACTCGAGAGCAGATCAGTGTAAGCCCGAGACCGAAGGTCGAGGCAAACACGAAAAGCATCTTTTATTTCTTTAGAAAATAACAACAATGCGAAAAAAGACAGACATTTTTATTTTTCCTCTATAATTTATTCATGATCGATTTGCAAATTCTCTTTGACTGACTGATTGTTTAGATTTAATTGATTGGTTGAGCTCAGATATATTTTGCACTAGCTAATGTGAACTCAGCTCTAGACCAATCAGCGCACGCGTTTCATTGTGTTTATTTTATAATACCGGATAAAGCACAGCTACGTAGTGGTATTCATAGTTAAAAAAACGCAGTAAACAGGGAAACATTTGTCAACAAGAGACAAGAGAATACTCAAGATAGATGAAAAGCAAAAATCTCTATGGCTTCTTCATTGATACTCGAAGTGCCCTTTTCAGCAAAAACTTTTATTTGCGATATCAAATTTAGGTGTGATTTCCAAAGAATCAGTGAAAAAAGTTTCTGAATTTATCGAATCATTCCATTTTTATGGCAGTTTGAAGTTGGCAAAGAAGCTCCTTTTTGATGGACTTTGTCCGTCGTCAGAAACGTCTTGAACGACTTACATTTGCAACGTCATCCAAGAGACTCGTCAATACAAAAATATACACCAACCACCTTGGATGACGTCATAATATGGCTAGACCCAGACTCTATGCTACGACGGACAAGGTCCACTATCTACCTTTCTGAAACTGGAACGATTGGACCAAATTAAAAACCTTTTCACTGATGTTTAAGAAATCATAACTAGATTTGACATCGCAAACAAAAATTTCTGCTGAATTGGGGCACTTTAAATTGTAGCGTACGACCAGTCTCTACCAATATTCACTATACTCATCCATACTTCGCGTTATCGTTGGTCATTTCTGGTGCCATTTTCCCTTTCTTTTCGCTCTCGGTACTTTTGCTTTTTCCTTGACCATTTTGTGTCGTAAAGATGTATTCCAATTCGCACAAAAACTTGCACTGAATGACAAAACAAGTAATGTTCAATGTCGTCTGTATTTTTTTGATCACGTAATTAATCTTTTCTGATTTATAAATGTTATCGTGAATAAATAATTTGCTTGAACACTCGTACATACAAACCAATGTTAAGTCGTTATATGCCACTCAAGAGGGTTGATGACACGAAGCGACAGCCGAGTTGAAAATCACACGAGATTAAAGACATCAACTCATTATATATAATCATCCTTGATTGTTTCTAGTGTAATTGACGATAAACATGCAGAAGGGAGTTTTTTCAAAGCTATTTGCAGTCTTTAAAAAAGCTCACCAGTGCATGCTTTGCCGTAATTGGCACGAGAAACTATACCATTACTTGCTAATAATATAATAATATACTTTGAGTTATTTCTCACAAGGCCATATACATGTGTCTCGCTTCGTATCGCTTCAGTAAGCTTCGTTGCGCGGTCCAATTTTTGTAAAAATTCACCACAAAAAAGGGACTTGTGGTTCTTGTGTTTTTATTCTTTACATTGTTACGTAATTCCTGAATTTTAGACGATTTTAATTGTGGATATTTTTGTTTACTTACAACCGCCGCCATGTTTTTGTTTAATTGAAAAAAAGTTTGCTGGCTTTCACTTTCAATGCTTTTCAGCCAATCAGGTTACAGTACTTTCATTTCAATCAACTAACAACAGTCGAGCAAATATTTCAAAGTATATTATTAAACATAGTTATCAAATCGTCTAGGTATGTCATAATTGCTGCTCTATGGCTTCGTGTAGTCAGATGTTTCGGATATACGTGTATAGCTACCTGGGGCTCAACAGGATTGACATAATTATCAGTAAGAGGAATATCCAGGTGAAGTTTGTTTTCTTCACGTTCCAACAGGTTTTGTAAACAAACTTTAGCTTTTCCGAGCATTCTACATCATAAACCAAGCAAAAGAAATATTCTATATATATCGATATACGTATAGGATGGCGAAATTGTTTAGCTTTCCAATAAACTAATACTAAATCCTGGTGCATTGCAGAGATAAGCTGTTTGTCGTTTGCTTGAGCATGCCAACACATACGTAATCATTTGTTTGAAGAACCTAAAAAGGCTTTGAGCTTTGTACCTATTTCTCCAAAAACTCTCTTTCTGGTAAATTTTGATTTTTACAAACTCGTCGTGCTTTAATTCTTGAGAGTGAAGATCCCATTTGAAATCCTGTTTGAAACAAATATCGTAATATTAAACAATTAACAGACTGACTGAATAAAACTGACAGATCGTTCCATGTTTGTGGCTATAGATTTTCCAGGTCACTGCAGTCCCGAGAAGGATTTGCCATGACTACCGTTAAGGATGTCGACAACAACAATCAACAGCAAAGTCCTTCTCAGGAAGCTCACTAACACTGAACGACATCAAAAATACGAATCGTGATTTTATCAAATGCATATGTGGCACAAGAAAACGAGGATTTACCTCTTTCCATTCCGTCTTTTCTGCAATTGAAGATGGTTCGGTGGTTTTCTTTAAGCCTTGACAGTGAAAATATAAACTAAGTCATCACGTGCATCAATGCATGCGCAATAAACTTATCTTTTGTTAACCTTTTCTCCACCTTTATGTTTACCATTTTGTCTAAATGTCGAACTTTTTCTTTGTCGTTTTGTCCATCTTTTTGTCTACCTTTTTGTTCACCTTTCTGTCTACCTTTATGTCTATCTTTATGTCAACCTTTATGTAGTGTCTACCTTTATGTCCACCTTTATGCCATTTTATGTCCACCTTTGTGTCCACTTTGTGTCTTTTATGTCTACCTTTATGTCTACCTTTATGTCTACCTTTGTGTCTACCTTTATGTCCACTTTTATGTCTAACTTTGTGTCTACCTTTATGTCCACTTTTATGTCTAACTTTGTGTCTACCTATGTCCACTTTTATGTCTAACTTTGTGTCTAACTTTATGTCTACCTTTATGTCTACCTTTATGTCTACCTTCCTGTCTACCTTGATGTCTACCATTGTGTCTATCTTTATGTCTACCTTTTTGTCTCCCAATTAGCGTTCTATACTTTTGCCTCTGCTTTTATGAAAGGACAACTTTTTATTGTTAATTCCTATCAAAAAGGGAAATAAAGAGGTACACACCAAGGAAAACACAAAGATATACACAAGGGTTGACATGCATGAACGCAGGCAAAAAGCTAGACCAAAAGCAAATAAAAAGGAAGACAAAAAGGTCGACACAAAGGCAGGCACAACTAAACATCATTTTTAAATATACTCTTAACAGTTGTTAACAATAGTCAGTATAATGAATTCAAGTGTCAGAGTCGTTGTTTGCTTATTTTTTAAGCCCTCATTTCCCAACGGTTAAAGCCCTCGCCATTTGATGAATTTCAGACATTATGAGCTACAGAACATCCAAATGCTGAAAGCTGATTGGATGAGTGAAGTTAGTAATTCCTTCCCTAGTAACCGTAAACCAATGGTTTGAGTTTGAATCACGTAGGCGGGCTTAAGAATGTGAAACGAGATTGAGCAGAAGGAGTAATCAACTGACATTTTGAAATATGAATGCATGTTATTTCGCACGGACGCGGGCCATCCGGGGAAGACGAATCATCGTCAAATTCATAGTAATCCGTCTGTAGGAAGACTCTCGTGAATCAAAACATTCAAAGAAATGATGGAATAATTTAAGAAACCCCTGCACGTACTTGTATTCCCGACTAGAACGCTAACCTTATTCCTAATCGTAACCTAGCCTTATTATAATATTATTGTTGGACGTTTTTGCGGCAATGTATTCCAACAGCATGCCGAAATGATAATCGTAGGATGAAAATGGAAGTGAAGCCAAAATAGAGTGGACTTTTTAAATGTAAAACTTCCGCAGTAGTGTCGTTCATTTTTCATGCCAGTATCAGAGGCGTAACTAGAACGTTTATTGGGGGTGGGGTGTATACTCATATATACAGTTGTGCCCTACTGATTTCTTTTGAAATTTAATTCACTATTAAAAGAAATCAGTAGGGCGCAAAAGAACAGATGAATATGCACCCCCCACCCCCCTCAAATTAACGTCTTAGTTACGCCTCTGGACAGTATACAACTTGTGGTGAGTGAGCATTATAGTATACATCAACATATACAACACAAGTTACATTTACCCTATCATTAAATCGGTCATCATTTAGTAAGGTCACATGCCCTATTAGTTGATGCTTCGCTTCTGTTCACGAGAGCGTCGTCGCAAATTGACATCATGCAAATATCTTCTGTAAGATTTATCGCAAATACCTAAGACAATAACCTTACCTCTGAATTCTAACACGAGAAACGCGTCATCTTTATGTTTCTTGTGCAACACGACGAGATTTTCGGCTCTGAGATTTATTGCGCGGAGTATATAGTTCGACGAAGTTGTCTTGTGGCTTTCCATAATTCTTTGTGTCTTTCAATCACGGCAAATTCCGTTCAGAACTACGTCAAGATTTTAAAATTCGCATGTGATGATGAGAACATTGATGTTAGCTCGACTTTGCATAGGACATAACTTAAGTTTGTTGACCACGAATTTACAAATAGCTCGTCAATTTTAGGCAGAGCAACTTCTACTCGACTGAAGAAGGCGTTCTGGTCCATCAGCTACATGATAAACATCGTTTATTAAAGAGATGAATTTATTTATTTCAGACCAAATACGGCGAAGTACTTCACTTGTATCAAATGGTCCAACGCACTCGCGTATTACAAAGCCGAACGCGCCATCAATATCTCTTGTTATTTGGCATCTTCTACATTTCAAAATTCTTTTGGATTCATGCATATCAACATACAAATATGAAATTCAAATTTGGCTATGTGAAAATTAAGCGAAATAACATCGCTTACAAACCAGAGCAATTTTGGATTTTTTCCTCCAAACTACGTGAATCCTGTCCTCAAACCAAACGTCAAAAAATTTTAAGGAATGAGGCCTCCCAGACTCCCCAATGAATATAGGCTTCCAAATCATCACCCCCAAATTCCTAAAAATGTAGTTTTAAACCTTTCTAACGCAGTGTAGCGGATCTGCAATAGTCACCAAACAAAATGGCAAACGAATTTTGAATTCGCCACCTGAAGGTTTAGTTTAATATAACACCATCTCCTACGTGCTATGAACGTTCAACAAAATCTTTGTGAAACTCGTGCACCGTAACGCGTAACGCGCGCGACAAGATAAACAGGGAAATTCTCTAGTGATGGTTGCAATCCACTACAGATGCAGAGGTGAGCAAGTTTCGTTTAATTAACCCTTTTTCTGTGGCATTGTAGCAGATCTGCAACAATCATCAAACGTAACGGGAAGCATGTTTTGAAAAAAATTCGCCACCTGAAGAGTCAAGCAAGTCGCAAGGGTATTTATGTATGCAGCATTTGGTCATTAGTATCGATCCACAATTTGAAACGGTTCCAATTTTTAATATATTGAACTACAGTTTAAATAAATCAATACAAGACTACCAATATCATTTAATCTAGAAAAACATGCTCATTTTAAATCAACAGGGAATGTTATTCCCACGAAAGAATGCTACATAGCTATAAGTAATGCGTTAGAATAATCTCACGAATTCATCAATTCCTTGAATGCGTTTCTTTAGTCCATTTTCATCCAAGTTCCAAGTTTATTTTATACCAAAAATTTTCCTTACAGTAAAGCCCTGAAAATTCGAAGATGAAGTGTATTATTGTACTATATCTTTCATCAGAATGATTAGGATACACATAGCCGTAGTGTATAATCGGAATTCTAACGAGGGAGGCTATGTTGAGTTCTCAAACCTAACATAGAGTGTTAACTCGGGGAGTTGAGTATGAATTGATCAGGCGATATTATTATAATTCCGCTTCCTTATTAATCTGGAGGCAGTTTTTACCTATATGATCAGGATTTTTTAATGGTTTCCATTCATGATAGGTATAAGCACTTAATGCTGGCCTTCAGAGATTTTGCCAACGAACGTGTGGAAACTTATTCGCGACAAAAATAAATAATCGCGACTCGTCCTTATGTCAAACTTCACGCAAGCTACTCCTTGAGACAATTCTTTGTTAACAGCAAAGTCGATCGCCTCAACCGAACCGAATGCCCGACACAATTAAGGTATTCACACTTACCGGCATGGCGTAAAGGAACAATGCAATGAACAATATGATCAAAATCAGCACCAAAGCACCAATGATGTACCATTTAAAGTTCTTCCAAATGATGAACTTGAACGATTTCCATGGTGATGTTAAGAAGAAGAATGACGTAGCTGGACGACTTAAGAGAGAGAGAACAGTTTAATTAGTCAGATCATGTGACCTTTTCGATCAACGGACGAATGGAGAATAAGGCCGTCCTAAATTGAAACAGGCGCGTTCCCCCCGCAGTGGCGTAGGATAGAAGTAATTTCTGGGGGTGCAACCCTGCATCATAGGTGTAGAGGGCAAAAATTATATAAAGTAATATAGTAAAAAGTCACAACTTTCACAACTGTAATGTGTATGTGTCAAACTGTATCAATCAACGTAACATCACAATATAATATAACAAGTATTTTACTTTAAACTACCGAAGTACTTGTAACTGTATATCTGCGTCAAATTATAGGGGAGGGAGGAGGGGGTGTATTATTATTGAGGTGGGAGCCTCCTCCCACCGTGCTTTGCACACAATGTCGAGATGACCGCAAAAAGTTCTCTGTTGGTTTTTTAACACATTTACCACCTTGCAGGAGACCGGATTTCAGAAATTATATCAACGTGATGTTATTAACAAGTACTACAGCTTACTTTGGAGGGGTCAAAGTGGGATAAGCATTTGGTTCATCGCGAGCGTTGGCTGTTGGCTTTGCCAGCGTTTCCTGTTCGGTAAGCAACTCCAATGTCAATTCGACTTTACCCTTAAGAGAGAAAGTACAATATACGTTTGGAAGACAGTAAAATAAAAATAGGTTCTGATAATTCTACAATTACAATGACTAAAGGACAAACAAGAAGCCCACATGTTAATGCATTTCCAAAGACTACGATGCATGATTATGTAAGTAAATATGAATACATAGTTGTCTGATTTCATTGCAAAGATTCTACAGTGATGTCATAGTGATGTTATCTGCATAATGACCATCTCTAAATAGAAACAAATACTACTTTTTTTAAAAAAGACGTCGATTCATTTTTTTAATGTTCTTGGCAATACAGCCAGTAAATTGCGTGATAAAATTTTGCCTCATAAACACTTTAAAAAATAAGTTCTAAATAACTTTTCATTAGCGCAATTTGCGATATTCTTAGCATGCTATTTTTCAACATGGTCAACTAAGCTTACCATCAAACTCTTCTCCTTCTTTCCTTCCTTATTTTTCAACTCGCCAAAGACGGGCCACCAACCGTACATCTGTTTCTGATCAAACAGAGAAGATGTCTTTCTGTCTGCCAGACAATCGACATCTTTGATCTTGCGAGATTTGGAGAACGCCAAAGGTAGTTGATCGAGAGGAAGATCGACCGCACCTTCAAGAAAATCACGCAATTCAATGCTTAATGTTTGCATTGCGGTTTTCCCTTTCGTAAAGCAAAGATCAGAAGTGAAGGTCGAACATCATTGAGACTTATAGTGCTTCAGTCAGCAAAAATTTTTATATGCGATATCAAATCTAGGTGAGATTTCTAACACATCAGTGAAGAAATTTCTAACTTGGTCCAATCATGGCAGTCTTATAGTGGTCGATTTCAATGGACCTTGTCCGTCGTATCATGGAGTCTGGATCTAGCCAAATTATGACGTCATCCAAGGTAGTTGGTATATATTTTTTGTATTGTCGTATCCCTTGCATGACGTCACAAATGTGCGTCGTTCCTCACTTTCCTGACTATCTATGAAAACCACTATCAATTACTTTTTTCAATGATGTGTTGGACATCACACCTAGATTTAATGTTGCAAATAAAAATTTTTGCTGATAAGAGCACTTTAAAGAAAACCCAAACTGCCAATTCGTATGAATCAATACATCAGTATGTACATATGAATCCATCAACGTGTTCATAATACAACAATACATACATATGACCATCAATATACATATGAATCCATCAATATACATATGAATCCATCAATATACATATGAATCCATCAATATACATATGAAGCCATCAATATACATATAAACCATCAATATACATATGAATTAAACGAAAGGTGCAAATGAATAGACAACATGTACCATACCAATGAAGTCATCTGGATTGAAAGTGTCATTGTCCCAGACCTGTACGACCAAACAAGGAGGAAGTCTTTCTTCAGTGGTGTCCAGACTCCAGAAATGAAGCTACGGTCAAACAATATTACAGCGTTCAAACAAAAATCAAAGCTTAGCTAAGAATGTCTTCAACAAGAGCAGTAAACATAATATGCAAACCTTCTTCTTCACCACCATAATTTTCTCTGCTTCAAGGTAATCGAATGGGAACAACATTCGCCAGTTAAAGTTAGCCTCTCCATTCAATGATCTAGAGAATACAAGGACAATTGTTGGCCAGAGTTAGGACCGTGCACTGATATGTATAAAACTGGATAACATAACTTAGTGCTTTACATGAAGCCGGGTGGCGGCCATATTGGACTACTATTTTTTCACTTTTTATATAGGTTTTATATAATAAACTGCTACTCTCACGTTTATTTTGGATCATATGTTTTGCTCTTGGCACAAAAGAGAATTATTATGATAAGACTGCAATAGAACGGTTTTGGGCAAAAACGCATGTTGCTAAATTTTATATAGAAATCTTCTCACGTTGTTTAAATATCATGATAAAAGATTTGGCATGATTTCGGAAAGAGAAAATAAAAAGAATGCAACATATTATAAAATTCATTATAACATGTATACTAAAAGTGGATAGTCCAATATGGCCGCCGCTGTCAAAGGTTGGCTTCAAAATTTTCTAGGCACCAGAATTAGATTGCATTATCCAGTCTTTATATATATATATATATATATCAGTGGGACCGTGTAATAAATACGTCAAAATCGACAAATGCCAAGTGGACTTGCTCACCGATAATGTGTATCCGTCTTTAGTTTATCCTCAATACCAGAAATCCAGCTATAGAGTTAATGAAAGTGTTAAGCAAGTATTTTGCAAACAAGGACAAGTCTAGCATTAAGTCTACAAACATCAACGTAAGTAAGATTATGTTGATACAACGTAGAGTCGATAAAAATTGAAACGGAAAAGCAATAATGCAAACTTTGACGTGCAGTCGTCACAAGCTAATATCGTAAACTTACAACCTACAAGTCTTGGACTTGAAGGACACAAGTATTGATGGTTGCCTGATATAAATGTTATGATAGAAAAACCCGTCATTTCACACAGTACCATCACTGATAACTAAAATTTCTGTGTGCGTTATTGCTGTCAAAGCAATAACGCACACAGAAATTGATGTTGATACTGATGTTGATAATGGAACCATCTTGCTCCGAGTCTTGATGTCCGGGCTTCTAGATATATGGCTTACGAGTGCCATGATCGCGGTGTGCTTACGAACGAGAAGCTTACGCGTGAGGGGTGGGGGATAAATAGGGGAGGTAAAATTTCTGATCTCATGATTTTAAAGAAATACTTATTAAATCTGTAGCAAGATATATGTGCCGAGCGAAAAGCTTATGCAACAAAAACGAAAGCCCAACAGAGTGTTCACAAAAGCCATAAAAATAAACGATGATTTTCCTAGGCAAAAACCTCAAAATGAAATCGGAAATAAAGAAGAGTAAGAATGTAAGAATGACTTCGTACAGGAAATTGCTTCGACTTCACGTGACGATTTTTTAGATATGAAATGTTTCGTGAAAGTTACGTGAGGGTTTAGACTATTTGTTGGATTATAAACTTTAATGTTCAAACATAGTCGTGAAGCTTCACTTACCATTTTATGTATACATCACTCATTTGTTCACCAACAAGATTACTTTCCTCAAGATAAACATCGGATGTGTTCCACACAATCACACGAAGCTCGTACCTTTAAATGAAATGATCATTCGATACAAGCTTAGACTCTCCCACCTGCTATACATAGTAGCAAAACTTAGAACGGGGGGGAGCGTTTAAATACGGCCTCTAAAATATGGCTTCATTGCATCATTTACATCTTGAAAACGTAATACTTCCCAATGGCTTGTCATGATTGAGTGCAGCGTAACATATGATTGAATTGTACAAATCCCAATAACATAAAATCCTCCACACTTACTTCGTAGGAACGCGAGCACCAATGTCTACAGGTTCATTCGGTGCACCAATGTGTCTCGGGAAGATATCCACGAACAACTGGAGTTTACCCTAAGGTATTAAAACAACTTTGTCAATGTAGTGAAGTCAACATAGAAACGGAGTAACAACTTGATCCTGATACCGGAAGTAAGCATTTTATACTCACTACTTAATAAGTGAAACTATTACAATGTTGTGCTTTAAAAAGACCCTCTCCCCCCGATGTATATGCATGTTCCATGCCTGGTCGTAACACTACAATGTCGTGCTATAGAAAGACCCACGTATGGTCCTAGTATTCGAATCAATGACCTAGAACCCAATCTACTAGATAACTGACTCCGCCGATATTGTATAGTAATGAGTGAGGCAAGCCGCCATCTTGAAAGGTGGCAAAACTGATAATATTCACGACTAATATCTGCTTTTACTGACTTGATATAGAGTCGCAAAGTTGATAGTCTAAGTCTGATTGTTAAATTGTTTGATAAGATGGGTTCTTTAAACTTTGTTTTAACTTATTTATCAATTTGAATTTTGCTTTTTGCCATGTTTCAAGATGGCGTCCTTGCCTCACCTTGACATGGTAGTTAGATATCTAGTAGATTGTGTTCTAAATCATTGATTCCAATATCGTGCCATAGAAAGATCTGTCTTTGTACATACATGTCCCACGTCTGGTAGTAATATTACCACGCGGTGCTTTAGAAAGATCCCACATAGTACATACCTGTTCCATGTCCGGCTGTATCGAAGTAAATAGAGGTCTTGTTTCAACATGCTCGGGGACGACATCGCCGAAAGAGTTTAGGACGTGTAGAGCGAGACGTTCACGAGCTTCTCCGAGATGTTTATGAAGAATTATGCCATCCTCTGAACGTGAGCATGCGATAAAAATGATCAGCGTTTAATCGCATTATACATTATCATCAAAAGACGTTTAGGTATGTAGGTAGACTGCGATGCACTTAACTTGAAATGCAACATTTTTGGTGGGCTACTATAAATTATCTTAAAGGGAACTTTGCGTGTCGCTAGAACTAAAGTTACTGTGTGAAAACACGCACCATGCATAAAGCATCGAATATGCAATAAAAAAATTTCGCTTCTTTGATTTTATGCATTTTCTACCTCGAAACAAATTTTCTTCGAATTAAATTAGCCACTGCCAGGAAGCAGAGTAAATTTCTGTAAGGTACAAACATCATAAGGCAGTGTGAAACAAGGTTTAAACTATTGAAAGCAAACTCCTTTCCATGTAGAGTGGGTCAAGAAAGTAGTTAGAAATATATTACACTGTGTCTCCTGTACGAAAGTACTTTTTCATTTTCTTTCTGACTTCAACCTGAGCTAGCCTTCTACCAACATGCGAAATATTCATCGAAAATGAAAGTGCCAATTACTAGGGCGTGGCATCTTTAGGGCAAAATTTGATTGAAAACGTAACTGATTTAAAATTATCCCCCCCCCCAAAAAAAATCATAGTTCTTCCAGATTGAATTCGTGAAATCTTCTACGGTCGGATAAAGTTTCTCAATGAAAGAGCACAACTTTTTCAAAACACACTCCTCATCCCTCAAGTGTCCCGAACTTACCAAACTCTTCCAGAGAGTAATCCTTATGATCCACACGCACCATGGTGTCCCCGTTGTATTTTGGCTTTCCCAAACTTCGTCGTTCAAGATAAGACTCCAGAATTTCACTGGGCAGCTGCATATCTCGCCATTTATTCGGACCAGTTCTTATGAAAAAAATAATTGAGACAAGTCGATAAAAGCTTGAACCGAGACAGATTAAGATATGGCATGTGTTTGTCTAGAACAATGGAAGTTTTATCATGGTAAACAATCAAGATTATTTCTCTCAGACTAGCTGCTATGCCTGCTAACACTACACTGAGAATAATCTTGATCGAAACGTCAGAGCTTACAATTCTATAACAGAGATATGCAATGTATTTAGATGTTTATGGTCGGGGTTAGCTATGCAGTCCTGAGAAAGAAAATTGATGTTGGTCTTAACAGACGCTTAGATAGATAACTTTATTTACCAACGTCGCTTTGATCAGCAAAAGCGGGTTTCCACGATAGGCGTTTAAAATAAAATACAGATATTGTAGTTGCAACCATAAATGCAATACGTAATTAAAATAGAAGATGATGTATGCACTAAATAATATTATAAAAATTGATATGAAAAACTAGAAGATGAGATATTTAAAAACATAAAACGACATATACAACCGACGAGTACAGACATCCTTTACGCCGAGGATGATTACTGCTAAGGATGTGAAGTAGAAATTGTCGTTAACAACTAGAATCAAATCGTTAACACTAAAAACCTTTCTTTTCCTGGTGATAAAATGTTGCGATAACGCGTGCTTTTTTAATATATCCTTCCATCAGGTAACATGTAATGTATGCCTGGTCAGAATAAACACTACTTACTTGCAGTACGATTCAGGTAAACCACAGATGGCACGATATTTACTGAGAAAACGGTTTTCCAGATCAATCGTCGTCTCACCAATGATATCATCGGAGCTGATGAGATCATAGTCCATCACGCTAATTTTGAGATCTTTATCAACTGGTATCTTCGCATTGAATTCAAACATCCTATATGTGGAAATGAAAAGTGGTAGAAACTTTTGCCAAGTCATACTTCATTTGATGATCGAGGAAAACAACTCTGTAAAGATGAAGTCGCGATAAGGAAACTAAGGATAGTTAACAAAATACTTCTAAATGGAGGATGAAGTACAGTTTACAAAATACTTCTAAATGGAGGATGGAGTACAGCTTACAAAATACTTCTAAATGGAGGATGGAGTACAGTTTACAAAATACTTCTAAACAATGAATGGAAACAAGAATCCGCTCAGATGCTGATCAAACATGGAGATGCAGGTAATATTATTTTGGGCCCGGAGGCAGCAGTTGGTATATTTTCAACATTCAATGGCCGAAGTGTTCACTCACGAACCTGACTTTCTAGTGATAATCTGACTGGTCGGCTCAAAGGTCTGGGTGAGTTTTAACACTTTCCTCATCCCCCTGCCTGTACGCCAATGTCAGGGAAAGTTATGCCAATACAAGATAAATTCAGTAACAAACTTCCAGTTGTTTATCAACAGAAGATTAAGACGACTAAACGTATACAAGGAAAACCTTTGCAATGGAAAAGTGAAAAGACAAACACTTTGATGTGTAGAGTCGAAAAGATGGCAAATCTTTGCGATTATATGTTTTTGAACAAATTTTCAACTAAACTGTAGCCATAGTAAATGACAGAGAGTTTTCAAACAACCATAAACATATATTATCTAAACAACAATGCGAATAACTTATTGAGCGTGTTACACTTACTTTCCAAAGATAGGATTCAAAGAGTTTGGCACATATTCATCACGAGTCGAGAATTTCTTCTTCCCAAGTTGGATGACGAGGAATGGATCAGCCTATATTCAAATCGACGATTTTCAAATGAAGAGGATGCTTATAAGAGCCATGCAAAGTCCTGAACGACGGACAAATTGACTATCAATACTCACCAATCCACTGTTATCTTGAGGTGGCAAGTCAATGGCCTAAACAGTTTATGAAGGAGCATTAATCAACACAATATGTATGACCTACAACCCAATCTTCCAGATATCTGACTCCTATAATTACGAGTGAGGCAAGCCGCCATCTTGAAAGGTGGCAAAACTGACAATATTTACGAAAAATCTGTTTTCCTGATTGATATACAGTTACAAAATTGTTAGCCTAAATTTGATTTTCAAAAATGTTTCATGAGATTAGTTTTTCAAACTTTCTTTCAACTCATTACTCATTTTCAATTTTGCTTTTTCCCGCCTTTCAAGATGGCGTCCTCTCCTCGCCTTAACGCGGTAGTCAGGCATCTAGGGGATTGGGCTCTAACTCATTGATACAGAGCATGAATAGAGCCCTTAAGAGCCTACCCTGATGATGTACGCTCTGATGAGACAATCTACAGGCTCCGAAGGAGGTAGGTTCCTGATGGCTTTAGGTGGTAATTCTTCATTGGGATCGGCAGGTAAAGGATACACACGGAATGTTCCCTACATAGAAAGAAACGCAATGACATAACATGTGGCTTAATATCCACAGATGTACTCACTGCGGAGTGTTTTCATGTGACGTCATGGCGGCATGTTTGTCGGTGATATCAAAGGACCGATACTCAACAGAGCAATAAATAAACATAAATTCTCTCTACCTGATGGGGTTTTTGTACCAATATGGCAGACATTGAAAACACTACATACACGAGTAAAGAAAACTCAAGTCCCAAAAATACAACTTGTAGAACATTTTCGTTTTTAAGTTTCTGGCTAAAACGAAGCCTTGGATAATTGAAAATCATCGAATTGATATGTTTAAAGGAAGTCTGTTCACTACATGCGCATGCGCACCTTGAACTCGCCAACTACTTCATCATCGTCATCTGGTCTTTTCTTCTTTTTTCCACGAATCAACGGGAAAGTGTCCAAGAAATCACACAGGCCACCAAATTCTTCGACTCTCTCCAATGTATTCGGATAGACCTTTCAAATAAAAACAGAAACGAAAATTAAAAAAAAGTTTCTATGTAAAAAAGTGCCTATATCATGTTTTTGCAATGGGACTAGGTAGGCAGTGTAGAAGATTTCAAAGTTGCCAACATATTTTATAATTACAAAATTTGATGTTCGTGCATTTTCTAGAGCTTGAGGTCGTTGATAATTTGCTTTGACCGTGAAATTAAAAAAACTAGGGCGAGAGTCAAAATCTGACATCATATTTGGAATATGCTTTAGGTCTCAAGAAAACACTGTATGCTACACATGTCGTCAAAAGCAAAGCTATATTGCCGCATTACACACGTGTGTGGCATCTTGTGTCGTGGATGTTCAAAAATATCCATTTTTAAATAAAATACAGCAAACACGTTTCCATTGTGACGTGACAATCCCTCCGTTTTAAACTTTGCAGCTTCATAAAGCAAGGGGGGAATCTACACTCGTCAGAGCAAATCTACTGAAAAAATTTGCATACATGGCCCCAGTGCTCAGGCTGGTGTGATCATACATGAAGAATTTATCATCAATTATGCGTTGATCCGTGCTAAATGCCCCCGTTTCGAATGTTGCTATTATTTAATCAGGAGGGCTTGATCACACAGGCTCATACAGTACACACAGAAAGGTATGTGAATGTGGACAAGGCTAGCATTAATCAAATGCTTACATCAAAAGATCACACCAATTCTAATGACAGTTTTTGTTTACCTCGAGTTTGTCATATCCTTTCTCATTGTAGTCGCCAGCTCTTTCGTTGTCGCCAATGGAGGCATAGTATTTAGACCACCAATCAATCTTATCGTCCTCATTAGGGTCCTGAAACGAAAATAATTTCAAAGGTGAAGCAAGTAGTCTTCGCCTACCATAACCACGTTCTAATTTAACAAAAAGATTTTCGCATAATGGAGCGTTCTTTTTAAACTCCCTTTCTTATGACGTCAAGGGAGAACAAATCCCTTTATCCCTCTTAAGCAAAAGTTACACGTCATATTGATAATTCAAGGAACTTACATATTATAAAATATATATCAGCTACACATATCTGTAGAAGACTTCATCCTAATTATATGCAATGTTTTGTAAATAGCTTATAGTTACTTTTTGTTCATTGTAAATTGCTATGTCATACGCCCTCTTGAGCGTAAGTTGACGAGGTTGGCGTGTTTGACTAAAATTTCTCTATCGATCTAAACATTTTGGCGAGCATGCGTTTGGATGAAATATGAATAATTTGAAGTTCAAGAAACACCACAGCAGTATTTTTGCTTTTAAGCCACGTTTTCCCAGTTTAAATGTTGACATTTGATTTATCTACATGAAGTACCTTATCCTCTTCTTCTTGTACTTCTACAACTGCTGTTCCAGGAGGTGCATCGACGGCGTCAGCTAATATAGAAGTGAAAGTAATCTTTGAACAATGTGACAAAACTGTACAAAACTATACACAAGAAAGTGAAAATGATCCTTAAAGGGCGACGTTGCTTTTAAAGTTCAACATAAATGACCACGCATGGTTAGCGTTATTGCTTTAAAGTTCAACATAAATGACCACGCATGGTTAGCGTTATTGCTTCTAAAGTTCAACATAAACGACCACGCATGGTTAGCGTTATTGCTTTTAAAGTTCAACATAAATGACCACGCATGGTTAGCGTTATTGCTTCTAAAGTTCAACATAAAAGATCATGCATGGTTAGCGTTATTGCTTTTAAAGTTCAACATAAAAGACCACGCATGGTTAGCGTTATTGCTTTAAAGTTTAACATAAATGACCACGCATGGTTAGCGTTATTGCTTTTAAAGTTCAACATAAATGATCACGCATGGTTAGCGTTATTGCTTTTAAAGTTCAACATAAATGACCACGCATGGTTAGCGTTATTGCTTTAAAGTTCAACATAAATGACCACGCATGGTTAGCGTTATTGCTTTAAAGTTCAACATAAATGATCACGCATGGTTAGCGTTATTGCTTTTAAAGTTCAACATAAATGACCACGCATGGTTAGCGTTATTGCTTTTAAAGTTCAACATAAATGACCACGCATGGTTAGCGTTATTGCTTTAAAGTTCAACATAAATGACCACGCATGGTTAGCGTTATTGCTTCTAAAGTTCAACATAAATGACCACGCATGGTTAGCGTTATTGCTTCTAAAGTTCAACATAAATGACCACGCATGGTTAGCGTTATTGCTTCTAAAGTTCAACATAAATGACCACGCATGGTTAGCGTTATTGCTAAAGTTCAACATAAATGACCACGCATGGTTAGCGTTATTGCTTCTAAAGTTCAACATAAATGACCACGCATGATTAGCGTTATTGCTTTTAAAGTTCAACATAAACGACCACGCATGATTAGCGTTATTGCTTCTAAAGTTCAACATAAATGACCACGCATGGTTAGCGTTATTGCTTTTAAAGTTCAACATAAAAGATCATGCATGGTTAGAGTTATTGCTTTTAGGATAAAACATTTCATGTTAAAAATCACTCCAAGCAATTATGGTTTTAACTTACCATCCAGTAATAGATTCTGCACCCGTCCCCAACTACAGAAATCTTATATTCACAGTATAGTCAATATACAGTAGAGCCAGTCCATTGCAATATTTTCCTGCCACGCATATCTAATTACGCATGCGATTACCATAGTGGCAGGCAGTCAATTGCTTTTTTTGACCAATAGGAATGATGAAATGGCCGACGGCAGCCAGTGATCTCTTTAAATATACAGCAGCCAGTTGCACAAGAAGTGGATCTACTGTATATTCCTATACTGTGCTTATATATTACAATGCCACCTGTATATTATTTATAATTTCTATCATCATTACTTTGCTGTATGATGTCGGAATTGTTATCTTCAACCGGTGGTTCTTGAAAGTATTTTCTCAAACTCTTGATTAAGTGTGTGCCAACCACTGGTGCTCGACCAAACGTTCGATGATCGCGGACTTTGATTCGCATCGGAGGGCAATAGATGTCCTCTTGAGGCAGGTACTGAATAAAAAAAAATGATTAAAACCCCCTACTGCTTTCAGAACAAACAAGAGCTGTAAACACGGAGCTGAAACAAGATTTGCAACGACTACCCAGCGGAAAGTTTATCGCGACAGATCAACGTCGATATTAACAGAGTATATGGTAAACGACAAACTGATGCGCAAATCAACACAAAGAATAACAATAGAAATGAAGAGAATGTACGATACGTACTATGTCAAAGAACAACAATAGAAATGAAGAGAATGTACGATACGTACTATGTCAAAGAACAACAATGGTTGTTCGAAGTTCGGATTTCTCTTCAAGTTCTTGATGACCAACGACTCTTTTCTTTCATCGCCGATTTCAAAATCAATATGCGGTGAGGTGACGCTCGTCAGTTGATATTTCTTCATGTTTCTCAAACCCCAACACATGACCTTTAATTACAAACAGAAGAACACAACAATTAATTGATAGATAACTTTTTCTCCCGATATCAAAACAACGAAAAACTGCTTGCAACATACCTCTATACCATGTCTGATAAGAACAGGTCGAACGCCATTGGGAACAAGATAGAAGTCTCCTCTCATTGGTGGAGCGAAAGGCAACTCTGCGCCTTCATCCTGAAAAGTATATTGACACTTTTGAAATCTGCTCGATTGAAATCAAATCAACGGAAATCCATGTTTGTTTCCACTTTGAATTTCGAAATTTCGAAGTATTTTAAATCATTTACCAAAAACAACTCAAAAGCAGCCAAAACTTCTCCAGCGTATCCACCATCTTTTTCCACTGTGAACCATTGCAACTTCGCAGAGCTTCCTTCACTTCCGTTTATACGAACCACGGGCTCAGCACGCGCCCGCCCCAAAAACTCATCTTTGCCCTAAACGCATAACATACAAAACATAATTGATGTAGCAAGCACATCGCTTAACAGTAACACAACAGATGAAAAATGGATCATGAACAATAGTATGTCACTCCATATAACAGCTAACCGAGTCACGATTAAAAGGCCAGGTAAAACAAAAACTTTGCTCATTTAAATTATATTTTCATTGAAGAGAACTCTTAAAGAATGTGTGCCACCAAGATGCATTGCGCGTTAATCACTGCGTGACAGCAATTTTTGGGTCGAGAAAACGGCGGATTTTCTTATTGTAGTTCATGCAACTGAGACAAACGATAATAATTAGTGTAAAATAGAGTTTTAATCAATGTTTTTCGCGAACTTTTCGGATAAATTAGACGACGTGATGACGAAATTAAGTTCAGTGTGCCGCAAGCTTAAAAATAGCGATGTAAACATAAATAAAAGCGCGCAATGCATCTTGGTTGACACGCATTTTTCAAATGACAGTGGATTTTCTAAAACAGCTTATGCACATCCTTTTTCATTCTCAAGATACTGAAGTTTTTGTAATGTCTGATTCACACAACTTATGAGGTCATTTCGTTAAACGAGAAAATGAGTTCTCAAGAATATTCTCTGTCATGTTATTTTAACAGGACTAAGTTCTTGTGGTCATAAAATTCAGCATTAATATTTCATCCAAAATTCTTCACGAAACTGAAGGATATTTATAAATTTGTAGCGACTCATTATGCATTGTGACGTCACTATCATTATGCAATGTGACGGCAGTATCATTATGCAAAGTGACGTCACTACATTATGCAATGTGACGTCACTATATTATGCAATTTGACGTCACCGGTTGTGTAAATCGGACATTACAAAAACTTCAATATCTGAAGAATGAAAAGAGATATGAATAAAATGTTTTGGACCATACACTGTTATTAGCAGTTCTCCTAGATAAAAATACGATCTCATTAGGAGATTTTTCGTTTTACTGGCCCTTTAAAGAGTACCATAGCACTTACGATTTGGTCTTTGTCAAAAATTTCAAGAAGAATGTTGGGTGGATTATCCTGGACGCTGGCAACAGAGCCGTGGATACCAAGTGATTCAAATATCAAAGTCTGATCCCAAGTTGGACATAATTTTCCTTGTAAATCCTCTGTACTTTGACTGATGTTGCCAAATACAACTCGAACGTAGGGATCTGGAATGTAAAGTAATTGTCACAATAAACATCATGAATGAAAATGCAAGAATGTAGAATCAAATTTAACCATCAATGAAATTGCAAATGATCTTAAAATCAATTTAACTATCGAGGGAAGTCATTTCCCTGATCTTCATAAAGGCACTTTAAAAACATCATCTTGTAGTGTCTCCACGGGATGCAACGATACACGAAAATGAGTTTATATACGATCCACTGACGTACCTGAGGTTCCACCTTGATCGGAAGGAAGGAGATCACGGGCTTGATAGATATATGCTCTCAACTGGTATTTATGAGGTTCTGTGGAAGAAATCACGTCCATTATTGCAGCAAAAACAACACACTTACTCGCGAATAAACCATTAGTGAACTCTTAAGTAAGCTTACTGTCAAATGTGAGAAACATTCGCGGCGAATTCATCGTGTGCTCGTCATCGTCCTGTGAAATGAAGGCAGAAATCGATATGCAGTTTAAACTCATCGTCAAAAATAGCCGCGCCAGCTTTGGTAGTAAAAATCACTTTCGTTCTATGTAGCATAAAGACTTTGCCATGGTGACAAATTTAAAAAATTTTTTAAAAAGGGCAAACACCATGGTGAATGGTAAAAATAATAAAATAAAGACTTTGCCGTGATGACAAATTTAAAAATTGTTTTAAAAAGAGCGAACACCATGGTGAATGGTAAAAATAATAACACAATAATTCTTAAGAGAACTAGTATTCTGGTTTTAAACAGCACTTTTAAGAACTATTACGTTATTATTTTTGACCATTCCCCGCGGTATTTTTTGCTCTTTTTAAAACAATTTTCGTTATAAGCGTGTACCCTTATTTCCTCTATTTATTGTATACATACATCGCCGACATTCATTTTGAATACGGGTGCTGCAGCGACGTCGCTGTTTTGAATCAACTTCCTGTGCCAACGCCGTCTTCGTACTAAATCCATAGTTCGTTTTTTGATGTGAAACTTTGCTTTGAATATCTTCGCATATTCCCATCCTTCAGCCGCCAACTGAGCCGCACGAGCCTTAAAACACAACACATCAAATAGTACAAATGTACCTACCAGGACCGTGTACCACAGAAACCTTTATAAAGGACGCTTGATTTGCTAGGATAGCAGTTTGCTTCAGAGAAATGCTCAAAGAAACGGCAGTTGTCCTTCTTGAAATCGATTTTTACCTTTTCGGCTTCTTCCTTTCTTGTATCTTTTACAAGTTTTCTTTCACGAACCCATCTGCGACGTCTAGACAGGTGATAGGTCTTCTCCACCGGGCCAAATCCTGTCCAATTCGCATCAAGAGCGTACTCCCAACCTACAGAACATAAAACGTCAATCAGAGAAGGAGTTCTACGTTGGTTTTCTCATCTAAATCAGCATTCGAAGCTTCCATCTTTTCAAAACATAAATATTGAAGACTAAACTAAAATCAAATTTCCATTTCTTGGCAACATCCGTCAGTCGAACAGGATATATGCCCAATAATAGTTACACAAATATACTCTAAAAAACTTCATCGATTTCTGACGACATGAAGAAAGTGTAAAAAAACTTCATCTATTTCTGACGACATGAAGGAAGTGTAAAAAAACTTCATCGATTTCTGACGACATGAAGGAAGTGTAAAAAACTTCATCGATTTCTGACGACATGAAGGAAGTGTAAAAAACTTCATCGATTTCTGACGACATGAAGGAAGTGTAAAAAACTTCATCGATTTCTGACGACATGAAGGAAGTGTAAAAAACTTCATCGATTTCTGACGACATGAAGGAAGTTTAAAAAAATAATTGTTCGCACGACATGCTCGACAACGAACACGATTTCTCAATAGATTGCAAATTATTCTATAGTTTTTTCCCAAGCGTACCGTTTTCGTCGACAGCCCTATTGTTGTCGACTACCCAGTCTTGCGTCCATTCCCAGCCCTCTGGAGCTACTAGTTTTTCACGTGTTTCGATTGGCTCGCCTTCAAGATCGATGCATGCGTCACCATTCTGAAACGATACGCTAAAGTCGATACATCAAAATATACAAATTCGGGCGTTGTAACACGTGAAGTAACACGTGAACTACAAAAACAACGAAGGATTAAAAAACGTTAATTGCAAGTCGGCAATATCGTGTAGAATATTTCACAAATGATGTCGGAAAATTGAGAATTGCCAGATGATCTGATCAAATAAAAATACACCACGCACGAATTTCAACTGCGCAAATGTCAACAAAATCAAACTATCACAAAAATTGCAGTTAGGGCTTACTATTTCTTGCAATGGCACATTAGCAGGACCCCAACCACCACCGGGTACGCTTCGCTCTTCGCATTCAAAGGCATCTTCGAGGAAAATTTTTCGTCCGGCGTCTTTGCTGAAGTTTGTGCTGCAGAATGAAGAATATGGCAATTCAAGACACATGGTATACTAACGCTTTGCATAGTCGCATCACGTACTCCAGGAATAAGAAATACAATCTACGGTTGCGAAATGTTAAAGAGAATTGAGCAAAGTACTTCTAGCATTGATTGGCCAAATAAAAAAATGATAAAATACAATGATTTTGACAACTTCGATTTGCGCTTTTGCCAATTTCTTATAGGGATATATAAACATTTTTTACGACATCCTTTGCCTTGAACTTGGAAACGATAAGGAGATGGCAATGGTATTAATGGTTTCCACTAACCTGAGTTCTGGACTCAAAAACCAATCACCTTCCCATCCCCAACCTTCGGGAGGAACAAATTTATCCTTCGGTAGCTTGAACTAACATCAAAACAGAAGCAGTATACGTATTAAGCACCTTACTGACGAACAAATTTTCTATGACAAATAATCGCTAGCCCGTGTGTACGGGCAACAAACTTTCTACGACAAATTTTTATGAGGCGAATTTTCTTCGATCGTCTGTACGTATCAACATATCACATTTGGTTGATTGGTCATATTATCTTTACATGTTGACCTTAAAGACGAACAAAATCAGTCGTGTGGCAAATTTTCTAAGACAAATGCATTTGTTCAAAAGCTGACATGCTAGCTTTTGAACGAATGCATTGATCAAAGAAAACTTTGTTAAAACGTACGGGCAAATTACGTTTGCCACATAAAATTTTCTCCAAAAAAGTTTGTTTGTCTGTAAGCGGCTTTACTACATTGATGATGACAAAAATGTTGATTTTCGTTGTTTTTTTTAAGTCAAATACCGTTCAAAAACGCAACAGTATCGCATATTCGACAAAAGTACTTACATCTCCTTCAGCATCGGAGAACTTTGGTCGCATCATAGCCTTGCTTGTCCAGTTGCTCAACACGTTTTGCTGATTTTCATACTTTAAAATGAATAAATCGAATAAAAGAATCACTTTATTGACCATTGTTGTTCACGCAAATCATGTAGCTGTTATTGTTACAGACCAGTAATACCGGGGGGGTGCAGTTCTCAGTCCTGCCCACACCAATAATTTGCTATTATAATTTGTTGTCTTATAATGCGAACTTTACGACTTGAATAATGGTAGATTCATACAGCTTATACAATTGTAAACCTTTGCTTATTTATTCTAAGTATTCATCCATCAATTATCGTAGTGTAAACATTCTTGCATATTAAGCACTTTGCCATGCATGTAGTGTTGTGTCATGTATAGTCATTACACTGTTGCTTATAGATGCTTGAGAATTCTGTCAAATGCTGCCACCAAATTCCAGGAAAACAGTTCAACGACTTTTTTATTAAGAGTGCATGTCTCCCCAGATTGCTTTACGGTTTCACTCCCCCCTCCTCCAATAAAAAAAGCCCTTAATGGGCCTGGTGTAGGGGCAAGTGGTCCGAAAAAATACCCCACATCATCACTACTAGAACACATACATTGCCCACTTCTTAGTTGAAATGTGGTAAATGGATAATGCAGGACAGAATACACAGCAATGGTAAAGTCATGACGTACCGTTTCGGCAAACACGGTGAAAGTTCCTTCGTCATGATGTGCGGTCCAATCTCTAGAGTCAGATTCAAGACCTAACCACAACACACATCGAACCAAAGCAGGTAGTTCAGGATGGTCTTTCGTGTTTCGGCCTTTCTTGCCAGGATACTAGGAATGAATGACATAATCGAATACAAGGACAATATAGCGCGAACATCCAAGTATGAAATCTGTTGTGTTTTAAATAGGAGTAATGTTAAATACTTTTATAAATATTCACGACATTTTGGTCTTCAGTATAATCCATCAAAAAATCAATCGATGTTTTAACTAACGCACAGAGAACATTAAAAACAGTAATGCAGGAGTTAAAAAGCAAACAATAACAAAAAGAACCGTACTTTCAATTCCATGTCCAAGACTTTCTTGCAGTGCTGACCACAATACGCAGGATTTTCGTTGTAGAGAAGATCGTAAGCGGGGATTCTGTAGTACGCGACTCGATCTTCGCCACTCAACATCCAAATCACAACATCGGGCATGCTGTTTTGAGGCTTAGAAACACGCAAAAAAAATTCTAGCAACGATACACGTTCAACATACTCGGACAATATGAATACGCGGTCACGAAAAAAATGCAGGAGTTTGGGATAATCACTTCAAATACGTGTACGTGAATAAACAGCTCACAAATACATTTGTATTGGTAAAACAGTTTTGATTAAGGTTTTCCATTTACCTCGATAGCAATATCTTCAAGACGTGAAAGGTAAGATTGAATATCACTTAAAGCTTCCTGGACATCGGTTGCCGACTCTCTTAATTTCGATGCCTCTTCAGCAATGCATGCCTATATGTTTCGGAAGAAAATTTATGTAATAATCACAATAAAACGCGTGCGATGATTGGTCTATGGCCGTGTTTGCAATAGCCATTGAATAAATAAAATCAATTAGTCAAAAAGAATTTGCAAATCGATCATGAATACATTGTAGAGGAAAAATTAAAACGTTTGTTTTAAATTTTTCTGTTTCGCATTATTGTTTTTTTTATATAAGAAATAAAAGATGCTTTTCATGTTTGCACAGGCTTATGAAAGGCTTGGAGACGTTTGTGAGAGCTCAAACAGATGTAACCCTCGAAGTTCGGTCTCAGGCTTGCACTGATCTGCTCTTGAGTTCTCCCAAATGTCTCCTCGGTTTTCATAAGCCTGCGCAAACGCAGCAAACATCTTTTATTTCTTAAATGTTTGGAAAAAAATTATTCAAATAAATACGTAGGATCGACGATAGTTTTTGTAGAACCAGCAAAAGAACCGTGCATACGAAACGCCCGAGGCCATGAATATCTTTCGCGGATGAAGAACCTACCATTTCGTCCATACGGATTTCTTGATTTTTCATGTCTAATCTTGTGACACCCATCAGGCTCAAATCAAACTGAGGAAGAGGAGTTCTGCGAAGAAAATTCAGGAGGAATAGCTTGATGTTTGAGAACATACTTACACAAAAGCGAAAAGTCAGTCATATCATAAGCGTTTTGAATATTTCTCCAGAGTCCTTTTTTCGGGTGAAATTTTCACCGAGTAAATTATTAAAATTATTCCGTTAAAAGTATCATGTTCATACAATTTAAATTATTTGACATTTTGCAGTGGCGGAGGCTGGATTTATGAAAAGGAGGGGAGGGGGGGGGAAGACAAGTAACTCAGGACGTGCGGAAAAAAGCAACTTATATAGTTTTCAATATGAAATTGTCATAAAAAAGGGTTCAATTGCCCCCTCCCCCCCCCAAACTACCTATATAAAATGTACGCACTTCGTAAATAACATACGCGCGACATACAATGTTAATATCTGCCGAAGATGAATCGATTGATTGAGTGCGTACATATAAAAATTAATAAGTACGCAGCTAGTATCGAATTGTCCATATCAACGATCAAATCCAGCCTTACTGCAGTAAAAACAAGACTTGGACTAAAGACTAAACCGCAAAAAGAGAAAATGATACAGAAATTTGGTGCTTTTCGCGACTCGATAAACTTACCGACAGTCTTGTATAAGCTCGTCCAAAAGAGCGATAAGAATTGTGGCCGTTTCCGCCGTCGGCTTTTTCAACTCGACACTGACGTTCACTTTCTCGATGTTTTCTTTCTGCAAAGACAAGTGAAAGAACGAAATTAAGAATTCCGACTTTTCTTATTGTGGGATTTTGGGATAAAATATCGAGCTAAATACTAAAGCTATGACGTCAAAATCATTAAAAAGCTCGATGAATCTAATGTGTTCCAAGGAATGCAGCCTTTAAAGCCAACTGCGTACAGTAAATGCGTTCACGAGTGGAAATTTTGATAGGATGGCCTAGAAAAAGTCATGCTTTTCAACATGTCAACTACATTCATAAAATCTTTAGCCAAACCTTTGCAAAAGCACTTGTGCCGACACAGTGACAATTTAACGTGTTTTCATGACGTACAAAGCTCGTGTTGCTAGGTTACTTTAAAATGTCGATACTTTATAGAGCATAAAAAGTTGTAAATCTTTCTTCGAACATAGCCGACAGTGAAAAGACTCTGTAGACTAATGACGATACACACGTACCAGTCGATCAACTATTTTAATCAAGGCGTTCAATGGATTAAGTAAATCTTTCTTCGAACATAGCCGATAGTGAAAAGACTCTGTAGACTAATGACGATACACACGTACCAGTCGATCCACAATCTTAATCAAGACGTTCAATGGATTAAGACGAAACGCGATGTCCTCCCAATGACACTCAACATTAACACATGGCTTCGCGTTACCCCAAGGTAAGTAATAATAGAATTCGCCATCAAACACAGGATTCGTGGGAGGGGTCGTTGAACAAGATGGCTCGACGCTGCGATCAAGCTTGTTACCATAGTTCCCTGCGAACAGATAAAATCTCATTTAAACATTCATAGAAACACACATTTGATAAAACCGTTGATTCTGCACAGCTAAAAGTTCACGACCGCAGTGACCAAACACGAACGTACACGAGACAAACTCCCTTACGATTGACATAAAGATAACTTATGAATACATGAAGTAATACACTTTAACTTGTTGACGCTGTCACGATTTATCATAAATTGTAGGGCATCGATTACCATTGTACTTAGAACATGGACAATCGATCTCATGAATCATGAATTCATGAAAATATTTATGAAATCATATCATGAACTCAATTTGCTCGAGTAATGTACGTACAAGTATAGAATGACTTTCAAGTTTTTTAAAGGGGAGGGTGAGGTTGTAAAGAAATGGTGTAGGACAATGCAACACCACACTTGATCCTAGGAGCACTCACTTCTTTGGGAGTGGGGGAGAGAAAAATTGTTCTGAAAGCGTAGAAAATCAACAGGGGGAGAACTAGCATTGGAAGAGGTGGCAACTACTGCACTCTCCCCCCCCCCAAAAAAGGGAGTATTTCTTACTCAACCACTAATCAAAAAGGTACGTAAACTACTCCAAGCCTTTTAAACTCTGTAAGTCCCACCCAAAAACTATTCATTTTTCTGCAGTAACATCAATAAGCAATTTACAACTGTCGACATACCAATGCTAACTTCAAATTCTACAGGTGAATCATCTACGGAGATCATTGTCGCCTCCATGAAACAAGCATAAAGTTTGTATTTGCGGCGCCTCAAGAAAGGTTGAACAAGGGCGACGTCCTCCGCGGGAATTGGTGCAACCTCGTCTTCAATCTCGGCGTCTAACAATGTCTCCAGCTGCACAAGTATACGGCCGCGGTACGAAACTCCTTCGCCCTGTAGTATTTAGTTGGAAGAGAATCATAGAGCGAAAACACTTGCTCAATCGCTTCAAAACCCGAAAAACGCATGAACTATTTATCTCAGCAAACAGAGTCCTACGTCAACTAAACTGTTTGCCAATTGTGATAGACCTGAGACAAAAATAAATTCTGATGCAGCGTGCTACGCAATGCTTTATTTCTCACTTTGAGGAAATGAGAGTTTATTTTCAGGATATGACACGTAATAACATGGGATTCGTCCAGGTTGGTATATTTCTGAGAAGGACTGTTTTTGTTGTTGTTGACTGACGTTTCGACAACCTTAGCTGTAGTCATCTTCAGAGTCCAAAGATGTCTACCGCTAAGATTGTCGAAACGTCAGTCAACAACAACAAAAACAGTCCTTCTCAGGACTATACCAACCTGGACGATCTACATCTACAAACATGTAACGATAGTCCCGGGCTCAAACCATTTACTTTAACATGGGATTTATGAAAATTCTATATGTTATCTTAGAAAGAATTTTCTATCAGATATTTGGGAGTTTACCTGTGGCATTTTTTTGTCAGTATGACTACCTGCGTTAAGGTTTATAAGTCAAGATCTTAAAATATTGGTGTTTGTTATAGTGACAAGACTCTTTGCAATTAATATTTTTCATTTGGCTTGAATGATGGAAATACACGATAGAACTTACAATGCCTTTATTCAGATCTTCATATTCGTCGCCGAGTGCGCAGAACTCTCGCAGTGAACCGTACATGTTTAGAAAAGAAGGTCCAAATACTGGAAGGTAACCTTGAAATACAAAGAAATTTTACTTAACATTACACAAAGCTCGTGAAGAAAAAAACTGAAAAAATAGACCGAACTATGTAGAAACCTGCATATGCTGTAAAGATAATGATAATTTATTTAAGTGTTGACATTTACAAATCTATTTAATTATAACTTGGTGAATAAATTGAGAAATAAAACGCGTTTACTCAGTCTGCACGTGAGGAGAACTCGAGAGCAGATCAGTGCGAACACGAGACCGAAAGTTGAACACATACTCAACAATTTACACGAAACACGAAAACATTTTTTATTTCTTTAGTAATATAACCATCAGCGCACGCGTTGTATTGATTCAACTGAGTAAGCACAGATCGGTTTGCAATACAAACCAATCAGCGCACGCGTTGTATTGATTCAACTGAGTGAGCACAGATCGGTTAGCAATACGAACCAATCAGCGCACGCGTTGTATTGATTCAACCGGGTGAGCACAGATCGGTTTGCAATACAAACCAATCAGCGCACGCGTTGTATTGATTCAACTGAGTGAGCACAGATCGGTTAGTAATACGAACCAATCAGCGCACGCGTTATATTGATTCAACCGGGTGAGCACAGATCGGTTAGCAATACAAACCAATCAGCGCATGCGTTGTATTGATTCAACCGGGTGAGCACAGATCGGTTTGCAATACAAACCAATCAGCGCACGCGTTGTATTGATTCAACTGAGTGAGCACAGATCGGTTAGCAATACGAACCAATCAGCGCATGCGTTGTGTTGATTCAACTGAGTGAGCACAGATCGGTTAGCAATACAAACCAATCAGCGCACGCGTTGTGTTATTTATAATTTTTATGTTAATTATATTTGCTGTATAGATATTACTGCACGAACCTTCTTCTCCCTGGCCAGAGATTTCGGACATGCGTATGAAAGTCGTTGCAATGATGTCATCTCCGGTAATTCGGTCCCTGAAAAAAAACACGAGAGTTTTGCTTACAATTCAAACTCTCGTGTGATTTCAATGAACTGGAGTTCTTATTTGTTCAGTCATAAGCGCTCAGTATTTTTTTCTAATGAGTGTCACTGGTATAATGGTGGGCGCTTAAAGAGCGTTTCACTCGTTCCCCGTGATTGGCTTTACAATGGAGAAAGCAGCCATGTTGGTGTACTAAACAAAAGAACTTCGTTAAAATTCATTTCAATCGATACACCAACATGGCGGCTATGACGTCATAGACAATAAGGAAGATAACGTACCAATCATAACACTGTATCTTCAACTTCTCGCACATGGAAGGAAACTAAAAGATGAAAAGGTTTGAATATATATTGAAGTTTCTACCAAGACAAAATCACATAAAAGCCCACAATGAAAGGCTTTCTTTATAAGGGAAAAATCACTTTGTAACTGCAAGAGTTCAAGAGCTTCTTGGCAATTTTTTTCTGATATGATTCATGAGGAAAGACCCTACCTGGAATGGTACGCTTAAAATCGTGTTGAATTGTGGGTTGTCTGTTTCGTACTCTATCTCTGATTCAACCTGTGAAGAAGAATCGGCTTTCAAGATAAGTCATAGTAAACAAAAACACAAATTCTCGTTTTTTTTCCGCACCGACTTTCCGGCAAAGGAGAATTTCGTAAAAGGGTCAACCATTTTTTTCGCATCCTGCAAGAAATAAAAGATTTCACCACACATGCACACTGCGAAGAGAAAAATCATCACTTTTCATTTTCACGATAAATAACTACCTTTCCAAAGCCGAAAAACTTTTTCACACTTTGCCCAATGGATGTGTCCACTAAAGATGAACACGCACAGTAAGCCATCATCGTTAAGAGACAAACACAATCGACTCATGTGCGGGCGCATTGAAAAGAATATGAGCTCATCGAACTGTCCTACTTACTCTGAGGTAGCTCCTCGGCATTGAAAATTTTGAGTCGAAAAACGGCCGGCCGAAGCTGGACGCCAGCAGGTTGAAGCAAATTACTACAAAGGAAAAACACTTGTTTGTTATTTGACATCGATCAATGACTGAAGAAGATACGGGGAAACATCATCCGGCAGATAAAAAACACTATCGAGTGGAGGCTCTTATAAAAAAAACCAGGAGTTTATATTCTAATGTTATGCTTTCTAACGGAGTTATAGTAATTTTCAATACAGGAGGAAATGTTTTAATGCTATGCTCCCCGACAGAGTTAAAGCAATTTTCGAATCTATATGTCTGGTGGGTGAAGGCTAGATTCTCAAAATAAAAAATACGTACGCTTCGATGTCTTCAGCTGTGTCATCTTTGGTACTTTCATCCAGAGACTAGAGGGAAAAAATATTAATACATGAATGGCCAGAAACAAAGATCCCATCATAGAAATCGAGAGCGAGTACGCTAATTGTTTTAGTAGAATTATACTAGTATTCATGAAGAAAGGGGTTGCTATAATTTTTCTTAACTCGTTGTATTTAACATGCATTTTTTGTTGTTGACATTGTATTAAAAAGCGAACGACTGTTGCCCATTGCATGTTTCTTAATTTTATTTCGATTTTATTTTATTTTACCTTTAAATATCTTAACGTCGTATTTAGTGGCAACTTTAGTCTCCTCTAGAACTGCCCTTTGAAGTAAACCATCAAGGTTTATCGTCAAAAAAGGCAGAGTCGGCAGCCATGTTTTTTTCAGATGGCGAGTACAGTAGCCAATCAAATTAAAGCATTTGCAATAGAATACCATGCAGAATACTAGTATGATTCCACTAATGCAAGCTTCGCCTCCTCAACTATTACATCATACAAATATACAGTTCGTAATCTAATTTGTTAAATATGGCATTCAACGCATTTTCTGACATAAACTTTACTTACCGGAGGATCGTTTCCAGGTGCTATACACACCATCGACGTCTTGATATATCCCTAAAAACAAACGTGAAAAAACTTTCATCGGGCGTTTGCTTGTAAATTCACAGTAACTGCATTATCATTTTATTAATAAAAGAAATTGTTGAGTATTCATCGAAAATATCAGTGAAAGTTAGTGTTAAATGTATGTCGATATCAATGGTTCAGGGCAACTTTAATAATCGATGCAACTTTGGATTTCATAGACAGTCGACCTTATAATAGATGGTCGTGCTCTAACATTAAAATGGTGCCAAGATTATTAATTAGATTTCTTGATCTTGCAAAATACCAGCACCGGTGAAAAACAGGAGGTGACTGTATCCATTTACAGAATCGATGAACTAGTGACGATATTTGTTTACGTTATCTACCCTAATGCAAGTACCGCGCGGCACAATGTCCAGCAGTCTGGGAGCGAGAAAAATGGTGAATGCGATCTACGACCAACAATGATGAGCTCAGCTAGTCTGCGGAATCGGAAGTTTGCATCATCTAGTCGCAACACTCTTCAGGTTTATTGCTTAAGTAAGCTGGATAAATCTCGAGAAATCAAAGAAAAAATTCAACTGAAATAAAGCAATGCAAACTTACCGCAGGCGAACCTCCTAGGGCTGTCGACTCCTTTTTTTCCTCGTCTGGTGGCGCCTGTTAAAGGCAAATTGGAAATGAAAAATACAACTTTACAGGTACGAAGAAAAAACGGTATGGAAAGTCTTTATCCGTTAGGGGAAAGGATACAAAATTGAAATTAATCTTGCGTCGAGAAAGACACAAGAGATCCTCTGTTGTAGCTAATTACCTTTGTATCAGATTCAGGTTGCTCGGGTTCCGTGAGTAAAATCCATTTTCTCAACAAAGCATGGTCTGAAAACAAGATAAAGTTTTATGTTTCAATTACTTGGCGAAAACAAAAGTTAAAAGTTTAAAAAAACGCAATTTTAAAACCAAAGAGAATAAAAAACATGTTTACCCTCCATCCTTAACGTTGTTTGCTTAACAATATATAGCCATACACTTCTCATTACTTATTAAAGTGGTAATCTGAAAGACTTAGTTACTTACTTTTCCCCTCGTAAATTAGACCGACATCACACTAAATGTGAAGCAAGCATACAGCTGAATGTGAAATTTCAAAATTGAACTGACCAAAGAATTTTGTTATCGTACCTTGAAGAAGCCGATCAAAGCATCTGATCTGAGCTTGCGAGAGTTGAAAACCTGAGAAGGGAGTAATTTACTGTAGTAGTGATTGAGAAGTCAAAAGCAACCGATAATTTATCGTGTATGACTTTACAGTTCACGGTGTTTGGTGCTCATTCAGATTCATTACCTCAAACTTTACAATCTTTTCGAAGAGCTCGTCGGGAGTAATGTTACCGAAGTTGTAATAGAAAGTCTGTTGAAAAGATCAAAATGCAAGTCACAATTAGAATTTTTGCTTAAAGATAAATTCACGCGTAAAGAAAGTCAACTTCTTTTGCCCATATTAGCGAGAGGATTTTCCTGAATACATTTGGAGAAAATATGAATTGAAATCATAAAAGAGCCTCGTTTTGAAAAACAATCATCATTTCATCTGCCTCAGGACTTAAGTCAACCATCGAAGGTGATCTCGGAGGAGTTAAGGGGAAATGAAAGCCACTTGAATTGAATAAACAGTATCAACAGTCATGAGCCTTAGACTGACTTCCCTTCGTCTTCTCAAGTGTAATACATTTTCACTTTTGAGTACAATAGTACAATGTTAACATATCAAAACTCTGGATACCCCGCGATAATCTACTGCATACCTGGTTGTAATAAGGTCTGTTCGTAGATTTTTTTACTCGTGTCTGTTTCACTTGATCACCGACAGTCACTCTAACAACAGGGTTGATGTTTCCACCAGACAACTGACGACCTTCAACAACTTTTAGGCGGACCTTATAATAAATCACCAATGATCAAAATAAACGGGCAGCCATAGCAAGGCCAGTACAAGAGGTAGTCGAACTATGGAACGTTTTCAAAGAAGATCCACATGCACAACTTACTACGCGACCTATGGATTGGAAACAAGTCCAGTCGGCCATGAGCGAAACACGTGAATAGTAAACGTACCTGAAAGTCCATAGGTTTATTGGGAAGATCGTGTGCTTTTCTTTTTCTTTTTTTCCCTCTTCTTGGGGGCAATAAGAAAGTCCAAACCCAGTCAGTGACTTCATTTTTAATAACTTGCTATATTTATTTCCAAATATCTTACCGTTTTCTCTTGCCTCGTGCCCCAGGTTCTCCTGATTCCCCATCGTCACCCTCTTCGTCTTCTTCATCATCCTCGTCGCCTTCCGCTGTACCTTCCTCTGATGAACCACCGGCTGCAGATTTCTCTTCAGGACATTTGTATGTCAATTTGCAGTTGACTTGCGCCTGAAATAAATATAGTCAGCAGTCATTGGATATGTCCTAGACAGAACATGCCAGTCAGATGCAGGAGAGGATTCCATACCGACCAAGCCACATATATCAGGACGTAATTTCTGAGTACAGCTTAATTCAACGAGACTTTGTAAAACTACAAACCTCTGAAGGTTGTCCCTTCTTATCCTGTAACTTTTGCGCCACGGTCATGGTTTTGCCTTTCAAGATTTCTTTAAGCTTGACAGTGCATTGACCAAGTAATCTTTGTACGAAACGAAGAGGAAACCAATTTTTATAAACATTTAGGAACATGAAGCAATCAAACATATTAGGTTGACCGATCAATAAACACTTAATTCAAACCCACATTATGGACTAGTTGAAAGTACTGATACAGAAATACACTTATGCCTTTCATTAGAGAATGATCGTTCCACACAATAGAATAGCTAATTTTGATAATTTTAATCGCAAGTTCACTGTTTTAAATCCCCAAAGATATGCTCTCTCAGTACTAATGAAAAACCATGTCCAGCCGACAATTCAAAAAATATAGAAAAAACAAATTCCGAAGAAACAAAACATCGCGAGATTACAATTTTTGTGCTTTCGGAATTTTTGCTTTACAGTACTTATGAACTTCAACGGCAATTTGACTAACATCTATCTTTATGAAAAATTGTTTCAAAAAGAGCAAATACCATGGTGATTGGTAAAAAACAATAATGCAATAGTTCTTAAACGAACTGTTTAAAACCAAAAAACTATACCCTAACAATTCTGGTTAATTCAAGTTAAAAGACACTATGGCATTTCGGGCAGACTACTCATGAGGTATCAACGTCTGCTACGACAAAGTCTTTATTTTATTATCCTTATGAATTCTTGATATAGCTACCGTAGATTATTTTTGACTATGAGTCGACAATCATTGACCAACATAATCAATTCATGTTTTTGTATTCAGTGTCAATTTAAGTCAAATCAATAACGCAAAAAATAATCGCGTTAGTCTGTAAATTTTAAAACAAACTGCATAGAAGTAACTACGTTTGACGAAGGAATTTAGCCAGTTTGAACGTTTCCAGTGCAAATTTTCTCTAAAATATTGGGATAAACCATAACTGATCACACAAACTAGAAGTAACTAAGTTTGACGAAGGAATTTAGCCAGTTTGAAAGTTTCCTGTGCAAATTTTCTCTAAAATATTGGGAAAACCATAACTGATCACACAAACTTACTTGTTTTTTCCTACCACTTCATGATCATAAATCTTAATGCTCAGACTGTCTGATCCGGATAGTGGTTTTCCTTTCAGATCAATTTCAATTTTCTTAAAAGATACAGAAAATAGGTTTCGCTTGGAGAAATCACCGTGCAAATGAAAGTAAACATGCAGCAAAAACAACTTTCTTTTGTTTCAGTTGCAAACTTACGAGCGTGAGCCCAAATAAGTTTGCCTTCTCAAGTTTAATCTTCTATGTGAAAACCCACCTCTTGCCAAACAGGATTTAGTTCATTTTCAATGGGCTTAGTTTCGCCTTTTTCCCCTGAAAAATATTTTACAATGAAGATCATCAAGGAATTAAGTTTTGGATTATTGTAAAGTAAAGACGCTAAAATCGATCGTCTAAAAACCACCAACTCAATAAAAGCAAAAAAACTGTATTTATGACGTATGAAATTGCGTCATCAACTTAAACATAATTCTTTTCACCAGCATAGCAATTTTTACGTAGGTTTAGTTAAAAGAAACCTAGCACCCTCAACATTTTGGAGACACCTTTACTATACAAGTAATGATTTTGTCCACAAGTTTAAGAATGCCAGTCAAATTATAGTCCCTGTTTTGGAATTTGAACTATCATACATCAATTTGACGTGCATTTATTCACAGACAAATTTCACATTTTTGAAGATACTAAATAAAGCAAGTTTTTGGTTTATTCACATACTCGATGAATAGCATTCACAAACTTGACATTGATTTTCGTTTTTCGTATAATTATGTAACACAAATTGACTGCCAGTTAAAAGAATCAATCTGAAAATATGTCGTATACAAGAATAGAAAATTTGCCAGAATTAATCTCAAATTCATCACATTGTGAAGATCAATTTGTTTAACAGAACATGCCATAGTTTTAAAAAGTTCTTTCACAGTGTGGCCAGCTCACAAATTAAAGTCGTGCTATGTAAATTTCAAAATGTTATAATTATTTATTTGTCTCAAATCTATTGTTTCACAGTATGTGAACACAAGAGAATTTGCATTGCAGGGATATAAGAATATGTGTCAGCTTTTCCACTGTACTTTCACAACTTAACATAGCATTTGTATTTTGAAATAGCTATTGGCGATTGTTTCGAGAGTTTGAAATTCATTTAAGCAATGCTGCCTCATTGAAATTGAGGAATGATTTGATCAGGCACAGTTTGACTGGTTCATGTTAGTTGCCTTGATGGCAGATAGATCATAATTTTGCAATTGCAATTGAATGTATAAAAATATCTATATATATTGTATTGTATTCGAATGAGCAATTTCAATTTATAAGAACGATCAACAACAGCCCGCGATCAGGATACCAGACTCATGGATTTCTGCAAGTTTGTACTTCAACATTCCAGAATGAATTGTTTACGAAGCAATAGAATATTTGCATTTAGCAGTGCACGAACATGCGTCTTTGCAGAAGATTATTCCTAGGGTCGAAGGTCCATAAAGAAATAAGATTACCCAAAGCGATTGAGATTACAAGCGCAGTAGTTAGCCAAATGATATTGTCTTTCATATAAAAAAATTCAATATTTGTGTGTTGTAATAATGATTGTTTTTGAAATGAAACTACGTGTCAACGGTTAAATCATAGCCAAACTGCGAAATGAAAATGACCTATTCGTTTTGAACGGCGTCAGTACCCTGATTCGAAAAACCTATCAAATATTAACCTACCTATCAAATATAATGCTCTACCTGGTGGCATGCTAAGAGCTAAACGACTCAGCAAATATGCATCATTGTGTGACGGCAAATATTTATCTACCTTAACATCACCGAAAATAATTCCAAGACAACGCCGAGTATTTCGTTTGTGACACGGTTCTATGTTGCAAATTATTCCAGGGTTTGTTTCAAATAAGATAGAAATAACAATTACCGAAGTTCTTTGGGAGTATATATAGGTGTTTGTTGCCGACTGGAAATCAAATGAGCACTCAATACTTCAAATCTCAACGTCGTTTTAAAATTGGTCAGGCAAAATGTTGCACACATCAAACATGTTATTTCCACAAAAGAAGTGACTTATCATTTGCTATAAGGACGTTTATATCTTTGAATGCAAAACGACCAACGAAAATTTTATATTACTTGTACAAACACATCAAAATTAACGTACCTTGAAATTCTATAACACACAGCGGATCGCTCTTTCCCCACATCTCGACATTCGGCAAGTTTGTAGCCGAGATCTCGGACGCGTAAATCATGTATTCCGACATTTTTTAGCTTTACAGGCCACGCGAAAAGACTATGCTGAAATGTGGAATTTTCACCACACACCCTTTCGAGAAATGGCCTATGTATGTGTATGTAAGACAAGCTGTGAATAAATTTATATGCAAATCACAGCGGGAATCCGGGCGAAACGACTGGAAAGTATTTAATTCATTGGCTCTGGCACTCTGGTCTGCGACAATTATGTTAGCATAAAGATATTCGCTTTGGGGGCTCCAATTGATCAAAGAAAAATGCTGAGGCAAATGGTATCATTGATCTCTTGGCTTTAATTTGTGGAGAAAAATACATTGGTCCTTAGGGAAATTCGAATTACTCAGAGACATTAATGGTTTAATTGCCACATGACACACTTGTGGAATTTAAAAGAAATTCACGCACTCAGCAATAATAATCAAGCAACAGCGATTTTCTAGAACATCATAGCATCAATCGACGATTTAACGTCGTAGCTTACTTCTTTCATAAAAATAGATTAGTAAATTTGGCAATGATTGAAACGCGAGTTAAACATTAATATACACAATAAACTAAAGATTAGCAAATACAAATTCTTGAACATTTTGACTGTTATCCTTCTAGTGTATCTATAAACAAAATCTTCGTAGATTACTTTGTTTCGCATAAATATGCTCAGTTGAGTATAATTTGTTTGCATTTTTGTGCTATTTCCATTCGCCTACAAAGTGCTGCAATTAAACGTCGTGACGTTGAACCCTTTCATTTGTCTTGAGTGAATTCAATCAAGTCATGGAGTTCTGGCTGGACGGGGGGAAGGGTTAGGTTTGGGAGGGAAAGGGAAGGGTTAGGTTTGGGAGGAAGGGGAAGGGTTAGGTTTGGGAGTGGGGAAGGGCTAGGTTTGGGAGTGGAGTGCTGGCAGTCAGGTTGGTGCCTTCACAAAGAAGCAAGAGTGTTGTACGCAATCAACTTGATCATAAAGTTAGCTACAGTGATGTTGATGTACTAACTGCAAAGCGAGAGAATAATTATAATATCTTATGTGCCCGCGTGATTTCTTTCAGCTGAACTTAGAACAATTAATATTCATATGTGGGGAGGGGGTGGTGCACATTTATAGGATTTATATGTAAGGAAGGAGGGGGAACGAAATGCTAAACTGCTCACGGGGTTTTGTTTCGCATATTTGCTTTGTTTGTAAGTTCGGGTTAAAATCTTGGGGGAATTTACCAATAAAGTTTTCCATGAAATTCTACAAAAAACCTGTACTTATAAAGCCCATCAAAAAGTTGCAGTCACGGACAAGCTGCAGTACACCACCTCACCGAATAATTTACCAAGTTGTTTTGGAAAACAACAGTCCCACTTTCTCCAAATGCCCTAAAACGTAGTCACATATTTGGATCACCTCAATTCCATCTTGATGGCCCTGCTGATGCAAACGCAAAGTCTAGTATTATAAGAACAAAGTAGTGAGTTTTGTTTTTTTAATGGTATAATTCTATGTTATTAACAACGTGGTATTAAGTACCATGTGCATTGTAATCTACCATATTATGCAGACTTTCATTATTTCAAGCAAATAGCGACTTCAGTAAATGTTTAACTACAAATCACAGAAAAGTAAGAATTAGCTATCGACTAGATTCTCCAAAATGCAATCGAACACTTCAATGATTTTTTTCTGGTAGCGAGGATTTCGGCACATGAGCAACTTCCTCCATGACAACAACTCCGTTCTTAATGTTTAGTGTCGTTGCTTTTGAAGTCTCATTCGGCGTCTTTCCTGGATAAATCTACACTGACAAAAATTTCAAAACAAAAAAAAGTTGGAAAAGTTTAAAAATATCATATGCAATTATAGTTGAAACGACTCAACTAAATTTCACGCTTTTCACACGCTTCCTAAATTTCACAATCACTCATATTGAAAGATTCCACGGATATACATGTGTGAAACACACTGATAAGATTAGCTTCACCTTTGGGAAGAACATAAGAACCAGAGTTAGAGTCGTGCACAACAGGATACTTGAAGTAAGAATAATGTAACTAATATTAACGTCAGTCTCGAAGGCCAACATCTTGAGCGGCAAAATGACGACAGTCGTCATGAAAATGTTGTATACACACATGCCAATGTACTTGGAATCATTCAAACCAGGAAACGAAACGTTTCGAGTCTCCCAAGTGATGAAGATTCCAAAGACGATGAGCAGACCTTTGTAAAGCATAAGACCTGTATACCATTTTTCAAAGTAGGAAGATGTGCACTCGTGGATAAACAAATTTTTTTTGGAGGCTTTTTTGTGCTGTCAAGATAATAAGTGAAGATAAGTAAATTACGATTTTTTGACAAGGAAAATCTGTAAAATATTTTTTGAATAAAATACGCGCTTTTATGGTATGGGACATTCCACGAAAGTAGTTTCTGTGATCTAAATTTATTGGCTTTGTCATTTAATAAGTGTTGATGGAGGACTTGATTGGTTGATGATGTTCAATCATGTGAAAAGTTTCAGTTTCCTGTAGATCATAAAGCACCATCTCGTAATAAAGTAAATGGTTTGAACCCGGGAGTATCGTTACATGTTTGTAGATGTAGATCGTCCAGGTTGGTATAGTCCTGAGAAGGACTGTTTTTGTTGTCGATGACTGACGTTTCGACAACCTTAGCGGTAGTCATCTTCAGAGTCAAATGACTTTGAAGATGACTACCACTTTGACTCTGAAGATGACTTTTGACTCTGAAGATGACTACCGCTAAGGTTGTCGAAACGTCAGTCAACAACAACAAAAACAGTCCTTCTCAGGACTATACCAACCTGGACGATCTACATCTACAAACATGTAAAGCACCATATCGCAGATTATAGTCTTTACCTCACGAGGAAGAACATGTTTCGTTACATTATCTTCTAAAGGATGTATGAAGTTCCATGAAAATAAGTACAACAAATCAAAGAGAACCAATAAAGCCACCATCATTATCAAATATTTGTTGGTCAAAAACCGCAGCTGGAAAAGAATTCAAAACGTAAATTTCAATCGCTGATTCTTAACAGAGTATAAAATAACGTAGCAATCACCACAAAAGGTGTTTGTTAAGCTTTGAGAACGCTTTAGCACCTTATAATTGATCATTGACTAACAAGAGTTTATTTCTTAATTTTTTAGATCGCCGACAGTAGATCATCGTTAAACTTTGTTGCTGACAAAAGCACCTCAACTGCTTACAATCTTATTCCCAAGTTGCAGAATTTTTTAAAATTTTCAAATCCAATCAAACCATGTTGCACAGAGTACAAAGGTACTTCAATATGGTTGTCAATTTGTCTTTGATGCTTGTTGTTGTTGAATTAGTTGGTCACAGGTATATCACAATAAAGTCGTAAGGTGTACTACAACTAAAAGGACTCACAGTTATCAGATGATGTAGACAATTGCTAAGTAACGCATGAAAAAATACCGCTGCCAAATCTAAGTTATTACAGATGTGAGTCACGTGACAAAGTCACGAGACTCTTGCACTGAGCAACTTCTCACTCTCTTTACATCTTCATGGAGATTTCATGAAGGACGATTGTTAAATCATGCATCCAATTTTCATTTTACCTTTTTGGAAAGTTTTGTATTCGTAAATATTCTGTAGATTCTCCATGTTTTCATAAAAATTGCACCAAACAACAAGGAAAAAGCGATGGTCATCAGGAAAACTTCCACCTGTTGGCTCGTAAGAAAAGTAAGAATGTTATTTTGATTTCAAAGTTCGTGCAAAATAAATTTACAAAATATTCATGAAATTTTGTTTCAACACATTCATTGGAATAGTATGCATCATCCGTCAGTTCCCTGATATCACATTTACCATCTCTTTCTCATTAGAAAACAACGTCGAACTGTAGTCTGTACTAAATGTCATTCTTTAGTTACGCAAGAAAGAAGAAGACAGAACCTTGCAAACAGAAGTGTTAAAAGACAATCTTTTCTTGGTACATTTCGTCATTCCGTTTATTGGAATAAAAATGTATGCAAGAACTGCTCCAAGCAGCATGAGATTATTTAATGGTGGCGTAGACATCTTGAGTACACTACAAAGATAAAATGCACACCTTGAAAAAGCATAAACTCAAAGGTATGGCTAATGGAAAACGTCTGTGGCAATTTCAGAGAGCTGTCGTGTTTCTATAGCTAGTTTAAAGCATAGTTCTTGGCTTAAATTGATAAGTTTGGTTCACATTGCATTTTCAAGATTGCATTATTTGAGGCTAAAATAAAGTTCAAGATTAAGTACTCGTACTGCTGTGAAGATTTCCTGTTGTTTATCCAGAGAAAAAATATAGCTGTTAAAATGCCGACGATTGATGCTCCTGTTGCTGACCAAAATACTTCTTTTGAAATGCATGGAATGAATTCTTCATGTTTTCCGTCTGAAGGCAAAACTCCTCCTTTATGAAAATCACAAACGTTTTGCAAAAGTCACGAAATCAACAACTAGCCACTCGATACTGCCGTTATACCATGCTGGTGTTTTTTAAATTGTTGAAGATTTGTATTAATAAATTGGATCTTAAAATTTTAACTAAAAAGAGTGTTTTTTTTAATGTTTAGATAAAGTGTCCAGGCTTAAAATAACTGAAAAAGACGTATGCAAAAATAAAAATTCGGTAAAATTTACTTCGCCACCTACCACGAATTAATTCATCTCATTTACCTGCCCACACGGCATTATTTAGATCTTTGCATTTCTTTCGTTTATTTTCGCACCAAGCAATCTTTACGAATGTGTTATCTATAACAGATTATATAATTAATGATTAAGTAAACACAAATTGCCAAAACTCAGCTAATAATAAACAATCTTTAAAGACGGCTTTACTCATTGGTCAGTACGACAAGTTAAATCGTAAATTCAGCACTTCAAGAAGAATTTTTTAGGTGAAGAAGGGAATTGGGAAGGTTGAAGCCATGACATAAAGATTAAAAAGAGCTGTATTGGATCGAACTAAAACCTACGAAATGGAGAGTTTCTTTAAGTAAAAAGCTTTGAGGCTCCTAATACATGGACTTAGAATTTTATATAATTTAATAGAAATTTTTTGTTTCTGAAATGCACAAGGTTTGCATAAAGAACACAAATATTTTCAAAACAGTTATAAATTTACTTTGCATCTGTTTTATCCACAATTTTGCATTGTTTCCCTGAAAAAAATTGAATAAAAGATTATTAAAAAAAAGCCCTTGTTGTGGCACACATAAGAAAATATGGCACAAATACAGATTTTTACAACCACTGTCAAACTTTCCAACTTTCTCAAAATGATCGCAGTGATATGAGATGAAGCGTATGTGAACTCTTTCAGCGATTCATTGACACGTTCTAGCTCTTCTTCAGTACCGTTCAAAGCTTGTGCAAGGAGTTCAATTGCATGATAAGCGTAATTATTCTCAGCTTCTCGGCAATTTTTCTTTTCCATTGTTGTTACCTCAAAAGATAAAACTGTTTGTGGGCTACTTGTATGCAGGAAACGGATTTCTTACATAATTGTTTGTATTTTCAGCATCTGGTTTGATTCCTGGCTATTTTATTTATAGATAGCTATCTGATTCTGTTTTGTTGTAATGAAATATTTGTCATTTAGACGTCTGTCAATATATCGCCTTTTAATGTTTAAAATGACAGTCAGAAAAAGGACTTCAGTGACAAGAAAGAAAGTTGATAAAGCAAAAATTTGGTTGTGGTCAGTTAAAAACTCATAAATATTGCTATGAATAGCATATTTTGTCATGGTGAATGAAAATTGTGTAGTTCTTAAAAGAACTGTTGAAAACCAAAATAAAGATATCTAAAAATAAATGACACGATGAATTTTGGCTAAAATCTACTTCTATTTATAATGGACACGATGAAGAATGATATCCTATTATATTTAATTTTTAACTTGCATCCGTTTCAAACATTACTTCCCCTGTCATTCTTCTTTGTCTTCATTATTAATAGAAGTGAATTTTGGTTTCCACAAAAGCTGTTCTTTTAAGTTTTTAAGAAATACTCGATAGTTATACATCATGACAAACATACTGTTCAAAGCGATAAGAAACTTGCTAATCAGTATTCAGTATGAATTTACATGGTACGTCAAACTAGTTTGAATCATGACAACATTATGAAGAACGATTTGCAGCTTCTCTTTACCTTGCCTATATTGTTCCCTTTCCATTTAAAGTCACAATCACGACCAATATAAAGCAAGTTCTTAGCGAATTGTTTCACATCGTCAACTGTACAGCTGGTATTTTCTAAGGCCCACGTTTTTGTTTTGCATGAATTGTGCAGTATCCACACAGTCTCAGAATCATTAAAACTTCTTTTAAAAGCCTACGAAAAAATAATGAAGAAGAGATATATATTTACCTTAAAAGACGAAATTATGTTTTTATTCAAAAGTATAGTCCTGGGGAACATGAGTGGTCACGTGATACAAAATGACCGAGATTTAAAATATTTCAAATGCATGATGGCAGAAAACGGGCGATTGAGCTCGTTAAATTTTAAAATATGACACTAACCTCACATAAAAATTTCTCAGCGTGTGATTGTGCCATATTTAGAACTATAATTCTAGCATCACTTTCCTTTAAGAAAAAAGCAACTTCTTATAGTTAAAAAACAAGTTTTAACAGTTGGGAAACGTGCCTAACTTCGTTAGCGTGCAAGGTTTGCAAGAACTTTTTGTGCAAAAAATCACGAGCTTTCAATGGTTCATCTGACTGTATAATTGTCGAGAGAACTATCAAATTTTTAGGATTAAAATTGGGTTACCGACAAGCACTTTGGAAATAGCTTCGCGGGAAAATCACACATTAACAAAGCAATTAAAAAATTGGATGAAATAAAGCAAAAATTTTTTAACCTAATAAAGTTTCAGATAATTTGTTGGCCAAAGCGTAACGAATTCTTAATGTCCAAATTACGATACCATTTTTTTAAAATCCTACCCCTGACTGATTCTCTTATAGTAGCTATTTTCATGGCTGCTGTTGCCGGCAAGCTATTGAACTTGGTTTTTAGGGAACTTCCCAAACAAGAACACATTGATGGTGTAGTTTTTGTCAACAAACATAGGAGAACAAACATAGGTTTTCACAGCTCCACCTGCCTTGAATAATGATTTTTTGGCTTTTCTATATTTCTGCTGAAATTTACAATCGTTGGTGTATGTATACTCGTAAGTATAGAGAATTGTAAAATAAAAACAATAAAAGGCGTGCGTTGATTGGTCTATAGCCGTGTTTGCATTAACCTGTGCAAAACACATCTGAGCTCAACCAATCAAATCAGTCAAAGCAATCAATCAGTCAAAGAGAATTTGCAAATTGATCATGAATATATTTTAGAGGAAAAATCTTTTTCGCATTATTGTTATTTTATAAAAGAAATAAAAGGTGTTTTTCGTGTTTTCACTGGCTTATGCAAACCTCGAAGACGTTTGTGAGAACTCTCGAGCATGTGCAAACCTTGACCTTTGGTCTCGGGCTTGCACTGATCCACTCTTGAGTTCTCCCTAAGGTCTCCCCGGTTTACATAAGCCTGTGCAGACACAGTAAACATCTTTTATTTCTTAATTAAGTGCAACTACCTTTAAAGAACTAATAACCATTTCTTCGTTTTTTTTAGCCAGGCAGAGTTTCTTCTTCTTTGTTATTTTTGGACATAACCAGAATTCATCAGCACGCTAAAAACATAAAAGACGTTAGTTAAGGGCATATTCACTTTAATCCTTTAGTGGACGACAATTTCATAAGATATAAAATAAAACATAATCCGAAAAAGGACATCTTGTAAACTTAAATTCAAGTTATAAAACAAGATGATTAATAAACGAATGTAGGGTAGACCTAGCTAAAACATTTATATTGACGCTTCTATTTATGCTAATGACTTTGTTGATGAGGCAAGAATGAAGTCAAAGATGGACATATGCTGAGCATGTATTTTCAATGGGCAATTTCCCTGTTGATGATAATATATTTCCTTACATCAGTTCTCAAAACACAGCACATTTAGCTACTATCATATTTGAAATGCAACTCACAGATCCTAATCTTACCTGTTCTACAATGAAAACACGAGTCCAACGGAAAACTTTTTTAAGTGTCAGTTTGACATTGACAAGAGTTCTTGACGGATTGACGCAGATGTTGGGAAATTTATTTTTTCTGTTTGAAAATCGCGATGTCATCAAACCGAACGGGATCTGTTTGAAAAATTGTTTGGAAAGGAGGTTAAGACTGATTCGACATAAACATTCATTCTAACAAGTATATTATAGGAGTGACAGTAGCTATATATTAGAGCAGTTTCTTATAATCAATTAACGTGTGGTATTTTGAAGCATCGTAAATATTTTTTGTATTATTCTTACATATAGCCAATAACGCAAGCCCACTGAAGACAACAAGGGAAGAAATACATATACACACACGTGAAAGTTTGTATGGCTACCTGAATTAAGTTCAAGTGTCGAAGTGCTATACACCAAAATTCGGCTGCTGCATAGCAAGCTGGTCCAAGGAAAGCTATCTTATTTGGAGGAGACTCGATGATGTGTTCCATTAATGCCTTCATCCCATAATCATTTTCACACTAAAGAAAAATCAATTTGTGAACTGTTGATCGCGTGATACTCACGGCTCCTACTTTGAGTGAAGACTGTTATATAAGGAAAACCGTAGCTATATTAGCATTCATTTTTTAAGAATGGCTGGAAATAAAGTGCAGTCCAATTTGGCCACGAACGGAGATAAAAAAGTTTGATATGGTTAATGGTAGCTAAGTAATTCGAGATCACTGGTTTCGAAATAAATGCTACCAAAAAACCGTATATGTTTCTTTTTGGTTTCTTTGACTGAATGCTGAAACTTGAAAGAGTCGAAGACTGAGTCGACTGTCTTTGAAACATGGGACTCTGTACTTTAAATGAACATATTGAATATATTTTTAAACATCCTAACACTAATTACCAATCTAATCTTTTCTTACAAATGCAATGTAAATAAAATATATACCTCGGAGTATTTCCAAACAATTTCCAAATCATAGTTTCTTAGCAAAGATGAACTATTATTTATAAGTTCCAAAGCACGTTTAACAGAGCAATTGACTTCCTCACTTGACCTGTTATGTGTTTTTGTATAGATGCCAGCAATAACAAGCTTTGTTTTATTACCAAAGACTAAAGGACAACGGCCAACGAAAAACATTAACATACAGAGCACTTGAAAATAATTTGCTCTGCGTGAAAGCATGATCCACATACAGTTTATCTTCTATAACCCAAATGTATTGTGTCACTGCTTCCTCAAAAGCAAGCAAGCATTGTGGAGTTATATTGAATGTTCTTTTTACTCAAATGATAATTTTTGTTTCAACATGTTACAAGCATAGCTACTAATAAACGATGCGCACATCCTACTCGCCAATAATATATTTAAAAAAGGGAATTACGATTTTATTGCACAAAAGGTTTGAGTGCTACAGCCGACACAAGTGTTGGAATACTGATGGAATAAGAGACCGACCAATCAGACGACACAATGAAAATATTGATGTTTGCACACTACATATGGCGTGTTAAAACGATTTTTCAGCGATAAAAGATTTTTCTTCATTAATTGCTGAGTTTTGACGCGTAATTAATTAAACCCAACTGAAATTTTGCTACCACGAAAAGTTACATAGAAAAGGTTATAAAGTGCATGAGAAAGTTTTTAAAATGGACTCAAAGAACCACTTCAACTCTCACTAATCTCATTCGCCACTTGTACAGCCACCTGTTATTTTCAGTTTAGGATTAACGTCAAGCTGTCTACCAACTCTTGTGTTGAAGTATTTAATTAATTTTTAGCACACTACAATCAATGAAAGCTGCTTTCAATAGTAATATTTGACTATATAGCCGATGCAATTTAATTCAACGATCTTTTACTTATCATAAATGAATAGAAGATATAGACTTTATGATATACAATGTATGCATCATCATGTATAGAGATGCCATCTTGAATGGACTATCCAATATCATAATAGTAAGGGTTTTCATTCGTGGCGGCTTCATGAATTGAGTTAGTTTTCCAGCTTTCATACCGTTTTTGTGACTTCAAATGTATAGCTTCTGAATCTTAAGCCTGTTTTCCGCTAGCCACGTATCGTAACGTATCCTAGCAAAACGTAACATAGCGCATGCGTGCTTATGAATTTGATGGTCAATAGGCACAAGCATGCCTGCGCCATGTTACGTTTTGCTACGATAATGTACTTTAGAGGTTTAGCCACTAATTACTTTCGCTGCGTAATGTGCTGCTATCACTCGAGTTGCATGTTTTCATCATGTTGTCTGTCAAACTGACCTACGTTTCCTCTTCTTTTGTTGTTTTTTTTTGTCACTGCGTGTCTGACTTTATTGGATCACTCCTTGGTTTGGCATTCAGAGCCATTCTTGATTTGGCGCTTGTCATCTTTCCCGAGATAGTAGCATTTTCTTTCTGGATTGATTTTTTAAATATTTCTTGTCTTTCTTTTTAAGATTGTTTTGGGAGTTGTGTAATGATTGAATAGTAATTGTAACAATATGAAAAGAATAATAATAACAATGATAATAATTATTTATAAGCCCTTAATAACCGAGCGCGAGGTCTTTACGGACTTCAAAGCATTTGCAAGGAGTTCAATGGCTCGTTTAGCGTGTATAGTGTATTTATTGTCAAATTGATCTTCTACTATATCGTCGTTTTTCTCTCAATATGTCCCCTTTACATGAAAAGAATTTGCTATCAATTCATATATGATTGAAGGATATGTTTCTTGCAAATCAAATGATTGATTGTCATTATTCTATTTTTAAAGCTGAATATACTTTTGGACGACATCGTTATTCGATAAAAAAATGGCACTATTTTGAAAGTTTTTTACAGTAGTTAAGTTGAAGAACAAACTTTAAAAGTTATTTTTCTAGTTATGTTTTATGTTTAAGTTTTTACAAGTCGATTATTCGTGCTTTCTCTTAATAACATAACCGTAGTTGTATTTTATTAACTTAGCGACAGGAAAAGTAGTGAAAACCAAAAGTAATAAAACTTAGACATTCTAAAGTGACTTGGCTATTATAGCTAAAGTTTTAAGCATGCAACTGGAATCAAGCACGTGGCCAGAACGAAAATTGGGTGGGGTTGCAAATATTCATAACTCCACGATATACGGTATTAGTTTCTTTTGAAATCAATTGCTTTTTTAAGGATTGTAAAATAAATAAATGAATGGTGCCCCCTAACCAATCATCGCTCTGCCGGCTTTGTGCCTGACAAGAACTAGTTCCAAAAAACGTAATCTTTGCGGCCCTAACTATCAGGGAATTTTAGGCTCCTTTTAAACGTCGCATTTTACATGTGCCGAATGCATTTAAAATAAAAGAAAATGAGATAAAATTCCTCATTATCTTTTGTTTTAAATGCATTCAGCTCATGTAAAATGCGACGTTCGAAACAGGCTTTAGTGTCCAAATAGAGTGGCTGTGTTTTGTGACATGCTTGGTAGTTTCGTTGCAAAATGAGCTGCTATGATCCAGATAACGTGTTTTGAATCAATGTACGTGTTCTCTGCTACACCTTCAATGTTTCCCTTAACCTTTGTTGCCATTTTTGGCGCCATTTATATAGCTTGACTTTCAAATGTCTCGGTTTGAATATTTTTCCTCTTTCGTAAGTGTGTTTTTGAAAAGTTTTTTTAGCCAGAGCTGTGTGGCGGGTTATAAGAAATAATAACGTACCATCGGGTTTTATCATCGTTTTGCGTCTACGTGTAATTCATAAGCTTCTTTCCATTACTTTTAGTGTGGGTGTGCGAAACTAGGCTCTCCTAACAGTTAGGAGAGGTCAGTTGTCAATTCCGTGCAACAATACTCTAATGAAGCAATTCTTGAGCCATCTTGTTCTTTCTTGTAACAAGTTAATTATACTTCATGAACATAAAAATGATATGGTGCATTTATGTATTGCAAACTAGCTACTTTTACTTATTTGTACTTATGGAAAAAGTGGCTTGATATTAAAATGCATGCAAACAACTATGTTCGAAGACGAAAATTTCATCAAGCATGTGCGCGTGCTCAGCTAAAAATTTCAATGACGTGTCACGTGAATGACCGGATTTTCTTCACGAGCAGCTTTACGCGTGACAGCAATGCCGTTGTCAAAGCTTATTATTGTAGCTTTCGAAGTCACACTTTGCATCTTCGCCGGATATAGCTACACGAATGAAAAATTGAAAATGAGAAAAATTAGTATTTAGATAACGTGTCTATTGCAGTTAAAAAGGTGTGTATAATTTGATTTTTTTGAGGTAGAAACTACAAAAAATACCCTGAAATTACGATTGATAAATTATGAAGTGCAACAATCGCTCAAAGTTGGATTTCACAAATATACAAAATAAGCTGAGAAGCTTATTGAAAATAATATTACCTTCGGGAAGAACATAAGAACCAGAGTTAGAGTCGTGCACAACATGATACTTGATGTAACAACAATGTAACTGACATTCACGTTCGTCTTGAAGGCCAACAACTTAAGCGGCAAAATGACGGCAATCGTTATGAAAATGTTGTAAACACACATGCCAATGTACTTGGAATCATTCAAACCAGGAAACGAAACGTTTCGAGTCTCCCAAGTGATGAAGATTCCAAAGACGATGAGCAGACCTTTGTAAATCATTAGACCTGCAAACCATTTTTCAAAGTGGGAAGACGTGCACTCGTGGATACTGTATTTCAAATTCATCGCTCTTCTGTGCTATCAAAATAATAATTAGACATAAGTTACATGCGCGACTAATTGACAAGAAACCTAATCTCCTTAAAATTCTTGTGTGTAAACGAGTAATTTCATTTTGTCATCTTTTACCGTGCTTAATTGACTGGGGGGGGGGGATATTCAGTCATTTTACAAGAAAAAGTCTACTACCTTGCGACGGCCCATAGACTCAGCTACTTTATCTTCTAAAGGATGTATGAAATTCCACGACGATAAATACAATAAATCAAAGACAACCAATAAAGCCACCATTAGCATCAAATATTTGTTGGTCAAAAATCGCAGCTAAAAAAGAACGAATCACTACATTTTTATAGCTGATCCTTAACTGTTTATGCATGATCAAATGTTTATAATCTGGCTCTCGAGTAGCTAAATTTTTCACAAGTTTCGAACTCCATATGATCCGTGTCTCTCAAAATCAATTCACAATTTATGTTGAACTTTGCCACACCAAAAGGGGGACTCAACATTCAATACAAAGTCACAATTTATATGGAACTTTGCCACAACAAAAGGGGGACTCAACACTCAATACAAAGTCACAATTTATGTGGAAGTTTGCCACAACAAAAGGGGGACTCAACACTCAATACAAAGTCACAATTTATGTGGAAGTTTGCCACAACAAAAGGGGGACTCAACACTAAATACAAAGTCACAATTTATGTGGAAGTTTGCCACAACAAAAGGGGAACTCAACACTCAATACTCTGACAGCTTGGACAATTGTTTCATAACTTGAAAACTGCAAATGCTGCATGGATAATATCATAATGGAAACACATATATATTTATTACTGACAGACTTCAGCTTTCATATACATGTAGATTATGGTAAACTAAAGGTAGCAGTCAACTTAATCTTGGAATGAGCTGCTTCGTGACATCGTTTTATCTTAATAAAAAAATAAAAAGAGCATTTGCTAAATTTTTATCTTACATTTTTTGAGAGTTTATCGTTTGTAAATATTCTGTAGATTCTCCATGTTTTCATAAAAATTGCACCGAACAACAAAGAGAAAGCGATCGTCATCAGGAAAACTTCCGCCTGTTAAAATGAATGAAATCAAACTACTTTATAGCCATGAAAATATGTCATTTTGCTCAAGCAAGAAAACGGAACCTTGCAAAGAGAAGTGTTAAAAGACATTGTCTCTTTTGAACACTTCTTCATGCCGTTTATCGGAATGAACAAGTACGCAAGAACTGCTCCAAGCAACATGAGGTTATTCAATGGTGGCGTAGACATCTTGAGTACACTGAAAATGTAAAAATACACCGCTTGTAAATGCCCAAAACTAAGATTATTAAGTCCAAAGACTCATTCATATCGCTAATAAAAAATGGTGAGAGATGGAAAAGCTGTCAAAAATCTATAGTGTAAAGCTTCTTTGCTTTGACGAACAAACTTTAAAGTGTCGGTGCTCATGCTAACGGCTTATTTGGTTAGTTGAATTGATTTAAGGAGCATTTGCAATACATTTGGTAGGACAAAAATTGCAGCATCGTAGGTTTTTGTGACCTAGAAATAGCTGACTTCGCACCGGATGTCACGTAAAAGGAAAACATGTGCTTGTTAAAAAACCGCACTACGAATTGAAGATTCCGCATAGGAGTATGGTTTGGCGACATTGTTTGAACGAATAATCAAAGAAAGTGTTTAAAAGTAGAGCTGCATTTTCCCCTTTTTACGTCTTTTCTGGCGTGGACTCTTTTCCCAAAAAGTACATGGTGATAAAATTTCCGACCAATCAAATATATTGCAAATTTTTTTAAAATCGGTAGAACTATCTAAATAAGTATACATCCCAGACCGCGATATAAACACTTTGACTTATACTTTGCATTTTCAAGAAATCATCCATCAGGATCATGTGTACATACTCTTGGGAAGATTTCCTGTTGTTTATCCAGAAGAAGAAAAGAGCCATTAAAATGCCGACGATTGATGCCCCTGTTGCTGACCAAAATACTTCATTTTTTACACAAAGACTGACTTTTGTAGTTTTCCCATCTGAAGGCCGATTTCCGCCTAGATTTTAATAAAAAAATGGCGTAAGTTTTGTACAATTAATACACCATATCGAATATTGACATAAACATGCGAGACCGGGACGCCACCCCCAATTTCGGTTGGAGTAGTAATGTCGTACAATTTCTACTCAAAATTCGGGCAAAATTTCCTTTTTTTGTTGTTGCAAATAGACAAAACTAATTTTAACAGGAAAATAGCAACATGTCTTATTACAGAGCGATTTTTCTGTCATTTAGTAAAATTTAAGTACTCTAGAAAGGTAAACGAAAATATAAAGCTTCAAAAACACTTCAGCGTTGATTGATTTCGATCTTAATTACATACGTTAGACAAGCAATCCAGGAGTATAGTGTGTTTCTTATAATGAAGAATTTCACGAGGGGCGATTACGAATTTTCGTCGGGCAAGAAAGTGTCCCCGCCCGCGAATTTTTGGGTCCAGTACGCACATAAATATTGACACTGTTGTTTTGATTAACAGTAATGAGCGTTTCTACAAAATCTCAAATAGGAAAATAAAAATTCACTTCGTAAGGTTTATGTCATGTTAAGAGTTGAGCGGTCGTCGATATAGACTATTTTCATAGTTCATTTACCTGCCCACGTCACATTATTGAAATCTTCACATTTTTTTTTATTTTCACACCAAGCAATGTTTACGACCTCTCCATCTAGAGCAAATCAATGATTTCACAAGTTACGAATTGCCAAATGATTGAGCTGATAGCTGATTGTCAATTTAAGAAATGATATGGAAAATGAAGACTCTTTATGTCAAATGGTTTCAATTTTTTGATTTGATTTCATCAAAATTTACTAAAGTTAATGAGATGAATCAATTAATTAGTCAAATATTCACTATACACACTATACACACTACACACTCCGCCCTCCAATTTTATCAGTTAAGCTATAAACTGAATTACACGAACGTTTGAGATAGTAAAAGTATGCTTACAATTTTCGTGAAGCAATAGCTGTTTGATCAACACGCCAGAGACAAGACCATCTTTTTCATTCAGTTCTCTATTTTTCTAAAAAACGATTTTGGAATGAAAGAAATATATTAAATCAACGAAGAAATTCGAGTTGTACAAACATGACAAATATGACAAAAAAATATCAAATTTTTTATTCGTTGTGAATACCGTAACTACCAAATTTCTCAACTTTGTCAAAATCAACTTAAAGATATCAGAGCGAGCGTATGTGTAATTTTTCAGCGATTGATTTAAAAGCTGCAAGTGTTTTTCCGTAGCCTTCAAAGCTTTTGCAAGAAGTTCAATGGCATGACCAGCGTCCACAGCGCATTTGCTATGAAATTCATTTTTATCCATGCTGCTATTCGATGATGACGTACCCTTTACAAGAAAAGGATGATTAAGAAAAAAGATTATAGAAAACTGGTGATCACAATGTTCTTTGATATTTCTGGATGAAAACTTTCTAGAAAATATCACTCGTTTTTAAGAAAATAAATTTACCAATCAGATCAGTGGCGGCGGAAGATGTTTTGCATTGGGGAGGGGGCTGAATAACAAAAAATGACTTGGTAGGGGGGTGTGGAATTTTGACCTTTGTGGTTGTAGTTGTCGAACTCGCAAATAATATCATTTTTTGCTTTTCTTTCTTCGGTCCAAGACTAGTGAAAATGCTATTTATTTTAGACTGCGCTATATTGCTATTGTATTTACGCCATGTTCTAATGATAAATTTGACGCGATTTTCTTCCTATCATTAACTAACGGTACTTCAAGTAAATAAAAGTCTATAGGAGAAACAAGCTTTCAAGATGGCTGTCAGTATTTAAGAGTACATCTATATCGATGATTTTCCCTTTTCAAACGTAAACATATACTACGGAAAGAAAAAATATTGAAGAACGTAGCTCTTTGATTCGGGAGGGCTTATCCCCCATCTGAATTATTGGGGAATCTGCAGCCCCCTTAACCCCCTTTTCCGCCGCCCATGACTCGACTGCGCCAATCTTATAACGCACATCAAACTTTCTCCTTACTTCGCTGCCATTCTCGTCTATAGTGCGGTTATAAGCGTAATTTACATAAAATACGTTCTTAAGGACCAATTTCACTTTGTTGACTGTACATTTAGTATCGCTCACATCCCACCACTTCGCGTTGTACAAACCGAGTATTACCCACACAATGTTGTCGACGTCATGAAACTTCTTCGAAGCCTATATGAGTTGCAACAATTACAAAAATTGCATAATATGATTGGTCACTTGGAAAAACATTTTGCGCATAATTTTATACAATGATTAGTCTTCTAAAAGATGTTGAATGCATCACAAAACACGATGAGAAATTCTTAGAAATTTTAGATCATTATACGAACCTCACAAAGAAATTTTCTTGCCGCTGATTCCGCCATTTTCAGAATAATAATTCTAGCATCCCATTCCTTGAAAAACAACAGTATAGTTATGCATAATAGTTTAATCATTTGCATTACTGCAGCATATTGTACCATAAGGATTGAGGGAAACTTTATTACAAGGACAGACCGTGTAAATGGTATTTATTAGAGGTCTTCTATACAGACAAAGTTTATCGAAGCATGATCCTGCTTTGATCAATTTGTGTGCGTGTGTGTGTGTCAGTTTACATGCTGTTACGTTTTACAAATTCTTCTTAAAAATCCTTGTGTGAAAAATTAGCTTACGTTCAACTTCTCAATAGCTTGTCCTATGTCGTAATCTCTACGTCCATCTTTTTTCTTCCGCAAATGCTCAACTGTTAAGTCTATATTGAATTTATCTGCACTCTAAGGAAAGAATGATATATACATATGTTATTTAGAGGCTGAGAGGTACGGATAGAAAAATATTCTCTCGATGTCTGAAAAAGAGCCTGAGGTAGAAGGCTAATGGACGTTTGGTTTTTTTTTATCTTAAGGCCGCAGTCTTATCAGATTGTGCTCTCAGATTCAACAATGGTGGCAAAGTAGACAATCAAAACTTTGCAGTTCCTTTTACTTTGGAAAACTCAAAATTAACTTAAAATAGATTATTACAATCAAAAGTTGTCTGGTGATTTCCTTCTGAAAACAAAACAAAACAAAACAAGTCTTTCCTCAAGTATTTAGCTATAGGATTCCAGACCGTTGTCAGATATCGTAAAATTCCCCACACGCTGCTACAAGATTCTGCACCGCGGTCAACTGAATGTCGTAAAATTCCTAACGCTGATACAGCCAATCAGAATTCAGGAAACGCTGGGATTCCCCCCCTTGCTAAATCTAAAAGATAATTACCGATAAATTAGACAGGGTATACTGTCCTTGATGCAAGCATTACCTTCAAAAGCCGAATAACTTATCGAGTCTCTAATTTATGCATTCACTACAAATGAACAATGAATGATAATGATCTGATGCATGCTAAGAATCTTCTTGAATTTTTTAATCTTTGAGAGTTGACAAACGTTTCACGAGGTCGTAGCAAGACTCTACTTGCAATCAACCAATTCTCAGAACTTGGCACATTATCATGATAACTCCAATAGAGCATGCAACTTACCAAATCGAAGTTCTGTATCTGCTTGACGATGAAAAGACGTTCCCAATCGAAAGTTGTTCGAAGCATTTCTTTCACATCTATACCAAAAGTTTCTAAAGAATCGATGTCGACAATGTTGGGATAATTGACGATATTCACAGATTGCAGACACTCCAAATTAAGAGGAATCTGTTTAAGAAAATACATATAAAAAGAAGAAAACGAGGAAATGCATAAACCGGATATGACTAATGGTCAGAGGTGAAACCGGCACGATCTTTTACTCCTACAAGGCAAATTTTTCATAAAAAATTATTATTCATTTCTTTAGAAAATTAAATCAATTTATTGTCTCTCCAGGGATTAAACACAACAAGATTTGCATTGTGGGAGTAAAAAACGAGCTGACTTCGTTACTGCTGATGGATATGTGATTTTTGCCAGAAATCGAGCAATCACATAAAACGAGAGACACTAGAGAAGGAAAATGAATAGAAACGTTTTATACCACAGTAACGTTCCACGGTGGAAGTGCTACCGACGCAAGATAGGATGCTTCACAACCAAGTGAGAGGAACGCTATTTTTGGTGGAGACTCCTTGATGTGCTCCATTATTGCATTGATACCATGATCGTTTTCGTCCTAAAGAAAAATTTATCTGTGAATGTTGATCTCGTGATGGTGCTTGTTGTCATTGTTTCAACGTTAGATTCAACAAGACTCTTAAACAAAAGGGTATGTTACAGTTCAAATTAACGGTCGTAGATCATTGGAAGATGGCCATGTTCCCCACATTGAGTTCTATAATAACTCCATTGAGTTGATAACTCCAATTGATAACTCCAATTGAGGGAACCATTGAGTTCTATAATAACTATAATAACCCCATGTTCCCCCACAAATTAATAATTTCACACCAGGAAAAAAACTATAACACCCTGATATATCCATTCCAACTATTCCCAGTCATTCTTTCCTGTTTTCAACACAGATTTGCGCCCTTGATTCGATTGCTTGACGATCATAAATGAAATGCATCGAAACTCGTAACAGAATGTTAACTTTGATTCAACTGAGGATAAACTTTTCGAGTATGAAAATAACAATATCGCTTTACAAATGGTGTCATTTTAACACTAAGATTTATTAGTAAACTCGTGCTCTAGAAACACCTCAGACTTCCGTCAATTTAACTCCCATCAGTCCCATGTACGGTGCTATTTAACACCCAAAATTGCTGTTATACTGTACCTTTTACTTCAACACCACTTTTTGGTGCTAAATTAATAATGAGCAATTATTGGATGAGGTTGAGCATGATATCAAGAATTACTCAGACCGATGTCATTTTTATATGCCGAAGCGAACATGCAAAACACGAATTCAATAATTGTTTTATCATTCACTGAAGTACTATCAAAACATATCAATATAAAACATTTTTCAAAACTTCGCTAGTTTTTTTTTTGTCAGACGGTTTATTCAAGTTCGTCTCGTTTAAATATGTTGTAAATGTGTTCAAAGCCAGCTTCTCCGCTTTTTAATGCTTAATTTTCCGCAGCCTTTTCCTTTAAAAGCTTTCACACCCTTTTTAGAAACTGTGGCAAACATCGCTGTTTGATTTGTTTTCAAAACCGGCTTTTAATGGCGGCCATATTTGTAGAAACTATTATCTGTAGGTTATGTATTATCTGTAGGTTATGTACTGTAGAAACTATTATCTGTAGGATCGAGAATTATCTGCAGGTAGTTGACCAATCACAGCCGAGAATGCTCACATAGTGAATAATAATGTATATTAGTAGTCGTGTTTTCGTCAACCGTAAAATTTTATCGATGTACCTTGTTATATTCTATGGAGTTCTTCCAAACTATTTCTAAATAGTAATTCCTCAGCTCCTGGCCATCGTTAATACTTTTCAAAGCACTTTTAACAGCGTGATAGGTGTTATTACGTAACAATTCATGTCGTTCTGTATCGATGCCAGCAATGACAAGTTTTTCTTTATTACCAAGGACAAGAGATATCCAACCAACAAGACATATGAACATACGGGTCACTCGGACTGATGAATCTGTGATCGGAAGCGGCATGTTTGCTTTCGACGTACTACTTATCTTCTCAAATGCAAGTATTTTTCATACCATCTGAAAGCAAGCATTGTGTAAGCATTTACTGAATTCTATGTTTAGTTGAAAGATCATTATTATACGAGGTGTGGATTATTACATGAAATTATTATATGAGATTATATGAGACTTCGCACAAACATACCTCACCATTGTTATTCTAAAGAGAATGAATTAAAGATGTGGCATCAATAGTTTTTGAGCTCCTACAAACGTGACGATTTTGATGGCATAAAAACTGACCAATCAATGGCAATGTTTTTGTTTGCACACGCCATATGGCGTTTTAAAACTGTTGACGGGTACGTTTCCTTGCACTCGAGAGCATTGCCATGACAAATTTTCAATTTGAATATGCCAGAAGAAGCTTGTTTTTCTCATATACAGATATGTCGTAAAAGAAAAATAAGCACGAAACTACATAGGTAATATTTTAGCAAAGTGTTATATTTTCATCCATAGTTAGGACTCAACATTTTATGCTTAACACAAGCTTCCTGTTAGAATTTCATTCTTTCGTTTTAACTCCTGGTGAACTCGGTGAGCCTTTGATTTAAGCCGCTGAACGTAAATGCTAATAACTTTTGAGTACTTTCTCGTTAAACTTTTAATTAAAATATATACAATTCTACTTGTATTTACATAACGTCTTCATTATTATCCCGTTGCACTTAAAGTCAAACTTGTAAGCACGCTTATTGCATATACAAGCCCCTTTAACGTATTAGGACGATCGTCATAAACGATCTTATTGCAACAATATAGGTAATTGAGAACAGGTGCATCTCTAAAAATTGAAATGTATCCCAATTTAGAATTGTGGCCATGTATCTAAATGTATATGTAGGTATAAAAGAAATCCGAATGCGAAGCATGCAAAAAGAACACGTTTAACCAAAGGATGGCTTTCTACTCCTAGAAAAAGAGAATCAGTTAAGGAAAACGAAACAAAGCAATGCATTCAGTTAGTCAGCACCTAATATAGGTTCTCTTTCAGCTCTTGTATCCGCATATCGTGCCGTGGGATTGTCACATTTAATCAGTACAACTGACGAGTTGTTCTTTGACTGCTGTTTTTGGCTTGTTTGAACGACTGAGTTGAATTGTTTTCCTCAAAATTATTAAAAACGTTTTCTTCTTTTTCAGATCTTGTTAATTGGCTGCTCTTAGCGTTCTCACTAAGCCAAAGCGTTATTCTTTCATGCTTTTAACCCTATGTCTTCTTCTTTTGGCTGCTCTCCTGTTCTTTTTCTCTCCAGTATGATCTTTCCACTAAAACATTTTTCATCACTCTCATCGCCCTCATATTCTATATTATACCCTATCAATCCATCTTTTGCGATGCCTTCCTCTTTTTTTGTGCAGTGTTTGAAGTGCTAAGTCTTGTTCAAAATAAATTCATTCTTCTTGTAAAAAGTTAAGTTTGCCCGATGGTTTGATTGTGCAAACAATTTCTAATTTGGCCATCATTTATTTTAGTTTTGGAATTTGGTATTATGTTTTTCGAGGGCGCTCAATTTAGACGACAGTGATGGCGAATCGTGGGGGAAACTAAAGCTAAAATGTGAAGAACCTTTTTATGAAGGGCACCAGTCATATTGAAAGGTGTCAAGACATATTGTATACGAAAAGATGTGCTAGTGTCATATACATCATTTTTACGTGTCTATTTACACTATGTATTTGTGCATCTTGGTGTTGAACACAAGAAAGTTGCCCATTGGTCATGTGGTCAACCGAAACATCTGCTTTCTTACTAATATGTTAGCATCGTCGAAGATCAAATTATATTTATTCGTGGAAAATATACAATATGAAATACATAACGACTTGAAATTATTAAGCGCTGTTTTTAAAGACCCAAGAGAGGGTGATCGTTACATACGCAAGGGTCGCATGGCAACAACTTTAAATATTATTGCAATTTTTTACACATTAATTACGTCTCATTAGTAATATAAATAGGCCAAGTCAAATATGTGTATGTAGAAAATTTTAGAGTTTCGAAACTAGGTTAATTTTTGGAAACTGATCTGAGAGAGTAGTGCAAAGCCATTCTATGGAAATCTTGTATGAGAATAGGGGTTTTTTTGGAAGGGGGAGAGCTAAGCTTTATTGAAGTGATTGAAATGACAATTTGTCAACTACATAATGCATTGCACGTCTGCAGAAAGCTAACTAATTGAACATTTTGCTGACTGGTCCAATTTTGAAAAATGCAAATGTTTCGCTCTCAAGAAGCACCTGCTACTTGCACGACAGCAATATTACAAGTTTAATGCATATTGGTATAAAAACACAAGGTTTACATAGAGGGAAAAGTCATAGGATATTTATATACTAAGTGTTAGGTCACATTAAAAACGAACTGGATCAAGTGAACAATTTCAAACTAGAAACTATTTAAACTAAGAAATGGCAGTTAACCGTCATTCACAAAAGCGTGCATAGTGCCTGTCAAGGACGGGTCATCCAGCAGGCTAAGTTGGCTTAAGCCAAAAGGCCCGCACTTTCAAAAGGTCCGTTGTAAATAGAAGTAATAAGGATTTGGACGTTTTTGCAATTCTGGGCTAGCTAAATGTGCTTAAATTAGATCATTTAAGCTGTTGAACACCTTACGAGCAATCGAATGCAGAGGAAAAATGGCTTTCGTACTATCTACTGCTCAAATGCGCAATACTCAGAACTCATGAAGTATTGACTTTTTCCCCAAGCAAAGGAAAACTGAACATAGTGGAAGGAATAGTTATTGCTTAAAGGCCCAAAACTTGGTCTTAGCCTACAGGCCCCGCAATAAGTAATCTGCGACTGGACTGCCTGTAAATTTACTACATGAAACTATATTGAGAGTAAAAAGTCAGTGTAGGTACTCTATGATACCGCGATGAAGCTAGTTTGGTGAATAGACTGCTTCAAGTATCATAAGCCTATTCACTGCTTCCTTTTTCAATTCCTTCCTTTATGCAGACTTAAAATGGCATTTAGCAAGAATATTTTAGAGTTATTGCAGTTCGATATTACACTTTACTCCAACTATATAAACGGATATAAAGACGAGCGCTAAGTGCACAGCTGTTTCAAAAAAAGACTTAAATTATATATAAATGTATATTCTTGAGGACATGGAGATATCTCGCTTGTTCGTAGTACAAAAATGACTTTCACCAACGTTGAAAATTATTTCACAACGAGACATCCTTTTTGGCTGCGATTGGTAAAGTTATTGTTTCTCGTGCATATATAGTAATACCTGCCCTTCTTGACTCTCAATATGGGTAAAGAGCATGAGGGAAGGTAAAAATCAAGCTCAGCTACACTTTTTCTCAAATTTCCACTAATTCGAAACTTTGCTCTGTTCGAATGCGCTTGATTTTTAATGTAACAAGAGGTGGCCATTGGAATTGCAAGGTCCATGTTAGTTTTGATGTCTTTACTATTCGGCAATCTATGCACAATTTCAGTATTTTTGATAAAGCGGCCAGTTTGCTCGAGTGGATAACTCGGGTCGGGTCATTTCATTTCCACAAAATTTGTTCGATCTGTACCTATACATTCAAAATATTCACAATTACGGTATATTACGGTCTATATAAGGCCCGAGCTCTCAAAGCTCACTCAAAAAACTCGCCCCACTGATAATCGGCAAACTCATTTTTCTATTGAAGGCATTATTTTTGCAAAATCATATCAAATCGGGCCATCAGTGGATTGAAAATATCATCTTCAAAGAGTTAAGAGGCGATGTTGAAACAACATGCGCTATAAACTACGTCATTGGCTTCTCTCAGACGCTGCGGACACTAGCGCACTCGCTTTGAAAGTAAAAAATTTTCAACTTTCTTGGCGATGTCGCGCGAACCATGGAGCACGTGATTGAAATCAACCAAATCGCAAGCAGCTGTGGCACTTAAGCGAAAGCTTACTGCATTAGTTATAAAAGCATCGCCATGCAGTAACAAAGGAACATGAAGCATTTGCGTTTAATACATATCATATAATGCAAAGAATAGATATTGCCTGCTATATGTTAACGCATACAAATTTAATAATTATGTATAACTAGCCTATGCAAGTCGAATAGGCGGCTTGCATTTCGATGACTTTTTCCTCGACTGTTTAAGTGATTGTTCGACTCTCTTGGAATATGTAGGTAAATGTCGATGACTTTTTCCTCGACTGTTTAAGTGATTGTTCGACTCTCTTGGAATATGTAGGTAAATGTCGATGACTTTTTCCTCGACTGTTTAAGTGATTGTTCGACTCTCTTGGAATATGTAGGTAAATGTCGCAAAAAGCATGTCGAAAGAGCTGTGGGTTTAAGAAAACAATCACGTAAACAGGCCGGATCATTTTGAGCGAAGCAAATCGTCCATCTATTTACCACTGAAACACAGAATAGATATCTTAACAGAAGGTCCACTTGGGTCGGAACCTTTAATGCTCGTGTCCCCCACTTTTCTGAAGCAAATTCTAAGCAGACACGCCTTCCAGCAAGATACTTCTGCTAGATCGCAATAGAAAATATAGATGTTTTTACAAATATATCGTGTTGCCCTACAATAGCTTGGTACTTCCCTTTTCACATTTGATTTCATGTATGAAATGATATGTGAAACTTATGTGAAATTGAAAAATTTCATATATGAAACGTCCAATTCATATAAGAAATCAAAGGTGAAATTTTCGTAAGGGCTTATCTCCTTCCCAAGATGATAGCCCTTAGTAATGATAGTAAAAATTTGGCAAAATTGTGCTTTCATAAGTAAAAAAACATTCTCGTGCAATACTATTTCATATTGATTTTGTGAATGTATCTTAATTGCTGGGAAGTCACGCAAGCGTAGTGAAAAAATACTCCACGATTTTAGCCGAGTGGGCCTTCTGTTAAATATGTATTCTGTGACTGAAATCAAATAAAATGTATATCGTTCAACAATCTCATTGGAATTTATGATTTCCATTCCTCCCCTGGCGAGAGTATGACAACAGATATAATCGTTTTTGAATAAAATTCAATGCCTCTACGTATCGGCAAAAAGCGCCTTTAGAATTTTTTTGCTTTAATGAATAGCTCTTGTGACTTAGCAACATTCAAAAAATACCATAAACTATTTTTAAATTTAAGTTCATCACACAAAGGCCAGTGGCGTAACTAGAACGTTAATTGGGGGTGGGGGTAGGGGGTGTGCATATTCACGTTTCCGTTGTGCCCTACTGATTTCTTTTGAAAGTAATTTAAATTACACAATACCGCATTGCTATCGTAGCAGGTTGAATATTCTTTGTATTAAAAGACAGTGAAATTGTTCAACGTCAGAAACACAATCAAATAGACTAAATCTATCAGCTTAATAAGCT